CAGGTGGGCTCCAGCGAGTAGCCCTGAGGCCCCGTCTGCGGAGGAGCCAAACGCTTCCTCGCTGGGGAAGATGCCATGTGCGCGGGGTGGGTTTGTGCTGCTCCTCGGTTTCTTGTTTCTTAGGGTTGAGGCCCGGCTCCCGGTGTCCTGATACTTGTGGACCACCTGGTGCATTTGGTGTGAGTTCTCCACTGGAGACCTGTTCTCACCCCTAAGCTGTTGGCATTTGCATGTTCAGTGGGATATTAATGGATCAGGTTAATGAGCAAGTGTCCTTTGTGACCTTAACTGTGTTCTCCGAGCCCCCCTCGAATCTTGCAACAGTCTTTGGCTGTATTTACCTCACCTTATCTGCTCTTCCCTGCACCAGCATATTTTTAAAACTCACTTTCCTTTGTGTCACATGATTGAAGGGTAGAGACTTCATTTACATGAGTTATTTGCTATTCAAAATTTTGTTCTCGTTGAGGACAAAGTTTTGCGTTCAGGTCTCAGGTGTTCAGGTGTGACTCACATGGCCTGGGGGTGCAGTGAGCTGAGACCAACACCTTATAATTTGCCTTTTCACCTTACAAAAAAGAATTGAGGCCCGAATGGTCAGCTGCTCTCTGATAAAATGGTCCACTTCAAAGTGCCTGGATGCATGGTTGTCATTTACTTATTTGAAAAGCTTCATTGAAATATAATTAACATTCCATAGAAATGGTTGTCTTTTGCCCTTTTGTTTAAGTTTGGAGATCAATAAGAAGGGATGAACTGTATAGCATATTGAATGAAAACACAGACACTGTATCTGGCAGCCTTATGAATAATTGGTTCCTGAGGCTGCTAGTCTGCCAGCCTTCGGGCATTTGGTGAAAGCAGAAATAAGCCAGTCAGTTATCAAGTCTCATGTATGAGTTAGAATTTTGATATTTGTGTGGTTTTTTTAAAAAATGAAGTGAGTTTTGAAGTTGGCTTTTAGAAAAGCATAAACCAAAAGTCAGTAATTGATCATTGTTCCTAGATTTTGAAAAGATAGTACTACTATTTCAACTAACTTTAGTTCACCTTAAGTTTATAAAAAACAAAACAAGGGAATTGCTCTCCCTTCTGCAATCCGCTGTGGGTCTGGGACGCCGTGCGCTGTGCCTTTTGTGTGGCCTCTGCCACCTGGAAGCGGGTTGGTTATACTCCTGCCGTCAGCCTGGGCAGATTCTTGGAAGGCCTTTTTTTCCCCCTAAAAAAATGTAAAGTGTTTATGAGTTAGAGTCTGCCAGTGAGGAGAGGACAGGTCTGTGTGACCCTGAAATGGATGTTTTAGGATAGTCTACGCCGGGAACAAGTGTCAGAAGGAGAGGCAGGAGTTTTGCAGAATATGACACACTGAGATGTCAGTCAGTAGGCCCAGGTTTTAATTACAATAAAAAACTGTCCTAGTTTTTAGGTGAACTGTTCTTCAAGTATGGCAAGAAGCTTGGTTTTCTAAGCTTAGTATGTTTCTTAAGGTAGTAATAGTCTAAAAGCTATTTCTCTTGAAAAATAGACATGTATTCAGAAGAATTTTGAATGGTCTAGAAACAAATGCTGCATTAATTTAAAAAAATAAAAAATTTTAAGTCCTAGAGAACAAGACAGTTTGAGGTAGCAGAGAAGGTCAGTGGCTGCAACACTGAGACTGGCTTTTTGGGAGTCTGTGGACAGGTGCATTATTGGGAGCGGCAGAACTGCACCACCCGAGGGCGCCCCGTGGCCCTCTGTGCAGCTGCCCTGCATTAGGGCTGCGAGTCAGTTCTTGGGGACCCTTCCGAAACCCACTGTTTATTTGTAAAGACTAGTTCCATCAGCCCTGGGTGGGGTCTAGGCATGTGTATTTTGGAAAATGTTTTCCCAGATATTTCTGCTGATCACACCTGAGTAGGAGCCACTGATGTAATCACCTTATTTAACAAGAATTTGAGATTCAGAGAGGTTGGCATCAGACAGATGCTCAGTGAATAGTCGGTTTTGTTGTGATTTCATGGGGTGGGCAGCCTTTGAATTTCCTGGGGGTTTGATCTGGGAAGAGTGGGGTGTGGGAAACAGGAAACTGGTGTGAAGTTGGGCAAGTGGGAGAGGGTGAAGGGTGCTTGAGGTTCCCCGTGGTAACTGGAAGCAGTGTGGAAGGGTGCTGGGTTAGGGGCACTTTGAGTTCAGTGCTAGAATCAGGAGACTTCCTTGTTGGTGGTACGGCAGGGCAGAGCTGTGTAATGAATGGGGTGGGAAAGTGGGTGAGAAGCCTGGGGAGGGGAGTGAGGGTGGCCGCGTGCAGGGGAGCTGGGCGCCCCAAGGCCCAGGGTGGAGTGGGAGGCCAGGTGCAGATGTGGAGAGGGGGCCAGAGGGCAGCCGAGAGGGCTCGTGCCAGTTGACCCTGCTGTGTGCTCGGCGGGGCTGTGGGGCTTGTGGCAACTGTGAAACCGAATGAAGGTGGACGCGAGAAGAGCAGAGCTCTGGGATTCTTTCTATAGGAATATCATTAGTGTTGCAGAGCCGCTGGCCCTGAATTCTTCTGATTCTGTTCCCAATCCCTGAAAGCGATGTCTGAGAGAATTAAAAATCCCAGAATTTCTAGATACAGAACCTTATCTGAGCATTGCTAGAGTTGAGTCAGTATTCTAGCAAGATTTGTGTTTTTCATTAAGTAAAAGTTTTTAGGGTTTTTTTTTTGCCACTCGTTAATGGAAGTGTTTTTATTATTTAGTTATAAAGGAGAAGGGCTCTGTTACCAGCCAGGTACTGAAACCAGCAGAGAAGCTCTTAAAACTGCTCTGTAGACTTTGAATTCAGTCACAGAATTAGATCCTATCACAGCATTTTGGACAGATCTTGTGAGCCTGTTTCACGATCCAGGTTTCACATTTAAAATTTAGAAAGTAAGTTTAAGGCCATATCCATGTGCAAGAAATTATGTGTTAAAGCCAGCATTGGCCATTAAATATGGAGCGTAAGTGAACAAGTGATGTGCTTTACTTGGGATTCAGGTAGATCTCCCCGCTCACTCACTTCCCTTGACCTGTCACAGTCACACATGTCCTCATGGCCTTCTGGGAGGAATAAATATTAACCATTTCTTCTGTCACAAGATTAATAAAGGCTGGGTTTGTAGGCTCCTGGAAGAATCTGGAATGGGATCTGTAGCAAAGTGTAGACCCTGGTTGACCTGTTTGCTAGGATTGCTCTTGATTTGGGAGCTTTTGCTCAGTTCTCCTAGATCAGTTAAGCTTTTATGTTTTTAGAAATGAAAGAGAACAGTCTTCCTAAATTTCCTGGGTAACAGATGCCTATCTGAACAGTGTAACCTTTTGCGTACCCACCCCATGTGGGCGTGTAGAAGTCACTCTGTCCTGACACATTAGGATGTATGGAGGTTGCCCAAGTTCACAGAGCGTATAATTGGCAAAGCCAGGTTCCCACCCAGGCTTGTTTCATCTTGAAGTTTGGGCATTTTCTCCTGCAAACAGTCAAAAGTGTGTGCATCAGTAATTATGCACTGAATTGATTCCACAGTTGAAAAAATCATGCTGTCTTAAATTTTAAATACGATTATGTTGTTCCAAAGAGGTTTAAGAAACACAGGGCTCTGGATAGGCCCTTCCTTAATGCTCTTGTTTTTAACTGTGGTGCTTTATTAATGAATTAGAACTGATTTTGGTCAAGGCCATGAAAATAAGCCTGGAAGAAAGAGGCAAACATTGTCATCTGGTGAGCATTTTGGATCATTTCTCCCCTTCCCCAATTACTTGTATGATCTGATGTGCTCTTGTTGGGGCCAGGAGCTTGCCTGTGCATCAGTTTCCCACTTCAGCCCTTTCGGGTGGTGATTGATTCCTGGCAGCTGTCCATACGGAGGTGGCATGTGGTGCTCTCACCCAGGCACTGGGGGTCCTGGGTTCCTAAAGGGGTCAGTGTGGCTGCCAGAAATTATTGAAACGTGAATCACTGGGCCAAGTAGCATCTCAACAAGTCTGTGACATCATTTTGTCCATAAGTCTCTGGACTGTCCAGAGTTCCCGGAGCAGAGCCACTCTGCAGACCTGCTGGCAGATGAGCCTTGGGCTGGGTTGGCACCAAGTGTCCGGCTTCCAGGACTGGTGGCAGCGCTTTAAACAAATGTGCAAAAAAGTGTTTTTCTGCTTGTGCTGGGCTTACATGAAACAGATGCATGAAGTGGATTCTGTATTTCATTTCTGCAGGAATTAAAACCCTTTTGCTGCTGGCAAGGCTGACAGGTGATTGAGCAGGACAAATGACTGTATTTGGTCATGTTGGGAACACCTGTCATCCTTCTCAAAGCCAAGAGGCGTCTTGTGCCCTCCATTCCTGCTTGAGAGGAAACATTGTGGGACTCGGGCAAAGCTGCAGTCTGGCAGCTTCCAGAATGTGTCGTTTCCAAAGCCTGGGGTACCTGGAGCCAGGAACAGCTGAGTTTCCTGGTAGTTCTCCTCCTCTGGGAAGGTCTCTGGAGGAGGATGGACTTCAGGTGCGTGTGGCGTGTAACGGATGTGGCCGTCAGCGCTGTCGGTCCGAGGCTTGCTGTGGGACAGTCGGGCGGCAGGTGCGCGTCTGCCCGCGGCCTCGCGCGCGATCGGGGCAGGACCTTGCGGGGCTCAGGCTGGCGATCCGGCAGCGGCATTCTCCTCTGTTGAAGGGTTGCTTTTTAGAGTTTGGGTGGGAGCTTTTTTATTCCGTGTGTCTCAGCTGCTTTCACTGGGCTTGGCTGACGGGGGAGAGAGCAGCCCCCTGGCGTCACGCGCTGGGGACCCTAGACCCTGAGGGCAGCGACCTCCACGAGGCCAGGTGTCCGTTTCCGTGGACAAGGGCCGGGAGCCCCCAGCGGGGTCGGAGGGGCTTGCTGAGTGCTGTGCGCCTGTCTCGGCCTCGCGGGCCCGAGCTGCCCCCCTGCCTCCGCGCCACGGCAGGTCGCCGCCGTGCGCAGCATGGGGGGCCCCGCGCCCGTGCTCACGGGCCTCGCGCTCCTGCAGGAGGAGGAGGAGCAGGAGGAGGAGGATGACGATGAAGACGACGACGACACCGATGACCTGGACGAGCTGGACACCGACCAGCTGCTGGAGGCGGAGCTGGAGGAGGATGAGAACAACGAGAACGCCGGGGAGGACGGCGACAACGACTTCTCTCCGTCCGACGAGGAGCTGGCCAACCTGCTGGACGAGGGGGAGGACGGGGAGGACGAGGACTCGGAGGCGGACGAGGAGGTGGAGCTCATCCTGGGAGACAGTGAGTGTGGCGGCACCGCCCATCGGCCCGCCCGTGCGCGCGGAGGGCCTGGGCGGTATGTGGGGCACGCAGCTGCCGTGCCCGGGTGCCCACGGGGCCGTGGAGGGTGCAGAGCGCAGGCTCCGAGCTCGTCTCCAGCACCCAGGCCGCGGCAGGGGAGGGGCCGTGCGCTGACCCTGATGGCGCGCGGAGCGGCCAGGACCTCCGGCTCCTGGCAGCCGTACGCTGAGGTCACGCGGGGCCTGGCGCAGGCCCAGGAGCACGGGTTTCCCACCGTCCCTGGCCACACCTCATCCTCTGGGTTTCTTCCTTAGCTCTCAGGTGCAGTCAGGAGGGGGTCCCAGAGGCTGTGGCCACACGGCCCCCGGGAGCTGTGGGCAGGCTTCACGGCCTCACAGTGCTGCCAGGGCCTCTCCTTCTGGACGGGCTCCTCCCCCTTATTTTGCTTGGCCACACATGCTTTAGCCACTTCGTCTGGAAGGTTCCTTTTGCTGCCACCTCATTTTGCCTCTTTCCTGATCCTTGCAAAGGTGCCCGAGAAGGCAGAGGGCCAAGCAGGGGCTCCTCGTGTGCGAGACGCGGCGCCGCCATCCTGACTCCCCTGGCGTTGCCGTGCCCGCCTGGGCCTTGTCAGGAATTTGCTCCCTGCAGAGGTTGCACAGAAAGTGAGGAGGATGGATCCTGGGGTGGCCCTGCTGCCTTTTTGAGGCCCTCTGAGCAGAAATCACACTGTTGCTTGGCTTCGGCCTTCGCGTAGCTGCCCCAGGGCCAGGCAGCTTGTGCCCGTGCCTGCAGCACTCAGAGGCCCAGGGCTGTGAGCACTGCTCACTGTGGCCCCACAGTCCCTGTGCCCTGTAACAGGTGAGCAGGAGGCCCCAGGGGGACCTCCGCTGCCAACAGGTCTGCTCTTGGGCCCCGCCCAGGAGCTGATGGGTGTGTTTTCTTCTTTCCGGAAACAGGTAGTTGCCTGGCTCAGGTGTGAGCGAGTGCAGGCGCTTCCTTCCCAAGAGCCTCCGCAAGCCCAGTGGGTAACGTGGGCTCTTTCTTACCTTTCAGCCGACAGCTCGGACAACTCGGATCTGGAAGATGACATCATCTTGTCCCTGAATGAGTGAGGGGCCATCGCCGCGCGGGAAGAGGGTTCTTGGCAGGCGACAAAGCAGTCACGAGTTGGGGACGCCTTCCCTCCCTTGCCTTTTAAGGAACTGCGGGCCCTGCATTCAGAGGATCCTGGCTTAGAAAGTCTCGCTGGGGTCTGAGGGTCCCTCTGAAAAACAGGAACACCCACTGCAGACCACGGGCCCGGGCGCTGTCCTGCTTCCCCCTCTCCTGGAATGGGCGTCTTCCTCAAGGGGGGAAATTAAAAAAAACACGTCTCTTGGGTTATTTCACAATATATTTTCTTTGTATCATGTTCTTTACTTAAAGAACAAGAAATAGTTTTTTATGAAATGTAAAAAGAAAAAAAAAACAGGCATTTATAACTGAGGGCATGAACTTATATCCACCAGGTCTCTTGTGTCTGCACTTCATTTTCTGTGGAAGAAAATCATGTCTGAAGAACAAGAGGCATTTTTACATACATATTTAAATGAAAGGAAAATCATGGTTTCTTAAATTGATAAGGATTAAGAATATTTTATTATAAATATAATATATGATTTTTACCCGGTTTTGTTGCCTCGCGTGCCGTCAGGTCCATGTTCCCCTCCAGGCTGGAGGTGGGGGCGCGGCGCCGGGAGCCGGGCGGCCGTGGCTGGTGGGTCTGTGGAGCCGAGGGAACTTTTAGGGTGTAAGTTCACTCCCTCTGTTTTCCTTTGTGATTCAGTTTTTCAGCAATCTTTTTTTGTTTTTCTCCCCAAAAAGTGGAAATTACAAATCAAAGGCCTTTTTCTTTAATGTAAAGTGTATTTATTTAAAAAAAAAATACAAAATAAACTACAAGTCTGTCTTTGTTTATAGCCTTTCCCTGTTCTTCCAACCCAGCAGCTCCGCCCCTTCCCTCAGCCCTGGCCAGGCCCCGGGAGGCGCCTCCGACGCAGCCGGAGGGCAGGAGTCGCGCAGTGTCTGTCCCCTGGGGGACTACATGGCAGAGGCGGCCCGTCCGTGCGGACACCCCTCTCCCGGGCTCTGGACGGAGGCCTCCCCACCCTCACACAGCTCGGTGGAGCCAGGAAGCCACTGGTTAGGGCCTGGGAGCTTTCGGAGCAACGTGCTGGCAAAGCCGAGGGGCGCAAGGGCCCTGGCCATCCCTGTGGCCGGGTGACTGTCTCCCGGGCAGCTCCTCAGTCAGCAGCCCACCCTGGCGCCCGCCCTCCCTCTCACCCTGCTGCTTCCCCCCACCCCCAGTACGTCCGGGGCCCTAGTCGCTCTCCCTCTGGGCTTGCCCGGGGTCACGCAGCCGGAGGCCTCTCCCTCTGCTGGGAAGAGGGGACCCGCTGGTTGTGAATAAACAAGCGAGACAGATGCTAGAACTCACCAGGGGCTGGGAGAGCCTGCTGGGCCTTGGAGCCCTGTGCTCTTTGTCACACACACACCCTTCCTGGAACGCTCGGGCCTCTAGAGAGCCGCAGCCTCAGCTCTTAGGTTGCTTCGTGCCTCGGCCTAAACAGGTTGCTAACACCGAACCGGTGGGGCAGAACATATTACAAGAAAACCTGGTAAGACTAGGAAGGGCAAGAACACCATGTTCTGGTCATTAACTGGGCCACAGCTCCCCAAACTCTGCCCACAGCCCCTGGGGGGCACCCGCGGTCTCCCAGGTGGGGGTGGGGCCTCCCCCAGGAAAACAGGGTTCTGGCTGCTTTGACAACACGCCCTCTGGGAGGCAGTCTCAGAGGCCAAGGGAACATCAGCCCTCACCTGGTCTCCAGTCACTTAGGAAGAGACGTGGAAAGCCGGCTCAGGCAGGCGGGGATGCTGGGCACCCACAGGCAAACTCTTTTCTCTCTCTGGCATCCGAGCCCCCCCGGCACCTTGTGCCCAGCACCCGTGCCAGAGGTCACAGGCCTGCTGTGGTTCAAGAGCCAAAGAGGTGGCTGAGCAGAGGGTCTGGGAGCAGGAGGAGGAAGGGCCACCGCCAAACCAGTTCTAGACCACAGCACCTGCCCTGAAGGGTGACAAGGCCAGGGCGGAACAGGCTTCTAGCAGGTTCCTGTCCGGGAAAGCCGGGAGGCGGTGCACCCTGGGCCCTGAGCGCGCACTGCGGGGGCAGCCCGAGGAGTGTGCACTGCACTCGGGCAACAGCTCTGGCCTGTGACCCAGGCCTTTGTGGAGGAACTGCAGGAAGCAGTGATGCCTCCACCACCCACCTCTCCTGCTCTTGGCAGCGTGCCGCCCTGCAGTGTGGCCCTGGTTCAAGGGCAGATGGGCACGTCTGACGTCCCTTGGGTTGACATTCCATTACCAACAAGCGGGAGCCACACCTCCCCAGCCGCTTCCTGTCTGCTCCCCATCTGCCCACCTCCCAGGTCGTCACTGTCCTCACGGAGGCGTGCAATCTCCATGCAGGTCACACCAACTCTCAAAACACCCAGACGTCACCTGTGCTGCCTCGTGCCAACGGGAGAATGGCAGGGCCCTTGGAAGCTGGAGGTCCTGCTCTCCCTGAGCCCCGACTGGGATCCTTTGGGAACATCCAAGCAGCCACACAAACATACTTTAAGTGGCATTGGGGCCGAGCACTATGGTGACAGCTGCTGTGTGACGGGTTTCCTGCCCTGGCCCTGACGCTGCTGCTGGCCACATGGCTTTTCAGAGACAAGGGGCCACAGGCCACAAGGCCCCACCCTTCCCTCCCAGCCCTGCTTGCACAGCTGTGAGCCTTGTGCTGCACACACCCCAGCGATGGACTGCCTTTCCTCACACAAGCCCTTCTCCCAGTGTCCCCACTTCCCCAGCGTGGGGCAGGAGGCCCAGCCTCACCCACCGCCGCGTGCATGTCACATCCACTAGTAAGAGCATCTTCCTACCTACCACTGCTCCCTAGCCGCACTATGCCAGTGAGTTCTGCCGTGCAGGGTCTCGGGGTCCCCACAAAACTCTGGTACTGACTGGGCACAGCCCTGCTCCAGTAACAGCCCCCAACACCCGAAGACAAACTCAAACACCAGATAAGTTAGGAATTAAGTAGGAGAGCTGCCTCCCAGCCTCCACTGCAGCATACGGCCTCCGTCGCAGGGGCGCAGGGGCCCGGGGCAGCTGCAAGGGGGCAGCGGGGAGGGAGCTGGCACGGCTGGTGCCATCACCGCGGCAGGCTCCTCCTGGTCACTGCAGGGCACACACCCACCATCAGGCCTTCAGAGGCTGCGCTGCCCAGCAGCAGCTCCGACCCACAGACCCGCTCGGGGCAGGAAAGGAAGAGCCACGCCAGCTGCGGGCCCGGGCTCACCCTCCTCTGCAGGGCTCCACTCGGGCCGGCAAGGCTGCCCGCCTCGGCTGGGGTGAAAGCCAGTGTGGGCAGCACCCCAGCTCAGCCCAGAGCCTCCTCGCGCAGGGATGCAGGGACTGGGAGGATGACAGGACATCTGTGGGCACGCACTGGGGCGACTTCAGCTCTTTTGAGAAAAAAACTTGATTAAACCAGAACTCTGAACAGGATTAAAAATCCATCCTCTGACAAAGGCTTTACTGACAACTTTCCATACAGTTCATCAAAAAATAAAAAAATACAGAACACAGCAGACAGCATCTCGTACACTAGAAACCAACGTGACAGGGGTCCCTTCTCATGGCTGGAAGCAAGCCCGGAAACCTAAGAACGTGGTTTTGGTGGGGACAGGACCCCGGTTCCCCACCAAACGACCTGAAACAACCCAGCAGAGAATTCACACCGAGGGGGCGGCAGAGGGGCATCGGCTCTGACAGTGGCCGCTGCGAGCGCGGCGCGGCGCGGCGCTAGGCAGTGTCCCTCACTATGACTATCACCATGTGCTCCTCCTCCAGCCTGCCCAGGGTCCGCAGCGCCGCCTGCAGGTACTGCTGCGCGAAGGCGCAGGGCGGGAAGGCGTAGAGCATGCCCGTGCTGTCTCTGCCCTTGGACCCTCCCACGGGCAGGCTGATCACCCCCGCCGCCTGCTTCTGCTTCAAGTAGGAGACCAGGTTCCTGAGCAGCCGCCTCTGCAGGCCAGGCTCCACCGCTGGCGTCCCCTCGGCGCCCAGCCCGCCGGGGGCCGCCTGCGTGGCGAGGAGCACAGCGTAGCCGTTGGGGCTCCCCTGCTTGATGCGCCGCGTGACCTCGTCGAGCTTGGGCTGGTCCAGCCGGAGGCGCTGCGCGATCTTGAGCTGCGTCAGCCTGCTCCCGGAGGCGTGGTCTTTGAGGAGGCCGCTGATGACCCCCTGGTCCCCTTCCAGGATGTGCATAGCGGTCGGGAAGCAGCTGTTCTTCAGCACCAGCAGCCCGGCCCAGCCCAGCGGCAGCGTCTGGGCGTACTCCGACAGGCTCTTGAGCTTTCTGGCCTCGTGCTTCGGCTCCTCCAGCGGCCTGGGCTCGGCCTCGGCGGTCCGGTGATTGCGCTCGCCCTCTCGCTTCTTCCCGTGGGAGGGGTCCGCGGCCTCGTGGTGGTGGTGGTGGCCGCGCTCCTCGGCGCCGTGCCTGCTGTTGCTCAGGGAGTTGCTGCCCGCCTCCTTGGCCCCCTCGCCGGCGTGGTTCTCCTTGCGGCTGCGCTCAGGGGTGCGGTCGGCGCCCCGGTCCGCCGGCTGCCCACCACCCTTGGTCCTGCTCCGCTCCTCGTAAGGGGAGTGGGCGGCCCTCCCGCGCTCACTGGAGAGGCTCCTCCGCTTCCGCCTCTCGTCCCAGGGCTTGGGCGGGCCCCGCTCCCCGTCGCCTCCCCAGCGCTCCCCGCTCCGGCTGCGCACGGAGCGGCCGTAGCCCTCCAGGCTGTTCCTGCGGTCGCCGCCCTTGCCCGGGCTGGCCCAGTCCCCTTCCAGAAAGGCCCGCTCTCGGTCCGAGTAGAGGAGGTGCGGGGGCGTCCGGTCCCGCACCCGCAGCTCGGCGTCCAGGCTGCGGTGCCGGGCGTACCCGTCGGGCAGCAGCTCGTAGTGCACCGGGAGCGGGGAGGGCTGGTACTGCTGCGGGTACCGCGTCTCCTCCGCTTTCGCAAAATCCACGCGCAGCCTGCGCTCCGGGCCGCCCAGCGGGAAGCCCCGCATTTTCGCACAGGCGGCCTGCGCCGCGTCCAGGCTCTCGTACTGGATGTAGGCAAAGCTGTCCCCCTTGACGTGGTCGATGGTCCGGATGCTGCCGAAGCGGTCAAACTCCCGGGCCAGGGCTGCCAGCGAGGTGTTCGGTCCCAAGCCTCCCACCCAGAGGCGAGTGGTGGGGTTGGCCTTGCCGTAGCCGATCTTGATGGGGTTGCGGCCGACCACCCGGCCCGACATGGCCACCTTGGCCCTGTGGGCCATGTCAAGGTTCTGGAACTTGAGGAAGGCGTAGGCGCCGCCCTGGCCGCGGGCGGGCCGCTTGATAACCACCTCCTCGATGATGCCGTACTTCTCGAAGGCCCGGCGCAGCTCCACCTCAGACACGCTGTGGTCCAGGTTCCCGATGAAGAGGTTGCGCGTGGCGCGCTGGTCGTCCTCGGGCATCAGGTCCTCCTCGCACACCGCGGGGTAGCCGTAGGGGCGCCCGCGGTCGTCGTACAGCCCGTAGTAGTCCAGGGCCCGCTCCCGGGACAGCCCAACGGCCGCGGCGGCCGCGTCCAGGGCGAAGGCGGCGGCGGCGTGGCGGGCGCGCGGCTCACGCAGCGGCGGGGCGGCCACGGGGGACAGCGAGCGCTGCTTGTACTGGTAGCCGCCGTGCAGCGACAGGTACCCCAGCGGGTCGGCGGGCGCGGGCGGCCCGGGGGGCGGCGTGGAGGCGGCGGCGCTGCTGCTGCTACTGCGCCGGCTGCTCCCGCCGCCGCCGCGCAGGTACACGGGCTCCACCTTAAGCGGCCGGTCGTAGAGCAGCAGCTGGCGGGCCAGGGCGTGCTGGCGGGCCTCGCGCGCGTCCTGCGGGTGCCGGAAGTTCACGTAGGCCACGCGGCCCAGCTCCGGCGTGTGCGACAGGCGCAGGCTGATCTCGCCGAAGCGCTTGAACTGGTGGAAGAGCCGGTCCTCCAGGTGCTCGGCGGGCAGCGCGGGGCTCAGGCTGCTGATGAGCAGCGTCTTGTACTCGGACGCGGCTGCCGACGAGCCGGGGCCCGCGGGCTCGGCCCCGGGCGGCGGCGGCGGTGGCGGCGGCGGCGGCGGCAGCGGAGACGCGCGAGGCGAGGCGCTAGCCGCGCCCGGGTCCCCCGAGGCCTTGCCGCCGCGTCCCCCGCCGCCGGCGCCCGAGCCTGAGGAGCGACCGCTGCTCGCCCGGTGGTTCGCGTCCCCGGCGCCGCGGCCGTCGCGATGCCCGCCCCCGCCGCCCCCGCTACCGCGGGGCTTGTCGCGGGCCCGCGCGGGGACCGGGTGCTTGGCGCCGCCCGAGGCCTTGTGCGCCGCCCGCCGCCCGCCCGCCTCGGCCTCCCGTTCGCGCTCCCGCGGCCGCTTGGCCGACGACGACGAGCCGCGCCCGCCGGGGCTCGAGTCCCGCTCGCTTTGCCTCTTCATGGCGCCGGCGCGGCGGGCGGGCGGGCGGCCCGCAGGCCCCTCACAGCGGCGGCGGCGGCGGCCTAGGAGGCAGCGCCCCCGGCGCCGCCATCTTGGACAAAAGGACTCGGCGCGGCGGTGGCGGCGGAGAGAGGCGGGAGCGGCGCCCAAGGCCGGGCATCACGTTATCAGGCTGCGCCGGCCGCGCCACGTGACCCGGCGGGGGGCGGGCCGAGGCTGCGCCGGATGCGTCATCAGGCCGCGCCGCAGCGCGCCACGTGATCCGCAGGCGGCCACTGCGTTCTGGCGCCACCGCGTGGCCGAGGCCGGGACTGCACGGCCTCCGGAGTGCTGGCGAGACCCGGGCCTCTCTCCTCCGACTCGCGCCACGTCTGCCCGGCGGCCACTTCCGTGGGGTCCCCAGTCCCGTATCTCCGAGCGGCCGCGTAAAGGCCATGAGAACCGTGTCGTACTAGTCGAATGCACGAAACCGCCGGGGCGCCCGGGCCCCTCGGCTGCGCCGCGAGTGGACAGCGGGCTGCGTCAGCCCCGGTCTGCGCACTCACCTCTCGTCCAGGGCCGGCCTTAGCTCCGCGGTGACGGGAAGGCATACTGTCCAGGAGCCTGAGCCCCTCGGGGAAGCACCTTCTTCGGGGCAAGCTGCCGGAGGAACCGCAGACCCTGACCGCCTCGCCGCTGCAGCCACGGTGGGAGGAGCGCACCGCGCCTTCCTCCTCCCCAAATCCACAGCCCTCGTGGGGGCAGCCTTATGTGAACACCTGCACCTTCGTGGGACCTCCCGAAGCCGGCTTCCAGAGGCAGAGTTCACACCTTCGTGGACCGGCTTGGACTGCAGCCCGAGAGTGTAAGTTGGATGCTCTCCCCGCTCCCGGGTGCAGTGCGGCCTGGAGAATGCAGGCCTACGGTGCTGGGCTGAGACCTGCCACCTCCTGACTTCTGGCTCCAGCCATGTATTTTTCAGCGCCCATCAGGGGTCAGATCTCAACAGTCCATCTAAGGGCCCAAGCAGGGAGGTCGGGCCTGGGCAGTGGCTCGGCCTTCTTGCCTTCCGCTCATACAGGGGGCTGCAGAGGTGCCCAGGATGGGACTGCTGCTGCTGAGCCTCCGCGACCACTGTAGGCGCTAGGAAGGCCCCTTACACAGGCGTCCTGAATTTAGGGCCCTCACAGGTGCTGAGGACAGGCCAGCGCTTCGTCCTTCCCTTCCGGTGGTCTCCATCCAGCCACAGCTCAGGTGGACAACTGGCTTCCGAGCGCCAGCCCGGCAGAGGAACCACACCACCAGTTCCCACCGCTCGTCCCCTTGGGGGCCAAGTCCTCAGGAGTTGTGGACTGATCCAGGGTAAATAAAAGCAAAAGGAAGCCTCTTTCTGGCTCTGTACAAACTACTGCCAGTCTTGCGAAACCTCAAGCAGGCATCAGGGGCTTGGGTCTGACACTATACCGCAAAGTTGGGCGAGCAAGTTCCTGTCCAGGTCGGCACGGCACTTGGAGGCAGCCAAGTCAAGAGCATCTTTAGAAGTGTGACAGAAGTCACCACACGCGCTCACTCAAGTCCTCATCACAGAAAGCCACCCTGAACATACCTTCCGTCCTATTTAGTACGCAGCGCCCCGGTGTAAAACCCCCACACAGCAGACTCAGTCCCACGCTGAGCACGAAGCCTCCAGCCCCTGGTGTGGGACTTCTACCCCAGGCCACTGCAGGGGCGTACCGAGCCCAGTCTCCTCCCTAGCCCTTCACACGCCCACAGGCATCAGCCCGTGTCCCACCCTGTATCCAGCACTGAGGGCTGGGCAGCAGAGAAGCTACCTGGAAACTGTCAATCAGAAAAGCATTAACTGGTGTGGTCTTCAGTAGGGGCAGAACCGTATTTCAGTATTCACTTTAATTCTCCAAGGACAGCTAAAAATGTTCTTCCTTTAATAAAAAAATCCCAGACACACTTTGAAGTCCTAGAGTAAACCAGCAACAGAAGGAAACAGCCCCCCTTGGGGGCGCTGTACAGTCAGCATCCTCAGGAAAGCCCCAGGCTTCACACTTGATAGGGCCAGGAGCCCACCTAAAAATAAGTTACAAAAGGCTTTTGGGGAAGACACAGCTGAACTGTTTTTTCCCTCAGGTGTAGCAGGGATCCGCCAACTACAACTCAGTCCGTGACCTGGCCGCCGTGGGGGCATATTTGGGCATCAGGTCGTCGATCCTGCGGATGTAGTCCGACTTCTCCGCACAGCCTTTGCACGTCTCTCCCCAGTCGTCCAGGATCTTCTTCAGCTCTCTGACTCGGAGCTTCTTCAGGTCCACTGTGCTCAGGTCAATCTGCTTGTCTGGAGGAGAGAGCAGGGAAAGTAACTAGCTGGGCGGGCACGGCCAGGGCCCCACGGTCCAGGTGGGTCACCCCCGCACAGCCACACCAGCCCTGCACACAGGCAGCCATATGGTCACAGCGGGGGAGGCACCTCCTGCTGCCCGGACCCCTTCAGCCGGAAGGCTGGTCTCATGCTGGCAGTGTCCACCACAGGGCATCAGTGTCACCAGGGACAGGGAGGGAGGCCACATGGTCCTTGCAGGAGGAATGTGGCTCCCACTCCAAGTGCTTCTCAAATGGTTATAGAAAAGGTCAAGGTCACTGTAGAATGACAGCTTCAGGGTGACAGAGCACACAGGTCCCCCAGCTTCAATTTCCTGACACAGGCCCCGATTAGGAGCTTACGCTCCACGACCACCTGCAGCCACAGGGAGACCTTGAGCCACTTGCACCTGTCCCAGGATCACTCTCTGAGGACTAGGCCTCCTTGACACAAGCGGGCAAGCACAAGCCCGTGGACACTCAAGTCACAATAGGATACGTTGCTGTTTAAATTTTACAGAAGAGGACAGCTGTTCCCGCCCTGACTCTTTCTGAAGACTTCACTGTTTTTTCCACGGAGATGCATTCACCAAGAGATGCTTGGGCACCATAACTCCTAGGCTTCCTGTTTGGACACAGCATTTCTTCTCAAAATACTAAAAAAGACTGTTGGGCCTTCGGAGCTTGCAGCCAGGACAAGCCTGTTAAACAAACCCAAATCAGAACACATCCCTTCTCTGCTCAAAAACGAATGTTCCCAACTTCACTCAGACCAACAGCCAAACCTTCGCCAACCTGCAAGGCCCTCCGTGACCTGCCCACCCACCGGCCCCGCAGCCGGCGCGTCTGCCTCGGCTGCTCTTCCACGGGCTACCCCTGCCACTTCGGTAAGGCCTCCTGGGCCCCGCCCACCACGCCGCCAGGTCTGCTCCCGCCCTGCGCCCCAGCACTGCCTTCCCTGCTGCGCAGCTCCTCTCCCAGCTAGGAAGGGGACTCCAGGACACCTGGGGGCAGAGGGTCGGGGTCACCAGGCCTGGCCACACTCACCGTACTTCAGCTCACAGATCTGGCTGTCCTTCTTCTGGAGCTTCTCACAGATCTTCTCCACAGGGATGTGGTGGGCCAGGGGCTTTGACACCTCGTTGATGATCTTGGTGGCTGCATCATCTGTGGCCCCAATGTAGTAACACTGAAGCAAGAAAAAGACAGTGGCCTTCAAGAGGCGCCACTTGAGCGCCATCTCCACCAAAACGTGGTCGTCTCAAAACCTTTCCTTTCCCTGCCAGGCCCTCCTTTTCCCATGCACTGCCTGCACTAGCAGCCGATCTAGTCGGTGTAAACCCTGGGCTTGTACTAATGCTCAGCCACCAGATGAGTTTAAGAGTCACCAGGGCTCAAACCTTCAAACAGACAAAGTAGGGACCGCCCGGGAAATTTCTGCTTTTGTTCCCGCAGGGTTCTTGTCCTGATTTGGCCCTGGCCTACCCCCTGCACACTCGCCACCCTCTCCTGTCCTCTGGCCAGCTATGCCCTCTGCCTGGGATGCTCATTCTCTCCCCAGACGAGGACCCTTCCCTGGGGACCGCGGCTGCTCTGCCCTAACCAGCCCTGTCCACAGTACTGCCCTGGCCCGTCTGCTTTGGGGCACTCACTGCCACGGCGCCACTGGTTTGCCTGATTGTCATCTCTACCCCCTGATGTCCCCAGTGCCCAGGAGGGGCTTGTCACACCAACGGGGCACAAAAAGGCCCCAAAGGCAGAACATACGAAGCGCTCGGTCCCCACCAGCTCCCTGACAGGCAAGGGCGCCTCGGCACGGGCCGACAGGGGGAGCCTCCTACGGAGCCCGGGGTTAACCGCGGGCCCGGGCCAGCTGGGGAGGCGCACAGCTACTCACCAGCCGATTCTCTTTGCCCCTGGTTTCGCGGCAGTACTTCATAAGTTCTTTTTCAATAGAGGCCGGTGAGAATGTGACATCTCTGTCTTTGAGGTCCTGGTAAAATCTTCCCAGATAAGAGACACAAACTGGAGGAGAGGGGAGGGGGACGCTCAGCTACGATCCACGGCAGGGGCCCCGCCAGCAGTGTTAACGGGGACACGCAGAGGGGGTCTTCCTGCCGCCGTTCTCAGGGGCGGGCGGCGGGCAGCGCCCAGGCACGCGGGGAACGGGCACCACCCGGTGACCCACGCAGAGCGCCCACTCCTTCGAGTTGAAGCTGGGGCTGAACACGGTAGAGACGCACTCGCCGCGACCCCAATGGGCAGCCGGGAGCTGGGCAACGGCGACCCCGACGCCGGGCGCGCCTCGCACCCGGAAGGCCCCCGAGCCCGCAGCCCGGCCGCTCCGCGCAGGGGGCGCCGGCCCCGGCGTCCCCCCCTCAGCCAACTTCCCAGCCCGCGCCCCCTGCACCTTCGCAGTCGCCCGGCCGCAGCGCCCGGCCGCCCGGCAGCACGCTCAAGACCAGCGCCACCGCCAGCCCGCGCGCGGCCCACATCCTCCTCCTCCTCCTCGGCCGCCGCCGCCGCCGCCGCCGCCCGACTGAACCGCGCCCGTCGCGCCGCGTCGCCTCCGGGCCAGGCCGCGGCTCCCCATTGGCGGGGCCCCACGCCCCCTCCCACACGCGGCGTCCCCATTGGTCCCCGCGCCTCAGAGCCCAGACGGGCGGCTCCACGCTGCCCTTCCCCATTGGCTGGCGGTGCCGCCCGCCCTCGCTCCTAGACAGTTGTCGAGCGCGGATTGAACCAGGCTCGTGCGCCGGAAGCGGCTGCGCGACGGCGGAAGCCGCCCGGCCGCCATGTCGGGTAGGGGCAGCGGCCGCGCGCGCCCGGGCTGCCGCGCTCGGAGCAGGAGGCCGCCCCTGGCAGGGCCCGAGGGACTCGTTCCCTCCTTCTCCTTGAGCGGTCGCATGGGCGGGCATCCCGGCAGCGGCTGATCGGCACGGGGCGCCCCGCCGGGATCGGGGCCTGCGCGGTCCCATTGAGTGGACGCAGGGGCCACGGTCAGTATTCACCTTTAATTCACATCACAGCAGTCAGGGGAGGGGGTGGGGGAGACCGAGTGGCAGGTATTTACATCTAAAATTCACGTTACTTGCTGGGTTTAGAACATGCTACCACATATATACAGTGAAATACCTCTTGGGACACTAGTACAAATTTTTTTAACTTTGCTCTCTGGTACAGGTAAGATCATTTTTAAATCACTTTTTAAACATAAATACACAAAAGCAATGGTTAGAAGTTTTCTTATTTTAAATAAGCACAGGATATCAGAGGTTAAAAACACATTTATAGGGCTGAATACCAATGGGACATAACACTCTATACATTTTTTGCTCAAATTCCTGTACAAATACACAGCATTCAAATAGGTTATTTACAAATATGCTTGAAAGAATGAAAATCTGTTTTTCACAATCTATTCAGAGTATTCTCATCTCTGGCCTCCCATTTCCCCGCAGACCGGCTGGTTCTCCCAACAAGAGAGATTTGGAATTTGTCCTTTTCATCCGTCAGGGAAAATGGCGAGGGGAAACAAACCCCACTCAGCATGCAGGACGCGAGGCTGAACCAACGCACACTTCCTGACCTACCCCGCCCGCTAGACTCCCAGCCCTGCACCACCAGGTGGAGAAGGGACATGTTCCTATGTGACCACTGGCCTGTCCAGGGACTAAGGTTCAGAACTTCCTAAAATCTACAGATGCCTTCCCACCTAAGTCAAATCCAAAGCGAGCCCCTGACCCTCTAACACTGGTGAACACCAGATGGTCCAGGCCCGCCTTCCGAGGTGGGGCTGCCATGACTGATCCACTTTGCCTGGATCAGTGTGCTGGCTAAGTCGTCCTTAGTACCAGAAAGGACCCCCTCTGGTGATAAACACCCCCAGGTGCCCTTCATCTTTCCTAGTGGGCTACTTACTGCATCCCTGTTATTCACCCCGCTGGCATTTGTTGACTAGAGGACAACATGCTGACCGTGGTCTTGTTTGGAAAGGAGCTGTGAGGAAGGGACGGGTCTAGGGCCTAGTCACAGAGACCAGTCACAGGTCGCTGGAAGAGGAACTAGGGAAGAGGACCCCTGCTCGGCAAGGAGAAGGCAGCCTGTGACCACCAAAGATGTGAACTCAAGCAAATGAAAGAAAAAACTACTTTGCCTGTAGACTTTTTTTTTTCTAAGTAACTTAGAAGCACCCTGGTAAAACACTATTGCCACCCAAACTGTCCCCGCAAATAATAAACCAAGAAGAAAATCAGTGCCCTGACCTGAAAACTTTCCTATAAAGACCACTGCGCTCTGCCCAGCAGACTGGGGTGGCTGGAGAAACCACCCTTCTGCCTACCTTGAACCCTGAGTGGTGGTCCCCATGGGCCTGGAGCGGAAGCCGTGCTCTGGGCCACTTGGGAAAGGGTCATTTAACCTCTGTGGCTCTCTACTTCCAAAAGGAGAAGCTCTGTCCCACCCTTTTTACCCAGGAGCTTGCTGAACCTGACCACAAGTCCTCAGGGCCTGGAAGCCTGGCTGGGCAGCCAGCCCCACTGCTCAGAGGTAGTGCTGAAAATCCCTGATTCAGGAGCTGGGTGGTGGGCATTTTGGTCATTCTGACGGCTCGGTGGGGCTTCGGGCCCCTGCCACATCCCAGGGTCACTCCTACACCAGCTTGCCTCTCAAAACACATGGCCCCTGGGCCCCAGAGAAGAAGGTGGCTAGGGTCCCTCTGGTTCCACACTCCCAACCCAAGCCCCGGTGGGCAGGAGACCACCCCTTTGCAGATCCCTTCATGGGGGGGCTCCTGCAGGGCATGAGGTGTATTGAGAGCAGAAGGGAGCAACTGTTCAGAAATCAAAGCAATGGAGGGAAAACTCCAGGGTAGGGTAGGAGGCAGTGCTGACCCTGGAAGCCTGCCAGCATGCCCCAGGGGGGCAGCAAGGCCAGGCCACAGGTCACATGCCTGAGCCAGCAAGTTGGCCCAGCCAGCCCCTCAGCCACACACTCCCAGACTAGTAAGTGGGTAGCATTTGTGCAAAACGGCTTGTAGCCCCCTTGTCCGCCTGTGCCATGTAGCCCACATGGTCGTTGCAACCCTGGAATCCAACCAGGAGCTCTTCTGTCCACACAGCAAAGGAAGAGGGCCCTAGTGCAATCCCATTCTGTGCCTCTCCGCCCTGGGGCGGAGGCCGGGGCTCCTGCCCCACCCCCTGCCGGGCCTGCAGAGTGGCCGAGCTCTTCTGCCTGTCGTGTCCTCTCACAGAGCCACGTGGGCTGCAACTGTAGGACGATGAGGCATCGACTGCACAATGGAAGGAAGGAAACCCATTGAAATGGAAATGTAGACAATGAAATAAAAAGAGAAGCCACAACCCTTCATGCTGCTGCGGCCTCTGGACACGGCAACACACGAGTTCACGGCAGTTGCACGCAGACTGGGGTGGTTCTCTCCTGAGCGCCAGGCCTCTGCCCCAGAGCACTTGCTTCTTAGGCCTGGCGTGGTGGCCGGCAAGCTGCTCACCCAGGGCGCTCGGCCACCTCCCACCGTCACTGCTCAGCTCGGCCATGCTCCCAGGCCATGCGGGCCTGATCCTCCTTGGTGCTCCCGGGAGGCATGGAGGCCTTGCGGTGCAGGCCCCGTGGCCTGCCGGCCTCTTCTCGCAGCAGCACGCCCTCATCGTGCTCCGGGGCTGGCAGGCGGGTATGGTGGGGTTTGGGTGGCAGTGCAGGTGGGTCCATGGCGTCCTGAGGGATGACGCATCCCGGGGCTGAGTGGCTTCGGCATGGCTGGGCCTTGATGGAGTCCAGAACAGCAGACTCAGAGAGGCTGTAGTGGACAGGGAGGTAGGGCGGCTCAAGGTCGTCCTCAGCATTCCAGGCCTGGCTCGGCATGGAGTCCATGGTGTCGGTTCGAGGTGGGACCTCTGAAGAGTGCCCAAAGTTACTCTCGCTCAAGGAGGACACGCCACTGCTGGCGCTGCCGGACAATGTCGAGTTGCTGCCATCCAGGCCCGACTGGGGGCTTGTTGGGGAGGCTGGGATAGGGTGGAGGGGAGACTGCACAAGAAAGGGTGGGCATGTTAGAAGTCCTGTTCCCAGATGTGCTGACTGGCCACCAGGTGACGTGCCAAAAGCCTGTTATTAACAGACCTTAAAGTAACCCTTAACAGCAGCAAGTCCCAGGCCCCTGCCCCCAGCAAGCCTCTGGAGCCCCCCAGTCACCTGCACTTCTGGGGGCCCAAAACGGCCCTGCTGTGACTGTGTGGCACTTGTGCCCCCTGCAGGCAGGCCCCAGACTGCCTGCATGGTTCTGGGCACTGACGAGGGTGGAGGTCAGGCGGCCCTAGGAGGGCCGTGGATGGAGGAATTTACCCCACTGCTTAAGTCAGTGGATGGAAGCAGTCTTTTCCAAAGTGCAGAAAAATTAACTCACTGCATTTTTCTTAAAGCTTTGGTGCCCGATGCTTTTTGCTTTTGAGTGGACTCCAGGCTGGAATGCTCTACGACCCACCCCAGGGATGTTTCTCTGCCTCTAACTGTGGTGTTGACCCCTTGTGGGGTGGGCAGAGCCACCTGGCTTCCCCCTGTGTGGTGCCCTCAGCCCCCCACTCCCACTGTAGTGTTCAGGACACACTGGTTTCCTGTGTCCCAGGTGTGGCTCTGGCCTCCACCAGCTCCGGCCAGGCTGGGCTCTCGGCGAGAAGCCAGGGGCTTGGTTCTCACTGCAGCCCCAGGGGTGGTTTATCTCGCAGGCCGGTGGGCTGCCACTTCCAGACATTACCTTGCGCAGGGTCCGGGCAGGGAGGGCCGGGGGTGCATCGCCCAGGGGGTGGTGGAAGGCGTCAAAGTGCAGGGAGTAATGACCTGCAAAGGGAAAGAACCAGAGCCTCAGTGGGCCCCTCGGGGCCGCACGCCAGCACACCTTGCTAGGCAGAGGTGGGAAGAGTCTCCTAGGGACCTCTTGCCATTGAAGGCCACCGGAAAGCCTGCTTTCACTGTAGTTCTGCAAGACACAGGCTGCTGGAGTAAAAGATAGCCCTGCCACACAAGAGGTCCAGGTCGAGCACGTGGGAGCCTGCGCTGTCGGTTCCGTGTCTTCAGCCTCGGGGGTCAGGAAGGCCTCGCTGAGCCCACAGCCCAGCAGGAGCCTTGCCGTGGCAGGAATGTCTCCTTGGCCGAGTCAGCTCCGAGAAAGGCCCGTCTTCTCAGCCTGGGGGCTGCTGCTCTTGCCCCAAGCAGAGTCTGAGACCAGGGACTATCTGGGGACCCGCTGGACGTCTTCTTACCATGCAGCAGGCTTCGGGGAGGCACCGGGGGAGCTGGGATGTGGCCCATGTGGGCAGACAGGAAGGGCCGGGCCTCTCGGGCTCCGCTATCCAGGCTCCAGCTGCTGGGGGCTGCTGGCACCGCTGAGGGGCGGAAACAGATGGCATGAAGGGGGGTTACTTCTTGAGCGACACTCCAGGAGAAGCCCATCTAGCCAATGGCTTCTTCAGGTGTGCCCTCTGTACCCAGCACACGTGGGAGCCAGCCCTGGGACAAAAACGCTGGCCAAGCAAGACACTGGCCCACAGGGTCAGAAGCTGCTTCGGAGGGCAACAGAGTTCTGTTGGAAGATCACAGAGCAGGCAGATGAGCCCGGACAAGCAGAGGAAAGTGCAGGGCTCTCCTACCACCTGGCCAACAGCCAGGGGGACAGCAGGGAGCAGGCAGCAACAGCCACCCTCTAGAGCTGGCGCACACCAGGGAGTGGGCAGGAGCTGCCCCACAGATGGCTGAGAGGGAGGCTGTGCGACCCATGGTGCTTTGGGGCATGTAGAGGCCGGGTGCCAGCACCCACCTGCCATGAATGCAGGGAGAGTGGACCATGGACAAAGGGAAACGCAGTGCCAACCCACGCTAAGGAGTCCAGTGCCAGAATACCAGCCTCTCGGCTCTGGATGGGTGAGGGGCTGTGCAGGAGAGGACAGGGGAGGAATGGCTGGATCCTGGGGTGGGAGGTGCCACTCTGCAGGAGCAGCCAGGGGCACATGGACCCTCCTGGCCAGCTCCTTCTGGAGGCACTCACACCACCGATGAGCAATGTGCCTTTTCTGTGATGGAGCCAGGCAGACAGGCTCCCTTTTGGGCCCTAAGTGGCAGAGAAGCAGCTCAAATCCAGGGCCCTGCAACTGGCTTGTTCTGGGCCAGTCATGGCTGAAGTGAGCCTGAGGACGCTGAGGTTGGGCCTTCCAGCTGCAGGTACAGAGTTGGGGTGCCAGGGCACCCTGGACCAGAGAGGCTCTGGAAGAAGGAGCTGGAGTCTGACCTTCAAGGAGGATGAGGCCACAAGGCGGGCCCACGTGGTTCAGAGGTGAGGTGGTGACACCCATCCTCTCTCTCCTTGCTGGCCAGGACCTGGCACGGGCTTGTCGCAGGACACAGACTAGAACCCCATTATCCATGCACCTCTGCACTAGGCAGGGCCGCTGGGGCACTCAGGAGAGTGGAAGGCTGGCGGCTGGAGGGGGCCATGGCAGTAGCCGGCTGGGCTGGCACTCAGCTGGTGCCTGAAGAGAGGAAGGAATTCGGAACCTGATGAGCATCAGGTGTATTTGAGCAGGAAGCCACCTTGCCCGAGAGCAGGACAGGCCCAGCCCCACGCAGGCTCTCCATAGGGGGTGGCCTGAGCTCATGGCCTCAGCACTGCGGCTCCCTTTGCCCAAGAGAAGCTGTGTCTCCGTAAAACACTACCAAATCTCAGGGAATTGGGAGCTTGTAGGTGGGGCAGGGCAGCTTCCCCAGTGATGTTCTGACAGCCTGAGATCTCAGGTGCACCTCTAGGCCCTGAAAGGGTTGTGCAGCGGCAGTTCACTCACAAGGGCCCAAAGGCCCTCATGGGCAGGAAGGCTATGGGGGAGAAAAGCCATCAAGGCCACAAGTGTTCACAAAGAGTGCCTGACACAGCCACTCCATGCGAGCCAGATGGCAGCTCACCCTGCCGCTCGCGGCTGGGAGCAGGAGGCTGCCTGCCTGCCGCCACGCAGCCCAAGTGCGCTGGGGCTGCTGGGGAATCTAGGACGAGGGGCCGACCCCCGAGGGGCAGCACTCCCCACCGTGTCCTGGCCGTCTCTCCTGCTGTGTATCAACAATGGCCCAGCACTGGCCTGAGGTCCCCAGTGCACAGCTCACAGCCCTGAAGCAGGCTTGCCTGGTCTGGGAGTCACTGCCTGGCAAAGAGAGGAACCTACAAATGAAGTGGAGTCCCTGTAGGACTCAGGGTCTGATGACAAGGGACCACTGACAAGCAGGTTCAGGTCCTGTCCTGGAGGACCCAAGACTTAGGAAGTTCTTGCTCCAGCCTGTGTGCCCACTAGGCAGATGTCCACTCTTCTGCTCGCTAAGAGGCAGCCCCGTGGTGTGGACGTGCTTGCTGTGGGCTGGCCTCTGCTCAGAGACAACCCTCTTTCCATGCCATCCCCCGCAGCGGCGTGCCTGGCTCCCTGTTGCAGCGTGGTCTGCAGCCTGCGGCTCCTCTGTGCTTGGCTGCCGGAGGCTCCTGGTCTGGCCACCAGCACCCATGTGACTCTGAGCCCATCTGTGCTCTTGGCTAGTTCTGAGATTGCTTCACATCTCAAGTGAAGAAAAGCCATGGTGGATTCTGGCCCCTTCAGACCAAAAGGGCACTCTGTTTGGGGCACAGGTGCAGGGGTCCAGGTAGGCAGCGCGCTCTGGGGATGTGCAGCTTTGAGACTAGGAAGGCATCTTCATTCAGAATCTCCAAGGCCTTTGTGGCTGAGCACATGGACCGATGCTTACCAGGCACTGAGGTCATGTCCTCTGTGATGACAAGGGGGGACAATGACAGTGGAGACAGCAGACATCACTTGGTGAGGAGATGTGATGGCAATGTGACAACAGCTATGGTGGGACACGCCTGTGCTCCTGGGGCATGTGTGCGCCCTGAGCGCCAGCACAGGGAGGAGAGGGGCCGCCACAGGGCCAGGCGGCCCACCCAGTCCTCGCCAAGGTGCCGCTCTGGAGTCAGCTCAGGTCTCCATGGCTGGGGCTGTGGGCCAGGGTCTCCCGGGCCTGGCTCTCCCATCAGCTTGCTAGTGCAGAGCCCAGGTTCAAACCCCACGGTCTGAGCAGCCTCTTCTGTGGGCTGCCTGGTGTCACGGTGTAGGTGATGGGTCTGCAGTGTATAAGGTGGACTCGGCAGATGCTGCAGGGGGACTGACCCCCCTCCGGGCCCCCAGGGCTCCCCATGGACAGGACTGACTCTGGGAATTCACTTCACCATGGCCTGCCCTTCCTATCCTTTGTGGGGCTTGCTTGGCTGCAGGCCTGTTCAGAGCAACCAGGAGAGGCCCCAGGGAGTCCAAGTTGGGAGGGAGCAAAGGGACCCCAGGCAGAGCCTGCTGAGTCCTGGGGCCGCTGGGAAGAGCCCAGGGGAGTGGCCCCCCCCAGCGTGCACACGGCAGCCCGTGTTTCCGGGCTCAGGAGGGTGGAAGCGAGGCAGACTAACAGGGCCCACACCCTGGCAGCCAGCCAGATGTGGGTCGAGCAGCAGGCAGAGGAGCTGGTCAGGGCTGGGCCCACAGACCGGCCTGGGTGCTGGAGTGTGGCTCCACCTCTGCTGGCTGGTGCTCAGGGACCAGGGTCAGGCCCTCAGCGTGGGGACAGATACAGGGGCGGCCTGCGGGCAGGGGAACAATACCTTTCTCAGCCACAGACAGGTTGGGGTCGCTGCAGGGTTTGCAGGCCCCCACTGCTTGCTGGAACAGGGCCCGCTGGAAATTTGGCAGCTGAGGGAAGGAGAAAAACATTGGAGTGTGAAAATCAGCTACACCTCCGGGGCAGCATTGCAGGTCACAGGAGCCAGGGCTTTCTAAGGCCAGGAGCGGTTCCCGGGGAGGCCAGCCGCAGGAAGGCTCCGCAGGTCTGCTCTGAGGGCCGCCGTGTGCGGCCTTCGAGGTGCCGCCCTCCGTATCTGCCTGGCCTCCCGCTGTCTCGTGCAGGACTGAAAGGCACAGGCACCTGGGACTCACAGGGAGACGCCTGGCAGAAAGGATGCAGAGGTGCCCCTCCCTCCCGAGCCCTGGGACATTCAGCCTCCTGGACACCGCCAGCCCCACCTCCAGGCCCCTGGCAGTGCCGAGGGTGGCCAGAGGGCAGCACTTCAGCCTGGAGGTGCAGCCGGGACCCACTGCTCCCCCAACTGGCGGGGCTGACCAGGCACAGGGTGGTGCCGTGACAGACTCCTGGCACTTCGGACTAGGTGACTGTTGTGTGGAGATGACTTCTGGGGACTCTGATAGGAGGGTGGGCAGATGAGATGGGAAGGAGTGAATCCCTGAAACTCCTTATTCAGGACCCCCAGGAGGGTATCTGCAGAGCTGGGCAAACGGTATAGATAGTCCCTGCAGAGGCTCCGGGTGGGTGGAGAGGCAGACGAAGGAGGCAGAGTTTGCCCCCACGGGGATGCCCATTCCACACACACGCAGGAAGACCATCGTCCGGGCCCCTGCACACAACTCCCTCCCTTCTTGGGACAGTTTGCTAGACACTTTAGGGCCAAGGAGTCCAGGAGGGGCCACAGGACAGAGAGCCACCCAAGCAACGGTGGCTCCAACTTCACTGCCACCCCACCCACAGCTGCACTCCCTCTGGACTGTGGCCCTCAGATTCACTGTGGGCGCAGCCGGGGACCAAGCAGCCTCCCGGGGTCTCCAGCAGAATGAGCGAGGCGCGCAGTACAATGCAGAGGGCCTAGCAGGTGCAGTGAGGGAAGCCAGGGCCAGCAGAGTGTGGCCAGAACGCCGGCTCTCTACCTGTCCATTCTCCAGGATGGCCGCTGGGTACATGGCGCTGCTTGGGCGGTCCCGGTGTGTGGGCAGCAGCAGCATTTCCCGGGCGTGTCGGTACTTATCTGGCAGAGAGGGAGAGCCTGTAACCAAGTGAGAACAATCACGCACAGATGACAAGCCACAGACAGAGGGCCCAGCAGGCAGGCGCCCTCGGGGCGGGGGACCCAGGGCTGGCGCCCTCTGCAGCTGGGGTGTGGGGCGCAGCGAGCACCCGGGGGACTGGGGCAGAGCCTGTGGCTGGATGCTGTCCCAGCCGAGGCAGGCACACTACGGCCCCTGGCAGAGCCCCCACAAACCCAGAGGTGGCCTATGAGCAGAGCTGAGGACTGGACTTGGCCCTGGGGGCTTCCTGGGCCCAGCACTTTGGGAGATGGATGTGGCCTGGGTGCTGGGCACCTTCATGGGGGTACAGGCCAGCTTGCAACGGGGCTATTGCCCAGAGCAGAGATACTCATAACACAGCGGCACAGTTTTTACCTGACACACCGTCTCCACACACTTGCCTTTTTAGACACTGCTGGCCCTGTTCTCAGCTGGCCCCCTACCACCACCCCTTCCCAGAGGCTCCTCCCTCCCACATTCTAGGCCCCCAGCACCTGACCTCTGCCCTCGGTGCTCCAGCCTCAGAGCCAGGCTGGCTGGGCGCCCTGGGCCCTGTGCCCAGGTGGCTCTGCAGGGTTTCTCACTCTGACACCTGCCCTTTGGTGACCTGGGGTCACGGAGCTAGTCTGGGAGCTGTGGGACTGTAACCCAGGCTCCTGAGCTGTCTTGGTTCATGCTTCTCCCATGTAAGGTCCCTCCCTGCAGTGAACTCCTCTGGCCTGAGGTGTTTTCTTGGGGTCAGACCATGCCAGATGTGGTGTGGTGCAGTCCCCACTGAGGTAGGCCATAGCTATAGCCCAGGGACCTGTCCCCACGGTCCTCGAGGGGGTCCTTCCCTGTGGGTGGCTGGTCTGGAAGGCCCTCTACTTGTCCCCTGGCAGCCTCTGGCTGGCTCACGTGGTTGAAGGCCCTCTCTATGACGTGCTCTCAGCAAAGCCAGAGAGCTGAGGGCAGCCCTGGGTGCCACCTGGGTGGGGAGCCTGCCATGCAGGGCCTCAGTGTCCCTGAAGTCCCAGGGCCTTCACCTGACTGAGAGGCACTCAGAAGCACTGTCAGGGCACAAGGAGAAATGGTCTTCTGTAGCCGCCTTGCCCCAGGAGCCCTTGACAAATTCCTGTTGAACTCATTTTAGCCCTTGAAGATGAGGCTTAAATGCCTTGAAGAAGTCAGTGTGATGAAAACTGGTAATGCAATTAACTCATGTAAACTTCCATAGCTGTCTGAGCGTGACTGCAGAGCCCCAGGCTGGCTTTGAGACCCAGTCCTAAGAATATCCTTCATCAATAGGGGGATGAATAATAAAGCATGCTTTTTAAAAAAACAAAACAAAACAAAAGCTAGACCTGAATTACTACTATTTGGTGATTTCTTTTCTGATTTCAGTGTTTTCTTTTAGAACTTGTGCTTGAGGCAGCCTCAAGAAATGGCTGTGTAAAGGAAAATGTAAAGAGCTCCAAATCCCACTAACCCCTACAGGGCCTTTCCAGCTTGAACCCGTGGGAGCTCCCTGACCCTGGCTGGCCTCAGCTCTGGACGGGGTACAGCACTTGGAGTGTGAGCATAGACTCAGTGCCTTCCAGTCAACTCAGTCCTTCCAACTTCCTAACACCTACCCCACCCAGGTGCGCAGCGGGCATGCGGCACACAGCCTTGCTCAGGTTGGCCATGGTCTCGGACCTCACAGAGCTCACAGTCTAGCTCAGGCCAGCACTGTATCTGTACTCAAATTACCCTGACACATGTCAGGGGCTGGAATGGAGGAACGGCAGCCTACAGCCCTGCTCCACTGAGGATAGGTGCCCGTATCTGGAGGCCTCTCTGATGCTACGAAAAAGGGGTGCTCTGTGCACTAAATTTCCAACTCTCCAATCTCACTTCTCTCCCATTACCCCCACCCTGGGCCGCTAAGCCCCTGGTAGGAGCAGTCATGGCTACTTTCATGGGAACACAGGAGCCTCTGCGTCAGTCACAGGGCTTTTGACGGACCTGAGCTGTGGTCTGGTCCCCATGGGGCTCAGTCACCAGGAGCCTGGATTGCGATCCCCGGTTTCCCAGCCCTGCCGTCTCCCACCACCAGGGGGCACTGCCGACCTACATGCACTCTGGCTGCGCTGCAGGCCTTCCACCCTGGGGCGCTGGGCAGCAGGGACCACGGCAGTGTGTGTCCGTCCGCCGCAAGGCCAGTCAGTGTGGCGGGGCAGTGACGCCAGCGCCAAGGCCTCTCCAGAACACCGCCCCCCGAGCGCTTCCTTCAGCACCCCACACTCAAGCGCCAGCAGAGCGACTGCCCTGCTCCTGTGCGGCCAGCTCGTCCTTTCTGCACGTGCAGCCTTTATCTGAAAGCATGGGTCTTCCAACAATGTTTGTCTCCTCTGTTCTCTCTCGGGGCCACACAGCGGGCCTGACGCAAGCTGGGCGCACGATTCTCTCAGACGGACCTGCAGAGCCAGCCCTGGGGGGCACTAGATCCGAGCTGCCTCAGCTCGCTTCCAGGCCGCTGCAAATGCCCCCATCTAGGTCGGGGAACCAGACTCCACTGCAACAACTAGCATAGGAACGGGAAAAAGGTGCTGGTGTCCAACAGAGTAAGAAATCAAAGGGTGCTGGCAGAGTGAGCGGCCCCCTACGGAGCCCTCTCTCTCGAGTGTGCCTGTCCCGACGGAGCCGAGCTGTGCCCGTCGGGGTCACTGCTCAGAGTAACATTCCCAGGGTCGGGATCAGCCTTCAAAGCTCATATTCATACTGTCATCACATTTGCTTCCTCAAGACAAGACTCAGTTTGCCTTGATTCTGATCTTTATTCTTGCTTCAAGGGAAGAGCCCTGAGCTCTCCTAGGCGGGGAGCCCTGTGGTGAGGGGGCTGTGGGGCTGCCTCCCGGGTGGCAGCAGAGCTGGGCCCCTGCTCAGAGTGGGCTAGTCCTAAAAGGCAGAGTCCAGTGCTGAGAGCACCGGGGAGCACTGCCTAAGGCCCGGGGCGACACTCAACACACAGCCACAGATGAGCCGAGGACAAGCAGGGCCCGGGAGGCCCCCTCTGCTCCCTCTGCCAGCAGCGCCCTGCCACCCTTACCTCGGGCACTGGACGGGGCAGAGGTGATCATCTGGGATGGTGCTGAGTGGGTGGAACTCAAGCTGGAGGAAGAAGGGCTTGCCTGGGACGAGGACAGAACAGAGACGTTGGTGGCTGAGCCCTGGTACCTGGGGCCGGGATACGCGAGCTGCAAAGGGAGAGAACCGGCAGGGTAGAGGCCTCCCCGGCCGGGCCGGGCTGGGCTGGCCTGCAGGAGCCTCCTCGTGCCCCAGGGAGCCAGACCCAGTGTCTGACACTGAACCCCGGGCCCTGATGGGGGTGCTGAGGGTGGCTCACACCGCTGTGAGTTGCCCCTAGTATGGTGCCCGGGGAGGGAGTACCAGGCAGGAGGGCAGCTGGCGGAGCATCACTGCCCGGGAGCCTGCAGGAACTGCCGGGACCGCTGCTGGACTTCCCTCTGGGGGAGCACAGCCTGGAGGCTGCGGCGGGGGCAGTGGGCAGAGACCTCTGATACCCCCCGGGCACGTGCTGGTACCTGCATGTGGTGGTACAGGTCCTCGGGAGCCTCGCCGATGGCGCTGCCCCCCAGCATCACCGCGTTTCCCGCTTCACTAGACGCGTGTGAGGAGAGGGAGGAGGAGGAGTGGCGGCCTGTGCCCATCAAGGTCACGGGGCTGCGGACGAAGGTGGGGGCAGTGGGGGTCAGGCCGGCGCAGAGGAGCCCCGCCAGGGGTGGGGTGGCGGGCGGAGGCGGGCGCGAGGCAGTCAGCCAGCCCACCACCACGGTCTGCACGGCAGCCCCGCCGGAGCCCCACTCTGCGCAGAGGCCCGGGCGAGGGAGGGCGACGGCCGGCGACCACCGCCCCCACCTGGAGTAAAGGACTTGTGGGCACTCAGTCTGGGGACCCCAGCCGTTCCGCAGGAGAAATGAAAGAGGCGCTAAGTCAGGGCGAGGACCCAGGCCCACCCCTTGCTGGGATCTGCTCTTAGGCCAAGTGTCTTCCTAGTGTGGGGAGGCTGCTGACACTGCTGCTGCGGGCCACGCTCTGCGGCCCCCCACGTGTGGGCCAGCGCCAGGCAGCTCCTCACCTGCTCGCCCCTGCACACCGAGTGCGCATTCCATGCTGCCTGGCCACCCCCCAGTGGAACACATCCGAGAGAGGCCCCTCCCTGGCCTGCCTTCCTGCCCTGGAGGCTTCGGCAGCTGTGGTCGAGCCCTGGCAGACCAGGACTCCTGAGTTGAGAGCGGCCGCACCTGACATCCCCGGCACCATGCTGTTCTCGCCCCGCCCGATCACCGACCGGTGATCCCTGCTCCCCTCGGGGTCAAGTCCGAAGACCTGAATGAGCAAGGCCCCTTCAGAGCTGGCCCTGGGCGGACCTCGGGCCCCGGAACCCCGCCCTCCAGCCGCTTTGCTCTGCCCGTAGGCGGCCGGCCCACCTCGGAGCCCTTTGCCTAGATCCTCGCCCGTCAGCTCCCTTCTGCTTTGAAACCTCTGGCTCACCCTTCAGGACCTGCCCCGCTGCCTGCCGCCTGGATGACCGGAGGTGGCGTGGGCCCTGTGGGGGGCTCTGACCTCTGATACCCAGACTCACCTCTGCGGAGGGGCCCCTCCCCAGCACCAAGGCCGTACCTGTGCCGGTGGGCCATCTTCATGCTCTCGGGGCTCATGGGGCTGTGGGAGGCGAGGACATTTCCCCGTGGGGTGCTGGTGCCTGAACATGAGGGACTGAGCTTGTCCAAACCTGGAAACTCCTGTTGAGAAAGGGTGCCCTTCATCAGACAGCGAGGGAAAGTAAGTGAGGCTGGGAGGGGTGTGCAGGTGGTGGGAATGTAAAAGCAGAAGAATCCCATGCTGTTGGCTGGGCCTGAGAGGCCGGCTTTCTGAAGGCAACAACATCCTCATGGCTAAGACACCCTCTCTGCTCTGAAGCCCAACCCTGAGGCCCTGAGGTGGCGGGCAGACCCACCAGGAGAACAATCTGGAATGAGCTGAAGCGGGTCTGAGCTCACAGGGTGTGCTCAGAGGTGCTGCCGCTTCAGAGCCAGCAGAACAACGGGAAGCAGGGGGAGGCGATTACCAGGCTCAGTCAGTGGGCGCCTCTTACGTAAAGGTAAAAGGTTGGGGTTGGATTTTATTGGGTTGCAAAATGGCCGAGCTCTTAGTGACCTGGGCTCTGTTGTCTGGCACAGTCTATGGGGAGACGGGCACTAAGTCCAGATGTAAGTAACTGAAAAACAGCCCAGTGCTAGTTTAGCGTTGTCAAATTCTTATTAAGTACGTAGATACACTGGCAAAAACTTCTGATCCCAAAGCCTCCTGGGTGGCAGCACATTGATTTGTGTCCATATTTGTGCTCTGGGCTTCCTCGTGTCCTCCACAGTCTATGGCCCTAAGTCCACTGGAGCCACTTCTGAGCTGGGCCCGGAGAAGCCAGGTCTTCCACCTTTTCTCCGAAGTGTGCGGAGGACCGGAAGCCACTTCTGCAGCTGGACAGGACACCCCGTGTATGTCGAGACCTTGAAGTGCCTGAGCATTCTGTGCTTCTTGCTGCAGCGGCCTGACAGCCTGCCTGGCAGAGTGCACCTTCTGGGCCCGGGCCCTAGCCTGGCTGGGACGGGGGCTCGCCCATGGGAGAGATTAGCCACACCAGCAGGAGACAGTGGGAAGAGGCCATGGAACACTCATCAGACTCAGGGGCCCACATTCCTCACCAAACAGATGTGCTCATTTCTAAGGCGGAAACAAAAGACATTCTCTATGTCTTTCACCTTGAAATACACGGACGATTCATTACAGAAAGGAGACATTTCGGACTTTCTGAGCTTTCATCTGGCAAATATGCCCACCCTTCAAACTACAGGCAACCTTCTTTTTCTCCTTTCACATTTCATGCTGTTCGGGCCTGGGCAGGCACAGGCTGGGGCCGAGGCCTGGAGGGACAGAGGTGACTGTCAGAACTCAGGAGCAAGGCTGAGGAGCCCAGCCTCCCCAGGGCCTCTGTCGCTACTGGGGAGCTTCCTGTCCACAGCGCTCAGCACCCAACAGCTCTGCTCTCGCCTGTCTGCCACCTCCACTCTGTGGTCCTGGGGTGAGCAGAGAGCAGCAGGTGGCTGGGCTCTTAGACCTTGAGGTCTGGCAGACAGCAGGCTTCTCTGGAAAACACATGGAGTCAGCCCCATTCTTGAAAATGGGGCGAGGGTCTGTGAACAGGGGGTTCAAGACCAACTGAACCCTATCCTCAGCCAGCCAGCATTCCTGTCAGACCCCCAGAGGGAGGGAAACTAGTCCTTGGGTACAGGCCCTGCTTCTGCTTATGTGCATCTATCCTTGGGCCAAACCTTGCCAGGCAGCCCGAGAGCCAGGCCGGCCCTGAACCTGCCTGGACCCTGTAAGAGCAGCCAGTGCGAAAGTGCTGCCTGCCCGAGGCTGGCCCAGATGTGGGCTGGGCGGCCAGCCATGCTAGACGAGGGGGAGGAGGGAGGGGAGGAGGGCAGCCGAAGGGAGGGGGCGGAGAGGGACAGCAAGGGAGGTGGGCGAGGGCTGGCTCCGGTGTGCCCGCTTCCGTAGCTTCTTGGGATGGAGAGTATCTCCAAAGAAATCTCTACATGTGGGCCAGATACTTTTGCTCTTTTCCTCCTCATATGAATGCCTCTCTTCGCCAGCATACTGCCTTGAGAAAACGTTCTTTGACTTGAATCTGACCCTCCTCCGGGGGGGAGTGTCCACGGGGACCCTGCGCACCCCTAGCCTGGACAGAGCTGCCCCCTCTGCTCCCTGTCTCTCTGCCTCTGCGGGAGGAGCCGTTCCCCTCACAGGCTCCGTGACTCCTGCAGCTCCCTGTGCAGGTCTGCAGGAAGTGGAGGTGGGCCTGTGGCAGCAGGGCAGGACGCTCCGCTTACGTGGTGGAGGCTGGCGCGCATCACCTGGAACTGGTCAATCAGTTTCTTATGCAGAGGGCGCATCTCTGGGTGCACGAACTTCTCATGAACTGCCAGCCCGACTCCAAGGATGTGGACCTATGAAGGTGACGGACAAGTCCCTCTGCTAGCCAGGGAGCAGCCATGCAGTAGCACCTGGTCTCTCCCTACTGGCCACTGGCCTCCAAGCCCTGCAAAACGTACCTGCTCCTGCATGAGCTCCTTGAGCTGGGCGATCTTCTCAGAGTCCCCTGGGTGCTTGGTGATGTACTCTTTATCGAAGAAGGCCTGTGAGAGGAAAGGCCACATCAGGACACGTTCCAGGACTACTACCTAGGGGGCCCAGGGGGCACGCGTCTGAGGCGGCCCCCTCCTCACACACACACGCACCAACACGCCTCTAGCTGGCCTGCTTGAATGTCCTGCAGTCACAGGTGCGCGTTAGTGTCTAAGGGGGATGGAACATGGCCGTGTCCTCCGAGCCTGGATGAAGGTACCCGTCCTCATGAAGCCTGCATGGCCTGGGTAGGGCTGGCAGGGCCAGGGGCCAGGGTGTGGGGCAGGTTTCTTAGCCAGCCCAACTTGCTTCTTGTAAAGGGCTGGGCTCCGCGGCTCCTCTCAGAGGCCACTTACACCCTCCCGTAATCAGATGGATTGCCCATCTGTCAGGGCTCAGAGAACAGAGGAGACACAGTGTCGCCAGAGAGCCAGGCCGTGGAAATAGGGCGCAACGGGAGTGTTGGCTGGCGGGGGGGTCAAAGCCTCACCTAGGGCCACCCTCAGCTCAGGCACGGGCAGGAGTTGGAGGGTGCCCTGGGGGGCTAGAGCCTCAGGAAGAAGAGCTGAGACCCCCTCCGCAGCTAGGCTGCTGTGGTTCCATCCGAGGCCCTCACCTCTTGGTAGCGCGCAACGCCGCCATTGACAGCCGCGTCGATGACGCCGTTCAGGCACATGCTCAGCAGGTTGATGTTGCCATGTGCCTGTTTGTGTTGGTACTGGCCGATCAGGGCCCGCAGCTCCTGGTTTTTATTCTCGACCACTTGGATGGCATTCTCCAGAGGGCTCACCTCCACCTGAGGCACACAGCACATGGTGTCGTCCTTGCCGCAGGGACACACCTCCCTCACCGTGGTCCCGGGAGCCAGGTCAGGTCTGTGATGCAGACTCCCTGCCCTGGTTCCTGGGACTTGGGACTCCCTGGGCCCTTTCTGATGTTCATTCTCTTTTGATTCATGTGCTCAGGAGCACAATGAGCAGTGAGATGCACCAGTTCTGGGTCAGACTGAACCTCAGAGACTAGTTTCTGCATTTGTAAATTGGGAGACTAAAATACCAGCTTCCTGGGGTGCTGTGAGGATCAAGTGAGAGCAGGTGGACAAAGCACCCTGCACAGAACAGGCCTGTGGCAGCTGAGGCGAGGCAGGGGGCCGAAGCACTCTGCTTCAGTCCTGAGAAGGGTCCCCAAAGCCAGGGCCGGGGAGCCATGGGGAGGCCAGCCCCACCGGGAACATGTCTTACCAGCTCCCGCCTCTCCACTTGGAACCAGCGGGAGATGCCAGGCAGGCTGTGGCTCAGGGTCAGCGTGGTGCGTTCGATCCACAGGCTCTGCAGGAGGTGAGGGCGGCTGTTAGGTGGTTCCTGCCACAACCCACCTGCCCGGGGCGAGAGGGTGCTGAGTCCCCAAGCACAGGGACTAGCCCCTGGCCTCAATGTAAGTGCAGCCCTGCTTCTGTTCACCTTGAATTCATTCTCCTTGTCCTTGGGGCCTTTGTGAAAAGGTCTGTCGTACCGGAACCGCCTCACGTTGTTGACGCGGTAGAAGCTCTTGACACGGTCCGGGACCCTATCCATCTGCAAGACGTCCACATAATCTGGAATGGGCGTCACTGCATAGATCTGCAAGTCTGGTTGGGAAGTGAAGGGGAAACCCAGACTTGCCAGAGAGAGGGACCCGAGGAGCTAACTCGTCACCCCCAAAGAAGAGAGGAGCATATACACTGTGCTCCTCACGGGCACAACAGCACCTCAAGGCGCACATCACACCTGAACACGCTTAGTTCAGATCCCCCATCTGCACTTCTCCGAGGCACCACCCAGGCCTCGGCACCCCATCTCCCTCCTCTGCCCCCGCCCCATGCCCGGGGCTGTGCTCAGTCCTCCAAAGGCCAGGGACAATATCTGAGCACACAGAAGTGGGGCAGGGCACAGAAGTGGTGGCACTGCTGCAGCAAGAGTCCTGGTGGGGCCCCAACCCCCCATCATGGGCAGGGCAGCAGCCGGTGGGGGGTTCAGGGTGCCCTGAAGGCCTGCTGACCACACGGCCCTCAGCTACAGGCGTGCCATGGCCGGCCCGAGGCAGACGTGCCCTGCTCGGGCGACAGCCTGCAAGGCCAGGAGCATGGCAGAGGGGCAGCTGCCTGGCTGGGCTGCACCTCCCAGGGGCCCAGCCCTCCGTCCCCGAGTGTCAAAAGATACACTGGGCATCGCACTGCAGGATGGCATCGTCGGGGCGGTTGGGGTGCTGCATGGCGACGGCCTGCGGGAACTCGCTGAGCATCCTCTGCTGGAAGGCTTCCAGCCTCTCGTAGTCGTGGCCACGGCACACGTACTCCTTGTTCTGCCACAAACATGAGCGCACATGCAATGCCTCGCCGGAGCCCCGCCTGTGCGCGGCAGCTCCTCGTCTCGCCCCGGCGGCCTGGAGCCCTGGGGCAGGCCCGAGACACAGCACTCAGTCCCTGCCCATCACTGCGGAAATGGCGGACATGAAGGGAGAGGGCCAGCAGGAGGACGCACGCGGGCGTATGGAGAGCGCCTCGTGGGCAGAGAGCCCTGGGCCATCCGGGTCAGCCTGATGCAGCAGAGTGGGGGAGGGCACCTAGGCAGATCCCCTTTGACAAAGCGGTGTCGGGCACTGACTGGCAGCCCCCGCCGGCCCACCTTCAGAGGAGGGGGAAGAGAGAGGTTCCGCGGGGCCAGCCACACGCGTCCCCATGCACGGATGATCACACACCAGGCCTCGGCGGAGCCCCACCGTTTTGGGGTAGGATTTCTGCCCCCCGTTCATTTCCGCTCTGGCCCACACACCCAGACGGATCGGAACGGGAGGGGACGCCGCGGTCAGGGGGTCAGGCTGGCCTCTCCCCTGCAATAGACCAGTAGTCACAGGACAGAGGCACAGCCAAGCCCCTGGCCTGACATACAGAACTGACCAAGAAGGGAACAGGGAAGGGCCTTTCCACAGCCGCTCACACATGAACAGTCCCCACCAGGGTCTGCTCACAGGTGAGGTGGAGAGGAACAGAGACTGCCCCACGAGGGAGGGCTGGATGTTTTCCTGTCTCCGTGCAGATCGGCAGATCATCTCATTCGTGAGGCGAGGCGGGCAGATGGTCCAGAGAGAGCAACCTGCCAGAGCTAAAGTGATAGATGGCCTGGTGCTCAGGGAAGGTGAGTAGTAGCCTGGCTTTCTGGGGAAGACTGGCAGGGGGAAGGCAGAGCATTGACCTTGAGGCTGGCTGTCAGTTTCAAGTTTGCAGCCCCGTCCGAGCCAGATCTGGCTGCCACCGCTCCACACTTCGTCCTGTCATCCGCCAGGCAAACAGCCACCTCTGCTGGGACCTCCTCCGTTTGCCACCACTGAAATGAGTAGCTGGTGGGGGGGGGCAGGCAGGCCAGGCAGAGGCACAGGCATGAAGCACAGCTACACCTAGGCAGATCCCCTTTGACAAAGCGGTGTCGGGCACTGACTGGCAGCCCCCGCCGGCCCACCTTCAGAGGAGGGGGAAGAGAGAGGTTCCGCGGGGCCAGCCACACGCGTCCCCATGCACGGATGATCACACACCAGGCCTTGGCGGAGCCCCACCGTTTTGGGGTAGGATTTCTGCCCCCCGTTCATTTCCGCTCTGGCCCACACACCCAGACGGATCGGAACGGGAGGGGACGCCGCGGTCAGGGGGTCAGGCTGGCCTCTCCCCTGCAATAGACCAGTAGTCACAGGACAGAGGCACAGCCAAGCCCCTGGCCTGACATACAGAACTGACCAAGAAGGGAACAGGGAAGGGCCTTTCCACAGCCGCTCACACATGAACAGTCCCCACCAGGGTCTGCTCACAGGTGAGGTGGAGAGGAACAGAGACTGCCCCACGAGGGAGGGCTGGATGTTTTCCTGTCTCCGTGCAGATCGGCAGATCATCTCATTCGTGAGGCGAGGCGGGCAGATGGTCCAGAGAGAGCAACCTGCCAGAGCTAAAGTGATAGATGGCCTGGTGCTCAGGGAAGGTGAGTAGTAGCCTGGCTTTCTGGGGAAGACTGGCAGGGGGAAGGCAGAGCATTGACCTTGAGGCTGGCTGTCAGTTTCAAGTTTGCAGCCCCGTCCGAGCCAGATCTGGCTGCCACGGCTCCACACTTCGTCCTGTCATCCGCCAGGCAAACAGCCACCTCTGCTGGGACCTCCTCCGTTTGCCACCACTGAAATGAGTAGCTGGTGGGGGGGGGCAGGCAGGCCAGGCAGAGGCACAGGCATGAAGCACAGCTCCTAGGGGGTCGCGTGGAGATGTGGGTGGACTGGCAGGCGGCACTTCCTAACACCCATCCTCATTCTTCCTCCATCGCTGGCACCCTTGAAAGCACGTTTGAACATTCAGACCATCCCTTGCGAGCATATCTGGAAGGCTCGGAGGCGGGTTCTGTGCCAGGTCCTACTTGTCAGAAAGCTCGGAGAGCCCCAAGGCCACAGGCGTGAGGGTCAGACTACAATGGAGATCTGTTTGGCAGAGACAGAAATGGGGGTACAAAGTCTGGTTTTGTAACACCCAAAATAATGATGTTTTGGAGTAAAATCTGGCATATGATGTATAAATCGTGGGACTAGACAAGGAGAATAAAATGATGAAGCAAACTTTGCATATAAAATGAGAAGGAAGTAGGTTCCAGGGCCAGAATCCTTAGTTTGCTGGAATCTGTCCACATGCTTCTGGCTTCTAGTTCCTGTCCAGCGCCTCCTTTCTCTTCTGCTGGCCTCTGCTCCACGGCTGCTGCACATCCTGCGCTACGGGGACAGCAGACACGGCCTCCTGGAGCACGGGGCCGATGGTCCCTGCAGCGGAGAGGAGCCTGCCCTTCCGAGGAGACCCCACTCTCACTTGCGCTCTGCTCCTGGAAACACCCCCGGGGGATGAGCCAGCACCTCCTTGGGGGGCACAATCAGGCAGGGCCTGCTTGCTGCCTGCTGCTGTTATTAGTTCCCACAGAAATCATTTTTCTCTCAGCCTAGAATGATTACTGCCCAGGAAATGTGCATCTGGAATGTGGTCAGCCTGGACTCTGCTGCTGGCAGGCTGGCCGGCCGGAAGGAGCACTAAGCCCAGTTGATCTTTGATACGATACCAAGATTATTATTGCTCACTGGCTACAGCGATTTCTCCAATACGACAGGCTCCCAAACGTACTGAAGGGATCCGACGGGCTTTCCCAGCTACTCGTTGAGCCTGCGGACACTGCGATTCACTAAGATCCTGGAACTGGGGACAATCAGGGCTCAGCACCAGGGCCCTTCCATCAGCCAGGGTCCTTTAGGTCACCTGAGAACAAGAGATCCTGGCGGGCTGCCTCCCCCTGGAGGCTCTGGGCTGTGCTGATAAGGAGAAGATCACAGCTCTTGACCTGGCGTGAGTATGTCTGTCCTCCCACTCTGTTCACAGGTCAGCTCACCTCCCCCAGGGCAAGCGAGGAGAAGTGGCCGTCATCATCCTGGGCAGAGAACTGGCTGCCTAGAAAAGGCTTTCTGTGTCAAGTGCAGCGCTTAGCAGCTCCCACAAGCCCCAGGAGCAAACACCAGTCAGGAGCCACTGCTAGAGAAGCACGCCTGGTATAGGCCCCTCGCTGATCTGGGTCAGGGAGCACCGCAGAGGAGCCGCACCGACCAGGGAGTGTGGGGAGGGTGAGCTGAGACTGCTCACGTCTTTGCCAGTGAACTCAGCAGCTGTTGTGACTTGGAACCTAGCGCCAGCAACCAGGAAAATTTGGTGGAGACCATCTACGTTCATGGCACATTTCACTTAATTTCTGAATATTTTGCACCAAAGAAAGTGCCTGAAAGCGACCAGAAGCTGAAGCAGGGCCAGATCTTGTAAGGTTTTTTTGATGAAGTGTCCCTGAACGTGGTCATTTCAGGGAAAGCTGCTTCATGAAGCCCCCCTCCTATTCTGCATGTGTGGCTTCTCCCTTCCCTGAGTACCGGTGACCCCTGGGGTCTAAACCATACCGTCATTTTTTAGGTGTGTATGTTGGCAGACTGCAGGCATCCCAGGGCAGGAAACCTGGCCTCTGCTCTGTATTGTCCACAGCCCTCAACCAAGGGCTCAGCCACAGCGGAGGCTCACTCAAACAGTGGTGCCAGGAAGGCGCTCACCCCTCCAGCCAGGGTGGGGTGGGGAAGGGCCATGCTCACCCGAATCCAGCTGAGGCTCTGATAATCGTAGAGGCTCTCATACTGACAGGCCAGCTCCCTGCACAGGGGGATCCCGAACTCCCAGCTCTGCATCAGAAATAGGAACAGGGCTTCAGCACCTCAGGCATCCTTGGAGCAGCCTATTCGAACACATCGGAGGGCGAGGCCAAAGGCCCCGGAGCCTCACAGAGTGCTGCTCAAAGCCAGCTGGGGGCCGCGCCCAGCACGTGCCTCGTGCTGCTGGCCTCTCGGCTTTGCTCTCACGCAGCTCCACCTCCACACGGCCTTTGCCCAGACACCTTGTCAAGGATGTGGGCGCTTCCCATCCATTTCCCACCTCATTACTCTGGAGTTACCTTATTTTTAAAAAGTGCTTACTTTTTGTTGTATTTGTCTCAATTAGAGGATAAACTGCATCAGCACAGGGGCCCAGTTTATTCACTTTATCTTCAGAGCCTACAATAGGGCCAGGCAGGAGCAGGTACTCAGTAAAGATTTGTTTAATGAGTTAATGAAGGAAATAATGACTTAAAGACCACTTAAGCTCAGGAACAGAGTATAGAAACAAGGACTTGGGGCAGGCCTGTCAATCTCCTTTACAGAAACGTTCCAATGTCCAGCAGGCTTCGGAGGGGCCCCAGTCAGGCCCAAGGCCGTTCCTGTGCTGGGGCCCCATCACAGCTGCAGTGTCTTGCCAACCCCGTTCTTTTCCTCGGTTGGACTGGGAATCACTGGATCACTTGATACCCTAAGCTAGGCCCTTGCCCCCTTCCTCTGAACACCAATGCAAATATTTCATTACAGGGAATGTTAAGCTATAGACAAATGGAGCAGAAGAATGAGCCGAGGCGCTCTCACTGAGCTCAGCAATGGCCCCTGCGCCCTGTCTTACACCTTCCACCCCAACCACTCCCTCTTCCCCTCAGTCCTTGAAGCAAATCTTAGACATCACACAACTTCGCCCATAACTACGTCAATATGAATATTTTTAACAAGGACAATATTGGAAAAATCTATTAAAAACAGCATCGGGATAAGGACAGCGCTACCCCCTTTGGGACTGTGTTCCTCAGAAAGAGCATGTTATTCCTACCCCCCGAAGAAACTAATGCTACGTGAATTGAAACTGCAGGGCCAGTTAAAAATATTGAAAAACCGAAGAGCATTTTAAACAGACCCTGACTCCCTGCTCCAAAACAATGTCTCTGCCCAGCAAGCTAAAGGCTCTGCTCCCCCACATTGGAGCTTCAGAAAAGGGGGTGCATGCCAGCCCCCTCTCTGGCTCCAGGTGCCGTGCGGGCAGGTTTCAGCCACTGGCCCACAGCAGGTCTGCCTAGCAGGTGGTTCCATGGGGGCCACATAAGCAGCTGAGCTGTGTGTAGACTTCTGGCCAACCTGCCAAGAGCGTCTGTAGGGATCTGCTCATTTAGGTCGTGAGGGCCCCACGTGGGGCTAAGGGCTCTGCCTGCTGACGGAAGCCCCAGTAGAGCCTTCACCCCTGCTGGGATCACTGCTCATCTGCCTTGCTGGAATCTCTGCCCTGGTTTGTAGCCTGCGCCTCCCAGCCCCACCGTCTTCAGAGTGAGGCAGGACCGGGAGCTCTGGAGGTGCTGTGCTGAGCATGGTGCGCGAGGGCTCTGAGAGCTGACTGCACGCAGAGGGACTGCCCGACAGGGGCGAGGCAGCCCATCCACATCCTCTCTTGGTTTCCTTCTCTCTGGCAGGAGGCAGAGCTGACTGTCCGACTCCCCCCTGCTCTGAAGATGTGTGCTCGTGCACATCCTGGTTGAGCTCTGGCAGGGGCGGCACAAAAGCTTCCCTGTCTGATCTCTGTGCCCTGCGATATAGGACCGGCTCCCGTCTTCACGCCCCTCCCTCCCTCCCTTGGCTGCCATCAGCCATGCCCTCTGGAGCGTCCCACTCTCCTCCTCTGGCCCGGGAGGGCTGACCCTCTGTGGGCTTATAGGCCGACTACCTCACTGGGGGAGAGGCCGGCCCAGTGCTGACTCGCTGACTCGGTCCCACACACTCAGGGGCAGACCCGGGGCCGGAAGAGACTGGGTGCCCGTGAGGCAGGACACAGGCTGGGCGCACGCGGAGGGAAGTGAGGAGGGCCTGGCTGTGGGGTGGGCTGTGCTGAGGACTGGGCCCCTCTTCTCAACCCTCCCCTGGCGTCTTTTCCTTTTCTACTCTCCCCCTGCCACCCAGCTAGCTTCCCTCCTGGCACTAAGGACCCTACAGGGGCGCTTTTCCTGTAGTAGACAGGTTTTACTTTCCTGGAGTCCTTAAGAAAAACCATGAATGCTTTCAAGAAGAACAGGGCAGCCGTGCCCCCCGGTTCTATCAGGTCCTGAGGCACAGAGACAGAGAGGCGAAGGAGGGCTGCTGGGAGGGGTGGGAGATGCCGGGAGGTAGCCTCTGAGGCCGCCCCTCCCTGTCCTCAGCCTGCGTGCATGATATTCAGGCAGGTTTTGTGTTTCATCCCTTGTACATTCTAAGCTTTAAGCCTGCTTTTCTGAACTCTGCTACTGCAGTGGGTGGGTGAAGAGGGGCCGGTGGCGCTCACGTGTCCCCTGGGTAGGCTCCTCGGTTTAGGATGACTCTCCATGCTGTACCCAGCACCATGGAAAGAAGAGGACAAGCACACTACAGGCGCTCATGCACATACACACCATGCTCAGCTGTGCCCTCTGAGCTGGGAGGCTGGGCAAGTGGTTAAGTGGCAGGTCCCGGTGAGGTGGGCGGCAGGAAGACAGCCTGAAAGTACGCTGGCGTGGGGCCCCACGTCCTGCCCTGGCCCGCCAAGGAGAGGGGCTCTGGGCGCCGTGTGGAAAGGGGTGCACGTGGGCCTCCTTTCTGGTGTGGGTCGCGCGGGCTCCTGTGGCTGGCTGGGGGAGGTGCCTGCTCACCCATGCACTCCCTGCTTGGGTCAATGCGCTTGACGGACACAGAAGGCTCTTGTGTCATGTAAAACTGATCATCAGTGGTCCCTGATTTATGGGCAAGTCATTAATATTTAAGTCTTCCTTTTTCATGATGAAAAAAACTCTTTTAAAAAAACCAAAATTTCCATTCCAGTCTGGGGTTCAGCCACTACAGTTCCCTGAATAATCCTATTTCAGCCTGGTAAACATGCTCAGAGCTGACTAATGAGGAAACAGGTTCAACAAGGTACACAACCAGCCTTTCCAGGGTGCAGGAGGCACCCCGCAGGTGGTCGGGGCCCCAAGGCCTGAACCCACGCTGATGCCTGCCAGTCCCACAGGTTCAGCTTGGGTGGGGAATAACCCACTGGGACGGACGCCCAGGCTGTGCTCGGAGGAAGGGAAATCCAAGACCAGGCCTGCCTACAGGCAAAACCCATTCACTTTCTTTTTCTTTTTTCTTTTTTAAATAAAGTTTAAAACCCATTTATTGCTTACAAACTGCAGTCCAGGGCCGAAAACCCATTCACTTTCACTGCTCATCTTTCTACGGCAGATTAGAGAGCCACGCCCAATCTTTAAGTACATCTATCAACAGAAGCGGCCCGGAAGCCCCTGCGCAGGCACCCACCCTCACCTACCCTCCTGGCCCATGCCAGCCTGGGCCCCGCGGTACCAACCTTGCCCTTGCTGAAGTAGTGGAGGATCTTGCGGCACAGGCCCTCCTTGCGCTGCCACTCAGTCTGGGCCGGGTAGTGCAGGAGCTCCCGCAGCGGCCGCTCCTCCCAGCGCAGCAGCTCGCAGTACAGGAGCAGGGTGAACGCCGCCTCTGTGTGGGCAGGAAGCACGGAGCTCTGGGGCTTCTCCCCAGGCACAGGTGCAGCCTGGGGACAGGCTAAGGACACTGGTGCCAAGGGGACAGAGGGCTGCCCAGCCCACCCGCAGCCCCTGACCGGAGCACAACAGGACCACAGAGCCTGGTAGATGCCTTCCCCCTACATTCTCATCACCCATTCTGGGCTCCAGGTAAAGCACAGCCCGGCTGCCTTAGGGGCTGTGCACAGCTTGCCCTGCTCTGGGAGATACCAGCATGTCAGGAAGACTTCCTGGGTTCCTTTTTGCTCAAATGGTGACAGTTTTCCTTTCTAACCTTCTCAAAACTGGCTCTTAGGGGTGAGGGCTGACTAGGCTTCTCTCAGCTCTCCCTAAGGAAGCCTCAATGCCTCTAGCTTTATTTTCTGACCTCAGCATGATCTGGGAATGACCGTTCTCCTCATCTCTATTGTTTCAAGAGGAGCGTGAATGGTGGTTACCAGGATGGGCCTGGAGCCAGAAGCTCCATTCCTGGAGGAACCTGAAGCTGGCACTGGTCCCTGGGCGGAGGTGCAGGAACACCTTACCCATACTCAGGACAGCTGGAGAGGGTCTGTGAGATGCAGCTAGGGGCTGTGGCTCCTAAGCCCCAAGGATGGAGTCACCAGGAAGTAGAGCCGCTGCTCAGGGCCTTCCTGCAGCCTGCTCCCCTGTTCTGGTCGCTCGCTTTTAGGGGGCCCACTCCTGGCAAGTAAATCGGTCTAGACTCTGCCTGGCCTTTGGGGCCTACTCATCCCGGCTCGCCGTGACCACGGGGAATGTCAATCCTAGTGCCTCCATACCCCTCCCAGTTTGACCTGGCACACCTGCTGACAGCCACTCCCCAGGCTTCCCCACAGCCTGCCTCTGTGGGAGCTCTGTTCTCTTGCCCAGGGATGCACACACGTCCCCACTGTACCCGCCCGGAAGCCCATCTCTCTGGGACAAGCCCCTGAGGCACTCAAAGCCTCCCTCTGGGACCTAGGGAACCATATGGAATTGTTTTTCCCTGCCTACATTCTTTTCAGATCCTATTCCTGAGACCACCAGACAAGGGTCAGCACCCTCTCTCTGTCCAAAAGTTGAGCCAGCCCGTCAGCCACAGCCCAGTCCTCCAGGAGTCAGGTAAACTCCCCTCCTGGCCCACGGCATTTATCAGAGCCTGTTGCTCTGGGGCTCAGAGGGCTGCTGGGATCATGGGTACAGTGGACACAGAGAATGGCAGATTCAGCTCAGTCATTTTACATCTAACTCTTGACAAGCTATGTGGTCAGGAAAGGTGGCATTTGTGTCAAACATTGATGACATCTAGAGATAAGGAAGGGGGATTCTGTGTTTCTATGGTTCCATCTGATTCTACTCAAATTTGTGGACAAGAAATCTTGAGTTTCCTGGTCTATCACACGAATCTAAGTCCTGTGTTCAAAGGGCTAAGAAGGAGTGTCTGGTCACCACAGAGAAGAAGGTGGCTATTTTGGGGGAACTATGGCACAAGGTGATCAGACAGAACACACACAGATGCACAAACTCTCCTGGCTTGGAGTGGCGCTCATTTAAACGCTGACAGGCACACTCGGCTGCTTTTAAATCATCCTATTGGGAAGGGCCTTAGAGATGGGTTAGATTGTAGCTAGGATGAAAGGGCCTCCATAAAGCCAGCTGGAAAATCAGATGCGCGCTCTCCATCCTCCTGCTGGGGGCTCCAAATGGGCCGCCCTGCAGCTGCGGGGAGCTGCCTGGATGGCCAGACAGGCCTGCCAGCAAGAGGGAAGGTCCAGGGTCCAGCAGAGGATTCTGTGTTATGGCCTCACTTACTCCAGCCATGAAGGTCCTCAGAAAGGCTCTGCTCATGAGGAGTGACAGTGAGCCCAGGCCTTGTGGCCTCGGGGGGTGACAGGACAAGGACGTGGGGCAGCCTCAGGCAGCAGAGTTCGTGCGTGCAGCACAACGGAGGGTCTGCCTGCTGCCTCCCATCATGTGCCGTTGTCCAGGCTGTGCTCACGGGACACATGGCTCTCCTGCCCCACTCACCTGTGTAGTTCTCAGCCTGCAAATGCATGTCACAAAGCTTATGGATATAGCGGATATACATCTCTTCCTTGTTAATCTCTGATTTGTAGAAGTTCTGTAGGGGAGGAAGAAATGCTCATTAAGGTGAGAGAGGTTGCCACCTATGGGGGCCGCACCCACATGCCAGGCAGCTGGCTGAGTCCTGGGAGTGCTGGGCCAGAGGGGAGGGCAGGCCATGGAGGAGCCACATCAGAGAAAGAGAGGGAAGGGACCAGCCCAAAGGCCCAGCTGCTGTGCAGTGGACCCACCGGGCGTCTGCAGGGGCCCGAGCAGGGAGGAGGAGGGAGTGACAGAGCACACGGGCAAGGGCGTGGCACCGTGGCAGGGCCTGGCCAAGAGGCCAAAGGGAAGCTCCTTCAGTCCTTTCCCAGTTGGGAATGAGACTGATGAGGTGCAGTGCCCAGGGCCCAGGGAAGGAGCTGATGTCCCGACTCAGCCAGCGGGCCCCAGCCCTGTGCCCTGGGATGGTGAGCCGGGCGAGCGGGCAGGCGGGGTGGGGGGGAGCCCCTCTGCTCACCATCAGGTTAACCGTGCAGCCAATCTTCTTGTTTTCCGTCTCCTCCCCTTTCATGCAGTCCCTGGGAGGAGAGACAGGTGACTGTCCCACGGCACGAGTGGTGCTCTGGGCTGGCACAGAGGTGCACTGTCACTGCGGCAGCATCTCCCCCTCTGCCAGGCTCCCCAAAGGCGCCCTCAGCACCACTGAGCTCTGCAGAGAGAACAGCTGACCTGCCTGGCAGCTCACCTTTGGACTGATTCAGAAGCCATGATCTGACTGAGAAGTCAGGCTTCCATCGAACAACTAACTTCACCTGGACTCTCAGGCTGAACACATAAAATCTCTGAGCTCACAGGCTGCTTCCTCTAATCTGCTCACAGCAAGGACCAAGGGAAAGAAATAAAGAGACTTTGGGTGAAAAACGGAGGTGGAGAGTAGGGCCCCTAGCCCCTGGAAAGCAGCCGGAAGCCCTCCTGGGTCACACTGCTGGCCCAGGTGACATTCCCTGCCCATCCACAGTAGGCTCTGAGGCGGGGCTGCACAAGGACCTGCAGCCACTCCTGGCCCTGCTCTGGGGACGGCCTTTCTCTTCCCTGCCCGTGCCCATCCCTCTGAGACATGGCCTTTCTGGACAGAGGTCTGGATGGCTGCAAGTCCCTGGGAGGCCTCCTGGGTGTGTGTGCCCCTACTTGGGAGGGTCTCGGGACAGCCTAGCCTATCCCAGGGGGAAGTCTGCCCTCCTCTCCTGGGCCGTCAGTGCGTTTCTAATGGCTGGTGTTGTCCCCGTTGCCAGAATGGTCTTCCCCCTGAAAGCCACACAGTGTCACTTTTCAGGTCAGGTAGGTGCCCTGGAAGATACCTGTAGTCAAGAAGGCGCTCCATGAGGCGGGTGACCGAGGCCACGAAGGATACACCGGTCTCACGCCACGTCTCCTGTTCCACCTTCTCCAGTAGGCTGTTGGCAGAGGCGGGGGAAGCAGACACAGCGCACAATTCATGAGCCTCCCCTGGGCACAGAGTGAGGCCCCAGGGCGCGGGGCGGCGGTGGGTCTGGAGGTGGCAGACTTACCCCACCAATCTTACCTGGGGTAGGGCCCAAACAGCTGGGTTCTGCTCCACGCAGCAGAAAACAGAACAAGGCGGTCACTGAACTGGCAGCACGAGCGAGCCCAGCTCCCTGCTCCTGCCCAAGCTCCAGGTGCCACCGCACCGAGGGAGGCTGTCAAAGCCCCAGTCCCTTTCAGGGGTATGCTGAAGCAGCAGCTGAGCAAGAGCCCCTGAGGGCTGGACCTGGCTTTGCCAATTGGCTACCTGCCTCTATCACCGCCTAGAGCCATCCTCAGCAAACACGCGGCCGACCTTTCCCTGTAAACCAAGGGAGATTCCCACCGGTCCAACTCCAGGAGCCACACTAGGCGTCCCCACTGTCAGGATGCACCAGAGCTGAGAACTAACGCCAGGTCTCTTCCTCAGTCGCCAGCCAGCCTGTGCCCTGTGCCTCCTCCACAGGGCCTGGCCTCGGACTTCCCCTGGACCTCTCCCAGGGGACAGTGGCCCGGACTCCCCTGCCTGCTCCAGCGATGAGCCCTGGCACAGCCCCACTCCCGCTTCTTTTCCACACTGTCTCCAGCTCCCTAAGGTCACGGAAGTCACCTGGGTGGCAGGCCCAGCTGGGGGTCCAGCACTGGGCCCTCTGCCCATAGCCTGGCTGCTGTTAATGCTGCTATGATGATGATGCCGCCTCCCCGCACAGAGCATCAGCCTGTGCCGGGCCTTCCCACGGGACCACATGCCGCAGACAGAAGGCAGGGCCACTGGCTCTGGCCACTGAGCTGTGTGGGTAAAGCCCCTGTGTCAGCATTTCCCAAACTATCCACAAAGCTCTGCTATTCTGAGCTTTCTGTGAGCAAACAAGCATGGGAAATGACGGTCACTACCCACTCCTTTTGGAGATTTTCCACTTTAAAGGCTTTGTGAAGTCCTAAGATACAGAGGCCTGTTCAGTTTTAATTGAATCTTTTCTAAATGAATCAGCCCATGATATGCTTAGTTTCATTTTCCCAGCACACCTACAAACATCCTCCCAAAGTACAAGCTGGGAAACGCAGTTCCAGGTCATCAGCGGCTTTTAGTTCTCAGACACGATTCAGAGGAGTGGATGGGAGCGCTATTTGGTCAGGTAATGAGTGATTCCAGGCTCTTTCTGTGCTTTTTCTTTTGTACTAAAATCATCTGTCAGTGGCTTAGAAGATTTCCCTGCTTTATTCCTACAATTAGAAGCATCTTCAGCTAAAAGAGAAACACTAAAGGATGAATTCATTTTCACAAATTGTAATTATTTCAGTTTCAAGTGAATCGACATTTTATTGCATGTCCATCAAGGAACAGAGTGGGCATGTACAGCAGGAAGACCCCCTCTTGGAATTGGAGGACCCGGCCCTCCCCCAGGGCTGCCTCTGACGGGTCGAGCAGCAGGCACATGCCGACACTTCCCGGAGCCCCGTCTCATTACCCTGTTTGCCAGGTGCCCAGCCCCGTCACAGGCGTGTTGTGACGATTAAACAACAAAAGTCAACACATTTTGTATACTGTAAAGTTCTAAGCAAACATATGGTATTATTACTGGAAAAATATGTTACAGACTTGTCTTCAAAATGGCACGAAAACAAAGAAAACCTCAAAGCTGGAAGTAACGAGCAAGAGGGGAGAGGCCACTAGAACTGTAGGTGTCTTTTAAGATTTCATTTTGTAGGAAGACAAAATGCCTGGCATCAGCATCCACCTGGGAGGACCCTCTTTGAACTTAGCCCTCTGGCAACTCCTGCAAGGTCTTTGGTCTCCATCAGCCCTACACAGAAGCCACGAATGGTGGACCTGGGAGAACCCTTGATGTCATTCAGGACAACCACCGAGTTTCCAAACAGGGGGCCTGGCCTGGTCAGGTGTGTGACTTGTTCAAGGCATAAGATCCAGGGTGGTGTTTTACAAGCTTCTTGCACAGTCTCACCAAGCAGGGATTTAACTCCCCCCACAGAAATGCCAGCAGCAAGCCCTCACTGAGTCCCCACCTGGACGCAGCGTGTGCTATGAAGACTTACAGCAGTCCTATTCCTGACCTGTCCCACCTCTTTAGTCAACTGTGACAAGCCCCTGAGACAGCTTGTTGGCATCATGCTGCTTTCCTGTTGATGGCAGTGGGCACCACTGCCATCAGGAGCCACTAGGGTCCATCCTAATGCTGCCCCGGGTGGGCACCCCTCCCGTTAGCCACCTCACCCCCCCAGCTGGGGTGCCTGGGGCTGAAGCAGCTTACAGCAGCCCGAAGAGCTCCCTGTAGCTCTCGTCGCCTCTCCCTTCAGACACCATGCTGTCCAGCTTGTCAATCAGCTCGGCCTCCACCTAGGGGGAAGCAGAGATGTCGTAAACCCAAGCTGACCTCAGAGGAAGGCTGGGAGTTCAGCCACGGAGTAGGTGAGGGAGCTGGGGCCTGCTTCCTGGTTCTGCTCTGGCACCCAGTCAGCACCAGGGAAGGCAGGATCCCATCCACAGCAATAGACCCCCTACCTCCCCCAGTCAGGAAGGCCTCCACGCATGCAAATGAACTGGGACTAACTCATCTCAGATACTCCTTTCCCAGCCTGGGACAAAAGGCAAGGATTCCCTGGAGAGAAAAGTATTGTGGACCCCAAACAGGCTTTTGTTTTTCTGTCTTAAAAGATGCTCATTCGCAACAATTTGTATGTATGAAACCCATCCGGTCACAACGTTGTCCTCTGGCCACCAGTCACAGAGGAGCCTACTGCAGTGGCCTCTCCGACAGCTGGCACTTATCCGGGTCAGGGAGAGGCGACTGTTTCCTTCACATACCCTCCTTCAGAGTGAAAGGCTCTGCCATCTGTCCCCACAGGACCTAAGGGCTGTGGGGCTGTGGCCTCATCCCGTCCCTGGGCTCGTTAGCCAAGAGGAAAGCATGGCCTCTGCTCCCACCCCGCCGACCTGCCAGGCCCTCAGCAGTGTGCAGCCACCTCCCCAACAGGCCTCTGGGTCTAAGCTGAGGGGAGACATGAGTTGTTAGTGACTGAGAAAAAAATCTTAAACCCCTGCTAGCCATTTAACATGTGGTATTGTGGTAGTATTTATATATATATTTCATACAAACAACAAATGGCGTGGGTGCATTTAATAACCTGTAACAGAAGCATTTTCTCACTCCACATAGGGCCAAAGAGTCCTAAGGCAGTGAAGAAATAAAACAATAATTGAATCAGGAAATTCGTCAAAGGCAATTATGGTTACTGAAATCCTACCAGCAGAAATTAGAATGGATGAATAAGCACGGCCCTTGATAGAGATCTGCTGCACGGCCAGGATGGGGACCTCGGCTGCCCTGATGACTCAGCTGCTTGAATGTACATTTCAGAGGAAATAGAGAGTCTGAGACCAGGGGTCCTTAGGGACAGATGCCAGATCCATCTGGCTTCTCTGTGTGCAAAGGGGGTATGGGCAGGGATGGCCTGGGGCCATGTAAAGTCAGGCAGAGCTAGAGCTGGGCCTAAGAGCCAAGGTGTCTCATCCATAGTTCAAGGCTTGTCTTGTCTCACAGAGTCAATCAGCTGGTTACAGCCTGCCAAGGGAAGAGGGGTCTGTTTAGAACACAGGGTCTCTCGCCATATGCAGGTACAGGTAGCCTGTGCTTTCCAGATCAGGACAAAGGTGAGGAGGACCTGGGGCAGCAGAGAGGACAACCTTTGTTAAACGTAAATTCTCAAGCTCCCACTGGATCAGAAACTTGGGCAGGGGGCAGCAGTTTCAACAGTGGTTCTGGTGCCTGTTCAAGTGTTAGAACTTCTTTATTAGGCAAAGGAGCTGGTGGTAGGAGGGTGTGGGGACACTACTTCATCACTCCCTGCGTGCTGATAAAGGAAGAAGTTACTAGGGGAAACTGAGAAATCTAAAACAGGGCACACTGAAGATCAATGTCTGTAAAACCAATGCTCTAAGCCAAACGAAATACTAAGTTCTTCAAATATATTGTGTCATAATTGACAATATGGACAGTTTCAGGTTTGTGGAGTTCTTTCTATTCTACAGAACCGATATTCCTGAAGTGACACCTGCCTGTCCTAACAACCCTGTTAGTCATTCTTTCAACAAACGCCTGTTCTGTGACATAACCGGGGACTACTTCTGACAAAACCTTTACCTCTGTGAGCCTGTCTCCTCACTTAGGAGGTGGTAATGTTGGTTGAAAACCCTCTTCGGGGTCTCTGTAGCCTCAACTTAGGAAGTGCTCAATGAATGCTAGTTTTGATTTTCGTCCCCACAAACCCACCACGGCTCAGGCACTGTGCTGTGTTCTAAGAAATGAAGGCTCAGGAAACAGTCCTGGTCCCCAGCAGCTCATCGCCTGGCAGTGGAGCCAGGGGCCGCAGCTGATGCAGTTCAGCCTGGCCAGTGACTGGATGAGGCACACAGAGGGCAGCCTGGGCACCATGAAGTCAATAGGCAACAGAGTTTCCAAAAACAGTGTGGTAAAAATCTAAGAGATGTTTCTACTCTTTGACCCAGCAATTACAGGTGAGAAATTTACCTAAGAAACTAAGTAGGAATGGATATATTTTTCTGTAGTATTAACAGCAAAAACCTGGAATGAACATAAATTTCTAAAACTAGGAGCCTGACTAAGTACGCTGTGGTCCTAGCCCTGCAATGGGACACCGCATGGCAGTTCCCCCAACAAGGCAGGGCAGGGGGGTAACCGCCATGAGAGGCAGGAGTGACAAGGCACTACTAAAAAGGAAGGTTCACAACCACTATACACGATGCTTCCATTTTTTAATATAAAAACTCTATGTACTTGGGAAAAAAAATCTAAAAAAGACACGCCCTGTCCCACTCCCCTGCAAGTAAGATTATAGGTTACATTTTTCCATTGTAGCTTATTTGCATATTTAATTTTTCTAAATCAAATAAGTACTGCTTTATAATTACAAGAAGTGTTTTTAGTAGGTGGTAAGAAGTAGGGGAACAGTTAACAGGGCCAAAGCTGTGGGAAGTACAACTGGAATCAAAACCAAAACGCTGCAGGATTTCGGCGATATTGGTGAAAGTTATGCATGGCCTTCAAGGGAGCAGTTTCAACAAAGTGGGTGTGCAACATACACTAGACTGAACTGGCAGGGCGGTGGGAAGTGGAAATGTCGGATGAGAAGAGCAGACTGTTCTTAAAATACGCGGTGGCAAGGGAAGTAGCCACGAGACTTTTGTAACCAGGGACAATGAGGTTTACATGCTTGTGCATGTCAGGTACTCAGGACGGTCTTACTGGGGAAGGAACACAGTGGAGCCCTGAGGTGTGAGACAGACGAGCACCAAGTCAGACCACCCCAAAGCTGGCCTCTCCTTCCAGAGCAGTGACGGTGGGGTGCAGCCAGCCCCTCTGAGCACACTCAGATGACCCGGGTGCTGTTCTCGGTGTCATCTGCTTCCTGGAACTGGGGTTCTCTCATCAGGAAGTGGTGCATCCTGCACGATTACAAGGCACAGGCTGTGATATCATAGAAAAGCGATGGCTCTCTTTGGTTCGAAGTTGCTTCCCAAACTTCTGAAGGCATTAGATCTGCACACTCCAAAAAATGAAATCTTATTTTAAATACTATTTACCCATGATGAAGAGCATCCATCTATTAAGAAACCTGGAGCCAGCATCATACTTAATTGTGAAACACTAATACTTTCCCCTGAGATTAACAACGATGCAAGGATGTCTACTCTCATCACTCTTACTGAATATCAGACTGGAGGTCCCGGCCAGCGCAACAAAGCAAGGAAAAGAAATGAGGCACACGGATTACAAAGGCAGAAATAGAATTGTCTCTATTCACAGGTGACAGGATTATCTAAAAAGAAAACCCCAAAGAATCTACAAAAAAGCTTCTAGAACTTTTTTGTATCTGTCACTCTACGCAGGCAGAACCATCTCCTCTGCCTTAGGTGAATTTTAGCAAGGGTGTTGGATGTAATGTTAATACACAAAAGCAATTCGATTTCTATACGTCAACAACAAACAACTAGAAAACAAAATTAAAAAATCAGAGTAATTTATAATAGCACCAAAATCCAGGAAATATTTATATATAAATCTAATAACATGTGTGAGATGTTTGCTCAAACTACAATGGAAGACATCAAAAACACCTAAATAAATGGAGAGGTATTGCTGTCTTCATGGACTTGAAATATTATTAGGTATTATTAACATATCAATTCTTCCCAATTTGACTTATAGATTACAATGAAATCCCAATCAAAATCCAAGCAAATTTTTTGTAGATACTGGCATACTGATTCTGAGATTTAGAGGAAAAGGAATTGGAACAGCTAGGACAATACTGGAAAAAAAGGAACAAAGTTGGAGAAGTCACACCACTTAATTTTAAGGCTAACTATAAAGTAATCATAAGACAGAGTGGTGATGTGAAAGATCAGATCTATGGATCAATGGAAAGACTGGTGAGTCCAGAAAGTGTTCCACACACATACGGTCAATTGATTTTTGACACAGAATACTTTTTTCAACAAAAGGTGCTGGACACCCATACATAAAAACAAAAAAGAAGTGAGCCTTGACCTTACATAAACATTTCTCAAAATAAACCATAGATTTAAATGCAAAATCACAAAACTTCTATGAGACACATGGGAGAAAAAAGTTTGTGGTCCTGGGTTAGGCAAAGAGTTCTGAGATACGATCCTAAAAGCATGATCCATATAAGAAAAACACTGATATATTGGAATTTATAAAAATTTTAAACTTTTGTTCTCTGAAAGACACTGCTTGTTAAATGAAAAGATAAGATGAAACCTGGGAGAAAATTCTTATAAATCACATATTCAACAAAGGACTTACAATCAGAATACAAAAAAAAAAAAAATCCCTTTAAAACTCAACCATAAGAAAACAACCGAATTAAAAATAATACAAGTTTTGAATAATCACTTCACTAAAAGAAGATATAAAGACGGTAAATAAAATATTGTAAGATGCTCACCATCAATAATTACTAGGGAAATGGCAATTAAAATTGCAGTGATACACAACTGCACACCTACTAGAATGGTAAAACAAACGGAGATTCTACCAAACACTGGTGGGCGCAGGCGGCACCCGGGGGCCTCAGGCCACGCTGCTGGGCCTTCAGCAGGGTGCAGCCGCTTTGGCAAACAATCTGATAGTTTCTTACCATGTTAAACACACCCAGCGTCCTATTCCTAGGCATTACCCAAGAAAGATGAAGGTTTATACTCGCACAAATACCTGTAAAGTAATGTTTCTTAGGAGCTTTAATCATAAACACCAAGAAGAGGAAAGAACCCAGCGTGCTTCAGAGGTGGATGGTGAACTGCCGTGGGGTTGCCAGCACTGAAAACCGACACCCACAGCACCTGCTGAGCCTCTCCCGGCAGGATCCTAAGTGAAGGTCTCAGAAGGCCACCCTCCACATGATGCCACTGCCACGACAATCCAGCCTAGGCGCACCTAGAGTGATGGCGGACAGACCAGCGGCTGCCGCCGGTCAGAGGCAGGGGGAGGGGGACCACCAAGGGGCAGCAAGCTGGAAGTTGTAGGAATTTAAAATCTTGCTTGTGGTGGTGGTTACGTGATGGTATTTGCCAAAATTTACAGAACTGTAAATCACAAAGAATGACTTTAACTCCTTGTCAATTTAAAAATAAATTAATAAAAAGTCCAAAAAAGTCTTGTTTGCCTGGCCTGCCCCTCACTGGTACAGTCACAGGGCTGGAAGGGCGCTCAGTGGGAACCGGCACAGTGCGCAAGCCGATGCAGAGACTTCCCCTAGAGGCCCTGCTGCAGCTTCTGTTTGACAACCGCCAGCAAAAAGGAATTTCCCATCTCCCAAAGCTGGCCGGCTACGGGGGACAGTTCTTACAGCTAGGGAGTTATTTCTCTACTTGTTAAAATCCCTACCACTGACCCCTGTTGGCCCTAGGCCTGTTCCCTAGAGTGACAGACACAAAGGCAGGCCCATCTCCTCTGCCTTGAGCCTGGCAGAAGAGCTGTACAGAGGGACAGCCTGAAGCCACTCAGTCAGAAGCCAGGGACTTAGGCCTCCTGGACACAGCCCTCCGTGCGGGAGTGTGTGAGGTTCTAAGCCACCCTGAGCCCTGAGAAATCCTCTGGCCTGGACTCTAGCCCTAGAAATGCCGGGACCGTACACTTAGGGACCCTGCAGAGAGTCAGGACAGCACGCTCCCAGGGCCCTTTCCGGGGTGAAGCTGGGATGGTGTGGTCTTGGTCATTCTCTCCTTGATCAGAAAGTTCCTGTCATAGAATGTTCATTCCTTTCCCGATTGTTTTCTGGCCTCTAATTTCATGAGGAAGATCCACAAGATCCACAAGCCAAGCGGGAAAATCCCTGAACAGGATGCACAGTGGCCAGCCTGTAACCTATTCCCACTGGAACCACTGCCTGGCCGTCTGGGTCACCTGCCTGGGCAGAGGGGTCAGTCACAGAGGAGGTGCCGTCCTACCTGCTTGAAGTTGCCGTTTTTCCTCTGTTCCCAGTCCATCATGTCATGAAAGATGGGGATCATGATATTCCGCACCTCTGGCTGTGGGACCAGCGTCACGCCCAGAAAAGGGCCAATCATTCCCGGAATAAAATGGATCTTATGTTCACCTGAACAATGAAACCCAACAGGTATTAGTTCACATTTGCTTTGATCTCCTCCGCAGCTTCCCAGGTGGGGCCACAGAACACGCTTTGATCTGCACCAGACCGAAGCAAACTCCCCCAAGGCTTTTCGGCGGCTCCGCTCTTGGCTTTTTAGAGTTCACAGCTGTAAGTGGCCCGGCCCAGTCAGAACAAACATTCAACAGGCACAAACTGCTTTTCTGAAGAACTCATTGGGGGGTTGGGCAGACTGTCTGAAAATCATTTTGAGGTCAAGGAGCAGAGCGGGTGTGACAGGAGGATTTCTGAGCAACCTGTGATAACTTCAGACCCTCTGCTCGCAGTGCTTATTTAGTGAGGAGAGTCCCTCTATTCCTGCTTACACACCGTGCACTACCCTGGGGTCTCCATTCACAGCCCAGAGGCATTCAAGTGATGAGGACACTCAGTCCCCGGTGCGGCCACTAGGGTCCGAAGCCACACGCTCCTCACTGCTGGCGCTCCTGTGTCCTGAGAGGCCCCCTCCTGAGTTAGCAGGAGCCTCCTGACAGCCTGACCCCGACGGACTGGCTCAGAGAGCCTCTCTGTGGCCACTGCCCCCCCCCCCGCCCCCACACCTTGTCTTCTTGTCACGTGTCCAGTGTAGCTCTACAGCCACTTGGCCTGCCCCAGTTCACGCCTCCCGGTCTCAGGGCAGCCTTTCCATAGAAGTGGGGAGGTGGGTGTCCCTGTGGTTGGCCTGCCACTGGGGCGTGTTCCAGAGGCCACAGCCGGTCTTGAGGACCGTGAGACAGGGCTTTCCTCCTAGCGATGGTGGAACAGAGTGAGCCACTCCCCAGAGCCCTGCTTTCAGTCCTTCAGGAACTGAGGCGAGACAAACTGTGGGCCCGAGGGGTGGCTGTTACGGCCAGGTAAAATCAGCTCTCCAGGCCTGGAGAATGCCATTTCCACCAAAAACAATGGGGCAGGAATGGCTTTATCAGACAAATTTAGCATCTCTTTTGATTTCTTCCATTTGAAAGCCTTCTAAGGAGCAAATGTTAGCCGTGCGGCTGATTCCGCATATTCCAATTTTGGTATTCGGTACAGTTACTAGTCCCTTGTGTTCCTGGGAATTTCAGAGTCAACTTTAGGATAAAAATCTATCCAACTGTGCTGGCTGTGGGAGTAAGAGCACTGAAGCTGGGGAGCCTGCTGAGGAATGCACCCCCTCATGGACGGAAGGCCCTGCACCTGCTGGCAGGAAAGCTGCTGCCCCGAGGGGTAGGGATTGGGCTGGTTAATAACCACTGGCGATTTTACGACCATCTTTCCTAAGGCTTCAGAGCCACTAGCTCGGATGAGAGCACGCTTCACTCCGAAGAGGAACTGCAGCTTCTCCAGCATCCTGGCAGGCCAGGTGCCAGAGGACAGCCCACCCAATCACCAGGGCAATCCAAGCATTCTACCAAAACAGTGATACCAGAGAGGCTGTCAAAAGAAAAGAAGCTAAAACCAGTCTCACCCAGGGCCCGCAACTGCCCCCTCCCATGCAATCTCCATGCACCTGGGGTCAGGAAGCTGGGCTGCATGGGCCTGAGTACACATCACTAGAACAAGTACCTGCCCTGGCTCATGTGCTGAGTATCTCCAAGGTCTATGCTTCTGAGCCTGCACTGTCCAGACTGGGACACAAAGAGCAGAGGATCTTGTAGGCCTGAGACTCCTGGGCCCTCAGCTTCTTTCTCTCCTTTTCACTTTAGTTCTTAAAAAAGGGACTGTGTCCATGTACTAGTGAGGTCCCCTCTGTCAGCCTAACTCTCCCTGCCAGGGCTCTGTGCACACTGACAGGCCGCCCACCTGAGTGTTATGTTAAAGATAAGGAAGCTCTCTTGGGTCTGAATTCACATTTGTAAACCTGGCAGAAGTTACTAGTCTCATCACTTCTTATTTGGCGATGTTAGGAGTGTTAGGTAGAAAGATAGACAAGAGCAGCCAGGGAGGGGGAGGTAAGGTTCAAGGAGAAACAGCCCCAACTCTGCCAGGTACGGGGTTCCAGGTGAAGACAAAGGCTTTGCCCAGAGATGACTTCCCTGCCCGTTGGGACCAGGCCAAACCCTTGCCAACCAGATCCCAACGCGGGCACAATTGAACAGAACTAACGGCCCGACCCAAACCTCATCAAGGGAAAGGCCATGCGCACTGAGAGGGGCCGCGGTACAGATGGACGTGTCAGTCAAATGGACCCCTTGTCAGTCACAGAGGCGCCTCCTAGCCAGAACGTACTACCAAGGCCTCCTGCCTAACGGACGGGGGCCTCTGTCTACCGTGACCCTGGCCTCCTCCTCCCGTGGACTGTGTCCAGTTAAACCTTTTGCTCTGCCTCGCTGTTGTGTCTCTGCCTTTCGATTCATTGTTGCGGCGGGACAAGGACCTGGGAGAACAAACTCAGCTGTATGTGGGAGGGAAATAGGGAGAAAAGACCTACCCAGATTCTGCCACATGCTGAACAGTTCGTAGGCCATCATCACACGCATGTCCCCATACCTGGAAGTAGGAACGCGGAGCTATTAGTGGGGGCAGGTTCAGGAAGACAGCTGCAACCCCAGTGGGGCAGTTCTTCAGTACTTCCAGATGCCCTGAGAGGCTCGTGACCGAGTGCCCCACCCGCCCCCTTGGAGTCTATGTCCAGGAGAAACGCGAGCACTTTGGGAGGAGCCTCTCGTGGAGACACCCCTCCATATGGGCTTGAGGCAGGGGCAGAGGAAGAGGCATATGTCTTACTTATCTAGAATCTTCTTCCTCTTGGCTGAAGTGATGATTTCTAGCTGGAGGCTTGGCTGATTTATGAACAGAACTGCCAAGCTAAAATAAGAATTCCACACCTAGAGAGACAGAGAAAGAGGAAACATGCGACTGCCCGATTCTTACCCGTGCAAGGAGAGATTCTAAATATGTGCTTGTAGCATAGAATTCACTTTACAATTTTAAGAGCTTGACCCTCCCACCCCCACCCCTTTTAAATATCTTTGCATTTCCTCTCCCTTCCCCCTTCCCCCCTTTCTTGACTCCTCTGAGGCCAACAGTGCTGATTCTGGACTAGAAAGCATACTCGGGATGTCTGGCTCTTTAACATCCCCAGCGGGACAGCTCCTGGGTCATATTCTAGCCATCATCAAGCTTGGAATGTATTTGATACTAAGAACATGTTAATAAAGCAAAACACCAGTGAGCTTGCCCCAGTCCCCAGCCACCCAGTTGACACTTAGCTGAGTCCTTTTCAGATTCCTGACATGCAAAATCGTGAGCAAAATAAAACAGTTGTTTCAAGTGAAAAACAGAAACAGAAACAGGAACGGTAAGTTCGGCCTCTGGCTCCAGGGCTCATACAGGGACAGGGAAGGATTTCCGGAGTGCCTACCTTGAAGTCGAAGTCTGTCTCTATGAAATTCTTGTGCAGTGCTGAGGACAGGTACTGGACAGTGGTGACTATAATACTGCAGGAAGGGGACAAGGTATTGGCAGAGTTCAAAGACTAACAATGGCATCTGATAGCTTAGTACCACTTGTTCTCTGGCCTGTGGGGAAACCTCCTGAGTACCATTTGCTGTCAAGTAAGATGTGACATACAGGAGAGATGGCACAACCCCCCAAAAAACCAGTCTCAGAGAAATGCCCCACAGTTGGCGACACACAGTGCCGGTGAGCTCCAGAACTGAAGAGGGACAGGTGAGGAGGGGTTGGCTTCGGAGGGTCTGAGGTGCCCAGCAAAGGCACTTTGGTCTAACAGTCACCACCTGGGCTTTGGTGCCCAAGACCGGCAGGAGAAACTGCCTTAGGGAGGTGAGGGCAGCGGCAGAGGGGCTGACCGCTGACAGGCAAACACCGTGAAAGAAAAGCCCGCTCCTGCAGCGGGGGCTGAGGAATGAAAGCGCTCTGAGCAGAGCCAAGGGACAGGAACATGGGCGGCGAACCCACAAATGGAGGAAAGAGATGCAACTTTGTTTATAACCGTCCTTCCGTTCTGTATAAATTGTTTGCATGTTTGCAAAAAGACAAAGGGCCCTCTATAAAGTACAAAGTAAAAAGACCATGATGCCTTGCCAACAGATCTAACATGAGTAATTCCACTACATTCTGCTAATGCCAACACAAGAGGCACATCACGGAGGAGACAGCAGCCACTGGGCAGAGGACAGGTGGCTTCTCCTGAGTGGAGTGAGGCTAGATGAGCTAGCACCTTACCATCCACACCATGTGTCTGGCTTACCAATGAGAAACACAAGCTAAAAATAGGAATGGGGCAGGCAACTTGGGGTCAGCCTTAGAGAGAATGCTGTGGCCGGAGTCAGAAGTGGTCAGAGCTGCACAGCCAGGTTTCAGGTGGGTAATGAGCACCAGCCATGGGAGGTGGGCAGGGTCTGGCTGATAACACAAATCAAATCAAGAGGCGGGCATGGCATACAGCCTGAAACTAGAGAGCAACAGAGGCCAGTGGGCCCCTGAACAGGCCTTCCTTGAGGAGAAGCCTTCCCTGGGCACCATACACACGCCCCTAGGGTCCCGTTCTGCCCTTACCCTGGCATCAGCTGCTGGCACTTGGACTCCATGTCTGAACTATCTTTTGACTCTTTCTTCTCCTTGAACTTATGGTAGATGGTCAGCCCTGTCGACTGTGCCTCCAAACACTTTTCACATTTAACCTCTCCTGCCTGTCCCCATGGCCTTGGCCCTGGCCTCTGTCTTGCTTTTTCTGTGTCACACACATGCTCTCCTTTGCCTGAGAGCAGCTCTGTGCACACGTGGATCTGTTCCACGATGCTTCCACACTTACTTGCTTGTGAGAAGTCTCATCACCATCCAGTCCCGAGGAAAGACACTCATCTTCATCAGGTTCCGGAACACACAGAAAATCTTCAGCAGGAATTCCTGATTCGAGGGGAAAATCAGACGTGAGACACACCACTACCACTGGGACATGCGTTTCCTCACCCGGGCTCTCCTGACCTCCAGACCAAGCAGTGGGGCAGATTCTGATTCCCTGTGTGAATTACTCTTCTCTTAGAGGGATGCCTGACAGGGAGTTGTAGGCACGCCTAGGGCAGACGGGGCAGACCCAAGCGGGGCAGCACAGAGGCAGCTGGGTACCGCTCAGCCCCGTGCCTGAAGCCCACAGTGTCGGGGAAGCCAGCGTCCAGCAGAACTGGCATCCGGCTAGGCCCATGGGCTCGCTCTCTAGGGTGCGGCCCCTGGGCATGTGACTCTGGGAACCTGCTCTCGTGGATGTTGAGAACACAGTGACAGGAGAAGTGCCTTGGGAAGGAGAGAGCGGGGACCTCCGTGAAAGCCGCGAGGAAGGTGGCAGAGACAAGCTGGCGGAGGCCCGCGACCATCCAGTGCTACTCAAGACAAACAGCTGGGCCTCTGTGCGACCGGCGGGCTTCGATGTGCTTTCACTTGCTTTGTTCCCTTCCCACTGCCCCCAAGGTAGCCTTGAAAACAAGTAGCTGCAGAACACAGTGGTGGTGAGAACCAGCGATCCAACAGTCTCTGGGAGGAACAAAGTGGTTTTGGAGCTCTTGAAAAAGCTCCATTGTTGGAGAATGGTTACTTTTGATCTACCTGGCAGAAGCCCAGGGAAGCCCCATTCAGAGGGTTCGTTTGCCCTGACAGCTCACTCCATGAGATAAGCCTATTCCTAGGGCATCTGCTGAAAAACATCAGCCATCATCATTCAACATCACAGCTGCATGAAGCAGCCATATCAGCCGGGGCCAATGAGAATGGCCAGAACACTTGAAGGAAAAATCTGGGGAATGAGGTATCCATGGGATCTTTGAGAAACTCTGACATACTACTGGGAATCTAGAAGGCTGCACACATTCCCGGGAAAGCCCTGAGAAGCCCCATCTTTCACCTTGGCTGACTTGGAGACTCCATGCCAGCAGGGAGAGATGGCCCAGCAGGGCACTGAAGGCAAGGCCCTGACACACTCGCAGGGACACTTAGGGAATGGCGGGAGACACCGATCCAAGGTGCGTAAGGAAATTGCTGTCTGCTTATCAGCTGATGACAAAGCCAACTGAATGGAAACTTCAGTGGCTGCACACAACAAAAAATGCAGACTTAAAAGAATTAGTCCGGCAAAGCTGCTAAGTAAGCAAAAAGCAAACACACATGATCAGCAACAACACAACAAGGAGTGATGACAACAAACTCTGGGGACACTGGGCTGGGGGAAATCTGATTTCCAGAGTTGCCACGTTATTTAAATTGTCTAGTTTTCAACCAAAAATAAATGGTAAGATGCGAAATTAAACAGGAAAAGTATGGCCCATATACAGGAGAAATGACAATAGACACTTTCCTTGAGGTGATCCAAGTACTGGGCTTACTAGGAAAAGATGCTACATCAGCTGTTTTAAGTATGTTAAAAAAACTAAAGGAAATCATGCCTAAAGAATTGGGGGCAATTATAAACAATATGTCACCAGATGGAGAATATTTGAAAAGTAGATGGAAGTTCTTTAAAAAGCACCAAATAGAAACTCCAGACTTGGAAAGTACCAAACCGAAATGAAAATCTCACTGAAGGGGATCAGCGGCAGGTTTGAACTGAAAGAAAGAAAGAATCACTGAATTTAAAGATAGGGCAACTGAGGTTACCCAGAGGAACAGAAAGAAAAAGTAAAGAAAAATGACCAGGGCCTCAGAGACCCGCGGGGCACCACTGAGTGTGCAAACACACAAACAACAGGGGTGCCGGAAAGGGAGCGGCGAGGAAGAGGGAGACATATTGAAGAGACATTGACAAAAACTCTCCGAATTTGATGGAAAAAACCCTTTAATCTGTACATCCAAGCAGCTCGATGAATTCCTAATAGGATAAAACCAAACAGCTATACATAAAACATCACAGTCAAACTGTCAAATGCCAGAAACGAAGACAGAATCTTGAAGACAACAACTCACCCCGGACAAACGGTCTTCAGCGAGATTAACAGGGGCCTTGACCAGCAGGGGGGTTGAGGCCGGAAGGCAGTGGGATGACTTATTCAAAGCACTTAAAGAATGTCAACCAAGAATCCTAAATCTAGCAAAACAACATTCAAAAGTAAAGAAGAAATTAAGATATGTCCAGATATACTCGTAGAGCTGTCCTACAAGAAATATACTAAGGGGAGTCTCTCAGACTTCAATAAAAGGACACTAGACAGTAACGTGAATTCATGTGAAGAAATGAACGTGAGGAAAGGTGACTATAAAGACATAAAAGGCCGTCTATGTGTTTAACTCCTCCATCTCCTGTTTGATTTGCCAGACAACTGTATAAAGCTGTAGTTTTAAAACAGCGTCAAGATTACGAGGTATGAAGGTGTGATTTACATGACAGCAATCGACAAAGGGGGAAGGGATGGAGCTAGAGTGGAGCAAAGGTTTTGTATGCTATTAAACCAAACTGGTATTAATCCAAATTAGACTGTTTTAAGTTAAGGTGTTAATTGTGATTCCCAGGGCAACTACTAAGAAAATAACTTAAAAAACATACTAAAGGAAATAATGAGGAAATTAAAATGGCACACTAAAAATATTTAACATAAAAGAAGGCATAAATGGAGGACAAGAGGCACAAAGAAGGCAAGGCAGATATGAATCAAATAGCAAAACTGGCAAATCTTTGGCTAAACTGACCATAAAATAAAAAAGACTTGAATTACTAAAATTAGGGATGACAGAAAGAAAGAACTGATGTTACAGAACTAGGAAAGGTTATAAGGGACACTGTGAACAAACGCATGCCAACAAATTATATAACCTTGATGAAATGGAAAAGTTTCTAGAAAGATACAAACTTAAAATTCTTTTAAGAAGAAACAGAAAATCTGAACAGATGTTATCATAAGTGAAGAGATCAAACTAATTAAAAAGCTTCACACAAAGCCAAGGACAGGACCAGATGGCTTCACTGGTGATCATTCTTTATATGGTATGAGGTAGGGGTATAATTTCATTCTTTTGCACGTAGGCATCAAGTTGTCCCAGCACCGTTTGTCAAAAAGACTCTTTCCTCATTGTTTTGGCACCATTACTGAAAATCAACTGACCATAAATATAAAGGTTTATTTCTGTACTCTCAATCCAATTCTATTGATTTATATGCCTATCTCGATTACTGTTATTTTGTTGTAAGTTTTTAAATGGGGAAGTCTGAATCCTCCAATATTTTTTTCTTTTTCGAGAGTGTTTGGCTATTCTGAATCCCTTACATTTCCATATGAATTATGGACCAGATTAGCAATCTCTGCAAAAAGGCAGTTGAAACTTTGACAGGTCACGTATCCAGCCTGTAGACCACTGTGATGTGCTGTCATCCTAAAGATATTAAAACATTTCAGTCCAGGAACACAGGGTGTCTTTCTACTTACTTCTTTCATTTCTTTCCCTAATCATTTTATTCATTTTGATGCTACTGTAAGTGGAACTGGTTTTTAATTTCAATTATGGACTGTTCATTGCTAGTGTAAAGAATATAACTGATTTTTGTATGTTGATCATGTATCTGGCTGGCTGCCTTGCTGAACTTGTTCGTTGCTTCTGAGCATTTTGGGGGATGCCTCTGGGCTTGCTGCGTCCAAGACCATGTCACCTGAGAAAGAGGCAGTTCACTTCTCCCTGCCTGGTCTCGGGGCCTGTCACTCCTCTTCTGTGCTTTTCTGCCCCCAGTGTGATGAACACCAGCGGCTCAAACGGGCCTCCTCCTCCTGTCCCTGAGCTCAGAGGAAAGCATTCAAGAGAATGCTTTCAAAGAAGAAGTTCCCTTCTATTTTTACTTTGTTGAATGATTTTATCATGAAAGGTTGACAGATTTTTTAAAAATGTTTTTTTCCTACACCGATTAGCATGATCATATTTTGGTCTTTCATTCTGTTTAATGGTGTATTACACTGACTGGTTGTCATGTTAAACCAAACCTTGCATTTCCAGCATAAATCCCATTTGATCATGGTGTATAATTCTCTTAAAACATTGCTGGGTTCAGTTTGCTAGTATTTTGCTGAAGATTTATAGTCATAGCGAATGTTGGTTTATAGTTTGCTTTTCTTACGAGGTTTTTGCTGGTTTTCCATATAAGGGTAATAAGGACCTCATAAAATAAGCTGGGGAATATTCCCTCCTCTTCTGTCTTTTAGAAGAATTTGTAAAGGATTGGTATTAATTCTTATTTACAAATTTGGTAGAATTTACCAATTAACCGTGTGGCCTGTGCTTTTCTTTGCAGGAAGTTGTAAATTATTAATGAATGATCTTGTTACTTGTGATAAGTCTTTTAAGATGGATATAATCAAAGAGACACTGAATTACAGAGTTTAAAAGCATGAATTTTATGAATTATCTCTCAATAATGTGATAAAAAGAGAATGCCTATACAGAACTCCATATCAATATGAGGGCCATGGACATGTTCCCTCAGCTCCGTTTCTCCTCAATTCCTTGAAAATGGCACTCAAGGAACAAAAATACACATGCTCACAGAGACAAAGAGAACAAGAGAGAACAGTGATGAAGAGGCCAACAGTTTGAAAGCTTTCTTGGTAACTGACGCAGTGTGCCCAAGAACGCCAACAACCAAGGTCTTTTGGAAGTGGCAGGGCCGGGGTCCCAGACGCCCAGAAACTGTAGGCATCACCAGGCACTTCTGTGGGGTGGAGGGTGAGGGCCAGAAACAGGAAGACTGGTCTCCCCAACATCCTTCCGCCATCCATGATGCTAAATGAGCAGCCTTCCCCTGCCCTGCCGAAAGGCTGGGCTACTCCCTGGCACGGCTGGTCACCCAGGGTCTGTCCTCAGGGACACAGCTCTGAGGTGTGGCTGGCGGGGAGGCCAAGAAGAAAACACGCATGGATGGGAAGTTTCCCTGCTGAGCTGGAAGACTCCCACCCCTCCGCCGTTCAGATCCCCAAATACCAGCAGGTCAGTCCATCCCCAGGAGGGGCAGAGGATTCCTCTCGGGAGGTGGACAAGAGAGGAGGCCAGTGGATGCAGGAGCAGAGGCATGCCGAGACCCACGGCCAGACCTCCTCTGTCACCCTCAGGGAGCCAGCCGGGCACAGCCCCGCGCTCAGGCAGAGCTGCCCCTTAGCACCAGCGCACCTCGCTGCTAGACACACGCTGACACCCAGGAGTCTCTACATAGGAGAGAAGAGTCTCCGACAGGAAAGACAGAGACTGAAACAAAAACAGGGCAAGTCTCCAGAAAACAGTGACCTGAAAGTATCTCACAGACATGACCCTGGGGAAAGTCAGAGGAAGAGGTGTATGGCAGAGACGGCAGAGGGAGTACGAACCCCAGCCAGACGGGAAAACCAGAAGAAAAAAACACATGAAAGATGATTAATTCTAGGAAAAACAAAAAGTTGCACCAGAAAGGAGGTGCGATGGTACAGCTCTGCGCTCGCCACAGGGCTGGCCCGGGTGTGATGAAGAGGGTCCATCATCAGCCTAAAGTGTGCGTGACCGTGCTGGAGAAGTCAGAGGGAAGACAGGAACGACTCAGGGGAGCCACCGGCGCTCCGGCTCAGGTCAAGCCAAGCTTTCTGATATGCTTTGGCTTTTAGGATTATGTATATGTATTACTGTGGTTAAGATTTAAAGTTAAGACAATGATGCTAGCCTGAGCTTCTGATTGAGAATCAGTATCTCTCTCTCTCTCACACACACACACACACACACATACACACAAGCATACATACAGCACGAAAATGATCTAGGACAGGCAAGACCGGATTTTCAGGCTCCGCACCCTGGCTTAAGCACTGCTTGACCTGGATGTGAGTCTGTGGCCTGGCTAACGTAAAGCTCACTTCAAGGACTGTCAAGGTCATCCCTCCAAGAAGACAGGCTGGCCTCACTGCATGAGTTAATGACAACCATCTGCAGAGAGCCCTGTCTGTGGAAAAGCAGGTAGGATCAGAAACCAGAAAGTGGCAGCTGACACGTATTAACTGATACAATATGATTAATAAAAATCACACAAATGAAAGAGGATAATGCCTTACTATAAAATGCAAGTGCCTGGCTCTGAGTGGAGGCAGAGGTTAGCCCTAAAGTTTGCAACAGTTCCTGTATCCAGGGATGAAGTGACTAGCATGTTCTAAGATGGGTAAAAGACACAAGCCCCAGGGGTCTGTCGGCAGCTGACATCTCAAGCCCGGGGCTGCTCTGCTGCTGCCTGCATCATGTGCTATCTGCCCCTCAGTGCTCCAGACCCAGTCTGGCAGCCAGTGGGCACTGCTCACGTTTGCTCTCTATAGGTGTCTTCCAGAAATACATTTTAATGAAGAAAGTTGTCATTATTATTATTATTGTTGGTATTAAATAGTGAAACCTGGTTTGCAGGGGAAAAAAACCTGGATTGCTGAGTTCAGAAGAAAGGGAGGAGCTCGGGTTTGCTGACAACCAGTGTGGCCCACAGCAGCCTCCCCACAGAGGCCCAGGGTCATGGGGGGCTCTCAGTCAGGGAAAAGCAGCTAACATTACCGGGGTCTGGCTGCACGGGCACACAGCTGGCTTTTAGCTTCTGGAAGCCATACGTTCAGCTGAACAGTGGGCTGGCAGAGCCTTCACCCTGGGCAGCACTGGTCACTTGCGCTTGGCCCCTGGCAGCGGGAAAGCCCCTGAGCAGCCTTGGCCGCAGGCTTCCCTCCTTGGGTGAAAGGTCAGTGCCTGGTTGCCTACCTTGAGTTCATCTTTGCTCTGGAAGTTGTCCAGGAGGTGCTGGTAATGGGTGTCACACATCTGGCGGAGCAGCGAGAGAAGGCAGGACACGTACTCACCCTAGGGAGCAACCCAAAAAACACTTAGGACGGCTAGCCACAAGGGCTGTGTTCCCTCAAACCACAGAAGGCAAGGAGAGAAGGAAGGGTCTGAGATGGCCCCACGATCATGAGAGGGAAGGTGACAGCTCTGTCCCTGAAAGTGAGTTTTCTGTTCTGCTAAGGGAGGCCTCGGGCTCTGCAGCATGGGGCTGGTTGGAAACCCTAACCTGTAACAAAGAGGTACTGTAAAGTGAGAAAGATAGTCTCACTAGCACCCCATTTTTTTTCTGGGAAACTTTTGGCTACAGCCCTTTGTCAGCATGTTACCAGGGCACTATACCCAAGTCTGGGGGGTGCTACTTGGAATGGGACATTGGACTTCTCTGGACAGACTGAGATTCTGCCCGTCCTGCTGGGCTGGTGCAGCCCTTTTCCAGGGACCTCTGTGAGGCCTCCCGGGGTTCACATGTGGTTACTGTCTGGAAAGCAAAGGTGTCAAAACTGACCTTTATGAGAAGATGAGCTATGAGCTTTAAGACAAGTGAAGATTTAAGGATTAAAAAATGAGCCTTTAAAATTTCTTCAAGTTCCAACTGGGGTACTTGGAAAACCCTGCTCTAAGGACTCCAGGGACTTCTGCCGCCTCACAGCAATTTCTGGCATGGAACAGCCACATACGGCCTCCTCTGAGAAGGCTGCCTCCTCAGCAGGATGAAGGAAAGTTACCCGGACGATTTTCAACTGTTCTTGAACTCATGGGAATTTGACAACAGTTTTTCAGTCTCTCAAATCCTTTCGAGACCTGTTATTATACACATATGTATGAAAAATATATATACATACATGACCTGAAAGTGAGCATATGCCATAATTCACAGATTTGTTGTGAGGATCAGATGAATTAATGTACAGAAGTGTTTAAGAAAGTCCAGTACATGAAGAAGTACTCAATCACTCGTACTTATCATCACCTTCATTAAATCGAAATCTATTAAAACGAATCACTTCATCATTAGCATTGCTAAACAAGTTAATAGTTGTTAGGTACGTAAAGCAGGGTCCTGCCCAGGTAAACAGTGTCGCTGCTGGTCGGAGGGGCTGCAGGGCCGCCAGGCCTGTGTTTCACCTGCAGGGGGAGCACCCTCATCCAGAGCTCCCGGGGCGCTGCGTTCTCCCCCAGCCCACTGCTCCCGAGGGCAGGCCAGCTCCCTGCCCCACCACCAAGCGGGCTGGGCCTCGGTTGCTCCGATAGAGGGGTTTCTTCAAAGAGCTCACTGCAGTCTCCCACCTGCCCCCTGCAAGATTCCAAGCGATCTGTTTAGCATGTTCCAACATCAGGGCTAAGCAGTCCACTCGGGACAGGAGGGGGGCCCTGGGGGCTGCCTCTCAGCCCACCTGAGAGGCTTTCCCAGCCTGACTCTCTTCTGATTGGATCAGAAATGCCAGTGCAATTTCGCCTCATAACATTTTCCCTGATGCTAGACATTTAGATATAAACATTGTGGACAAAAGCAACTCCTTTGTAGATACAAGCAATATTATGAAAAATGACACGTATCACTTAGGGAGCCCATTCCCGGAAGGAACGGCCTATTTTCACCTTCCACACTTCCAGCATCTCCCTGCGTCTCTGCTTCAGCCCACAGTGTAGAAGATGACTCGGCTCGGAATCAGAAGGGGACAAGACCATTCCCTGAACCTCCTCTCCAGTGGACAGCTGGGGTTCAAGCCCAGAGCTTCCAGGGAAGGGGAGGGCGGTCAGACTGGAGGCGGGGAAAGGGTGGCATGCTGACGACCGTGCAGGAAGGGAGGCTGAAATGAACGGTGGTGGGGTGTGGCGTGGAGGAGCCCCAGGTTAGAAAAGAAAGTAAGAAAACCTGAACGTTAGTTACTAACAGTGATCTCGGCTGTGCACTGCGGGCACCGCTGCCCTCTTACCGCCTCCTGAGCATGCGATTTGCTCATGATGGTGAGCAGAGTCTGCAAGAGCACGTCCAAGAGGCTCTCCACCATCATTTCTACCTCCTCCGTGACATCTGCCTCCTGGAGCGAGCAGCGAGAGAGTACACGTTAGCGCAGGCCAGGCCCCTGGGGCCGGCAGTATTCAGGGTAAGCACGGCGGGCGTGGGTGCTTGGCCTCCGAGCGCGCAGTGTCACGGAGCAGGGACGAGGGCTCTGCAGAGAGGTGTCACACCCCCGCTGCTGCTGCCCTGGCACGCTGGCTGGGGCCTCCCCCAAACCCAGCACCACCCTGACACCCGCAGTTCTGAACCTTGGGTAGAGGCACTAATTTCAACAAAGAGGGAAGAAGCGAAGGTTCTAGTTAAATATTTTCTTTGATTTCCCTAGAAAGTCAGGAGAAAGCATAACTCAGCTGACAAACTTAGAGAAAATGGTCAAGTGTCCACACCAGGAAGTGAGGGGGCAGCTCCCGCACTGACACTGATACACAGGGAGCTTCTCGGTCTCTGAGGACAGGTTTTGCCTCGGGCGACCTGAGCCCGGCCAGCCCTGCTGCTGCCTGGTACTGGGGCTCGTGTCCCCACCCTCCTGGGGGGCTCCAGGCTCAATGTGTCTTTCCTAGGCAGCCTCACAAGAACAATGCAACAGGCCTCCTCAGTGAGGCCTGCCTCCCAGCCCCGGGCTCTGTATTCAGGAGGAGCCTGTGCGGTCCTTGCACAACCCTCTCAGTCCGATCCCAAATCCTGTCACTGGATTTTAGTGATCTTGCAAAGGGACTCCCATTGCCCCTTCTCCAAGCTCCTTGTATTATTACTGGTCCAAACGTCCACTTGCCATCCACCCATCAACCCACCACCTGGTAAGCATTTACCATGTGCCAGTCCTGTTTGGGCTCCTGAGTGCAGAGGTGAGCACGATGGCATTCCTCCTCTTACGGAGTTCACACTGCCCCCACCCCCTCCCCGCCCGGTCCATATAATCACATGCTGTCTGCCTCCGCGGAAGAATCTGAGTGGCTCTCAGGGTGGAAGGCATCACCTCCGTCTGCCGAACTGATGGTGGTGCTCTGCCCTGTGGCGTCTCTTGGCTCCCTAAGGGGCAGTTGACCTGCACCCATCTGTGTGGCCCACGGATACTCCAGATGGCCTCCTTCAGGCTACGTGGTCCCGGGCCCTCCACTCTCCCCCCTCCCGTCCTCCCTCCTTCAGCAGCCAGCCTCCTGCCCCACCCCCCCATGTGGCCTGGCTCACTAGCAGACCCTCTGTGCCACAGCTGCCTGGAGAGGCTGGTGGGAAGGGGCGCTGCCAAGCCCCGGCTGGCGCTGCCAGCAAGCAGGGCCACGCCCACCATTAAGTCACCGACAGGCTGGGCCCTGCCGCCAGATGGCACTTAAGTCTGGACACCAGAGCAGGCCGCGGGGTCCCAGCAGCCTTCTCAAGCCAAGCGCGCTCTTCCTTGTCGGCCCCTCTCCTGCTCCCCGGGCCGGCCTGACCTTGTATGTCATCCCCTGGCTACTGGTCTTCATTTTAAATGCACTCAAAATTTTACTCTCTAGAAACCTTATCTCAGCTTAATAAGGTGGTATAATAAAATACTCATTCTTGTCCTTAATTTCTTTTTTTATACTTTCCCATACTTTCCAAATTTTCTCTAAGAAATATGCATTTCTTGTTACCAAAAACATATAAAATAAAAATAAGTTCCTACCCTTATCCACCTGATACATGTCTTTCCTTCCCTCCCCTCCCACCACAGACCTCTTTTGAAAAGAAAAACAGAGGAATGAAAAGAGGCAAAATCATTCATAGCTGACACCTCACCCTACAATACAATTCTGCCGTCCCAGTAGGCTCAGAGCTCTTGCGGGCAACAGTGGTTGTTGCACTCCCTGGCCTTGGCATGGCACAGCATGCCGTGTGGTGGGGGGTGGGCATCAAGCTGCCAGGAAGGCCACAGAGAAAGCTGAATGAGCAAGACACCCCCCATCTGGCCTGCCCCACTGTGCTGGTGCCTAAGAATCCTCAGAACACTCCCGGGAGTGCAGAATTGATACCTTTAGACAGAAACAGCCTGGCACAGGACCAGGCTTTCGGAAGCTACAGACACCTACATTCCTGGGTGGACTGATGATGGCACAACTTGTTAAAATAGCAAGGCTGTGCCATGCCGATGAGCCTGCTGGATACACACAGGCCTCCATCCACTTGGGCACCTTCTGTTACTGATGAACGCTGTACTGACTGAGAAACGTGCAAGTGATCTGGGTTGATCTGCCCCTGGCTAAAGTGATACGAGGCCGGGCAGAGCTGGTTGGGGGAGGACGCAGGGCTGCTACCAGAGAGCTGGTCTTGACTATGGAGAAGATGCTGCCAAGAATCCCTGAGCAGATGAGCAGCTCCTTCTGCTGCCTCAGGTGAAGGTGAATATGATGGAGAACCACAGGAAGCAGGATGCGGCGGGATTCTGGGAAAGAGAACACAGGTGAGGAAGGCCTCCCGGGGAGAACGGCTGCCTCAGGAAGCCAGCAGCACAGTGGGGCTTGCTCGTCTCTAAGTAGCAGGGCTGGGACTGGAGCCAAGCTGGCGGTCAGACCCTCCCTGACGGGGGCCTAAAAGCCCACTTCCAGGACATACATACATCCCATAGCATTACCCTTCCATCTGTCTTCCCTCCTGTCTCATTTCAAGCCTTTGTATCTATGGCATTTTGTGTAAGATCAAGGAATGTTTAGGGGATTACTTCCAAAGGAAATCACTTTAATGACTAGACTCCAAATTAACAGCATAGCTTACAGTGAAAACCCCACTTAGATGACACATCTAGTTCTATGAACCACACCCACTGAGCCTGCAGACTTGGTACGGGTGACAGATGGTCCCTCCTCATGGCACCCTGGCTGGGCGGCCTGGCACTTCTACTCCTGTGAGTGCTGACTCCGTGATAGCTGTTAGGTCAGGCCTGCCAGCTTTCCCCATCAGGCCTGTGGGACACTATGTGTGTCCATAGCCATTAATGGAATGGAAGTCTGACTTTTGTCTTGACCTGAACCTTTGATAATTAGCTAGCCCGCATTGCTAATCCTACTTGTCTTTTCTCCTCAGTGTCATCTGAGCGGCATTTTCATCAGCAGATGACTATATTTAGAGCCTTGAACTTAGAAAGGCCGAATCCTAGCTCAAGTTCCTTCACTAACTCACCCTAAGGCCTTAGGCAAGGCGACTCCTCTTACGGGTTTGGTCTTTTTCCACCTGTAGAATGAGGTGCCAATGGCCTCGTCTGCATTTCCTCCACAGGTGTGGCGAGAAGACAAGGGAAATACAAGTGTGAAAGTGTTTCTGTTCCCTGCACTGCTCTGTGGCCAGGGATTGGTGACCTGGCAATGTACCTCCATACCTGGCACAATGATGCAGTCAGATCACCAGTGACACAAACAAGCCATGGCATTTTGGACTTATTGCTCATATTTGACCAGAGTTAAGTGCTCCAGGTAAAATTCAAGAAGAAAATCTTTTTCAGCTGAAGACAAATTAAATTACATGACAGAAAGAGGTTTTGGGACTGTCTTGTCAAATAGGTAAAATATGTTAAAATAAAATGGAATGACAGCTAATAATATATTTATTTAAAAGGATGCTTGGGCAAGAGAGAAGTTCATAAGATATTTTGCAAACCAGAATACCAACACAGCAGTATTTAAAACGACCAGAAGCTGCCTGCAGACAGGACAGCAGTTTGTTACTGGACCCTGATGAAGAAGAGACCCAAACTGGTGTGTTCCGGGAACACGGGTGTTGGTAAAAGCCTCCTGCTTCGGGGAAGAGGCTGCAACTCAGGCATTCAGTGAAAAGCAGGGGTGGCTTGTCATCTCAAAATCTAATTCCATAGCTAAACTGCCACAGAAGGTTTAAGAACAGTTTTTCTTTTTATGTGATCACAGGAAGCAGCAAGTACACACAGAAAAACTAGAAATAAAGGACAACCTTGCAGACAGTCTGCTGTCCCCATTCCCATACATTCAGAAACCATCTTCTCTAAGCAGTGCACAAGGTGAGTGTGTGCAGCCGCCTGAGTGTCATTGTGTCTAAACCACCGACAGCCTCCAGTCCAGGAACCAGTGAGGACAGGAGTGTCTGCACGGTTGCTGGTGGAGAAAAGCTGGCTGTTTTGGCGGCAGCTTCACCATCAGCAACACTGGCAGAATGGAGTTAAAGGGAACACATTCTTAGTATTGCAAATGCACATAGCACCAGACCAATAAATTATTGTTCTTGGATTTTCAAAGTCAAACTTAAAGAATCTTACTACCAAAGATTGTAGTAATTGTTCTGCTGGCGTTTGAGGCTTATTCCTGTGCCCTTGTAAGTTTACTCTGGGACAGGGACATTCTGCTTAGAGGATCAGGCTCATACTGATCTTAGCACTTGGCCCCGGAGTATGTGGTGCCCCTGCCAGGCTGATCACTCCCACTGTGGTTTCAGCTGTGAACCTACTGCTTCTCTCTGAAAGGCGGCCTGGACGGCTGATGGACTGCTTTGGGCCGTCCTGACCTCTTGGGGAGTGAGGAGAGCCCCCTGTCCATTTCTTTGCCTAATCTTTAGAGGCTCCTTCAAAGAGAGGAAGAGAAATCTGACAGGGGAGGCCAGGAGCCGAGAGAGCACAGTGGGTCCTCAGGGCCCCGTCCAGGGCCTCCCGCGTTGCCCTGGCCTCCCTCTTCCCCATGGGCTAGGTGGGCCCCTCTTGCTCTCCCCTTTTCCCTCTGCTTTCCTATCCTGTGGGCGTGGCAGGCCCCATTCTTGGCTGCTGGCTAGACTGTGGGCCTGGAGCCTGTTCTGCAGGCTACCTGCATGGTGCCCACAATGTGGGTCCTTAGCGATAAACTGTGAGCCTGGCAGGAGGCCTAGGGCTTGGCTGCATTTACCAAAAGCTGCATTTTAAGGGTCAATGGTTCTTGCATGATGGTTGGTAAAACTGATCCTTGATTATCACTGGGTTCACACACCTGGGAAAGGAGGAAGGGTGAGTCTATGTCCCGCCTTGATGTACCTGAGAAGGAAAAGAGGCGGCTGTCCACGGTCCTGGCAATGGACTGCAGCTTCACCACGTCCATCGACTGCCCGATGTGTACAGTGCTGGGCATGCTCCCCAGGGTCCCTCTCACAAACTCAGCCACCTCCTGCACGGTGAACATCTGCAGCAGCTCGTCAAAGATGGCTGGGAAGGAGCTGAGGAGTGCGGCCTGCAAAGAAGGGAGGCTGTGTCAGCTCGGAGTGGGGGTGTCTGCCGTGTGTGCCCCATGGCACGAAGTGGCAAGCAGCTGACAAGGCACTACAGTGCCCTGCCCCCGGGGGGCTCTGCCCGGTCTGGGCCTCCAGCCACCCTCGCAGCACTCTCGGGGCATGAAGCAGGGGGTACCAAACAGGAAACCGGAGCAAGAGAGTTTACGGGGCCTGGCCCTGAAACCTTCATAACTTGCCAAGGTGTCTGCTGGTGAGAGAAGAGAAATCAGCACAACACGGCTGAACATCCATAGGTGCTTTGCTCATGACATCAATTTAAACTTTTTGTCTGTCTCTATGGTGAAGCTCTGGACTTCCCAGTTGTGGCCCCAAATTCAAGCCAGGGTCCCTGAAGGAAAGGGTGGCAGGGAGAACTGCGCTCCTCCGGGCAGCTCTGGCTCACCCTGCTCACGGGCCTGCGGCCGGCGATCCAGCCCCAAAGGCTGGACCATTTCCCAGGATAGACACATTTAATTTGAAACCATGAAATCTGAAGACTCTGTAGATTCTTTCCTTCATATATGATGCCCGGTGGCCCCGGGAGCAAATCCTAAAGGACAGATTTAGCCGTGAACTCCTGGGGACTGTGGGTGCCGGCAGAGGTCAGGGACCTCGATGGTCTGGGCAAGAGGGGGGTGTGTGTCTGCAGACTCCTCTTCTAGGATCTCGGCGCTGGGAGACATGTGAGGTGTCCTTGCAGGACAGTCTGATAATGGTTCCAGAGCCTTTGGGAGGCACGGCAGTACAGGAGCAAGAAAATGGGTTTTAGAATGAGACAGATTTGAGTGCACATCCCAGCTTCACCACTTTTTTGCCACATAACCTTGGGTAAGTTACTGCCTAATCCTCAGTTTTCTCACCTAAAAAATGGAGATGCTGCTATTATTTATCTCCTGGTATCAGCACAAGGAAGAAAATTAGGTGCATAAGTTAGTCTCCAGGAGAGGGCCTGGCACACAGCAGGCCCTGATCAATGCTGGTTGTCATTCTCTCTCGTCTCCATGGGAGAGGCAGGAAGGGGGCTCTTTACACTTTTCAGCCCTCTTATACCAATACCTCAGGACTTACTGGGGGCAAGGGGGTGTCACCCTGCCAAGTGAGCACCCTCTTCCGAGGGAGGCAGGGGGCGGGCACTGGTCTGGAGTGGGAATTCACGTCTTGGGAGGTCTATCCTGCTGCGTCTGCGCTCACGCTGGCCAAGCACAGGGCTTGTGTGAATCCTACCAGCAGGCTCTAACTTCCCGGGACATCAAGGACTTTGTTTTACTGTGATTAAAACCAGCACAAAACATATTCTCATTAGCAGCTGGATCCACAAGAAAGGGGGCAGCAGGCCCTACATAACCGGCAGTGAGGGGGGCTGGTCTGCCCTCCCACATGTGGATGTCCTGCACTTACATGGCGGGACAAAGGATGCTGTGCCCTGACCTGTCCCAGGGGTCAGAAACAAAGACATGGAGTCTGACTGAATAGTTTACTCACTGAGAGTCCTGTTGCTCACGAGACACGGGCCTGCCACCAAGGAAGCAGGTCTGATCCCGACTCAGGTCTGAGCTGAGACCAGGTCTCAAGTTACTTGTCCTGACGGGAAGGAGCAGGCCACTGAGTGGGGGGCTCTGCTCGGGTCCCGGACAGCACTGCTTCGCTCTGCCAACGGCCTGTGAGCTCCCTGTACCCCTGCAGGCTGGGGGGAGCGGCTGTCCCGGGCCCTGCAGCAGGATCAGGTGGGCTCGGGAAGAGAAGGGGGAGCTGCATTGCTGTGGTGCCTAGGAAGGGAAGCCATGGAGGCTTTCTCGTAGAGGAACCTGGCGACTCCGAGGTTCCCCACTCTGCAGAGGGTCTAGCTCCCAGCTGCTCACCTGTTCTGGGCCAAGGGGCCTAAAGACAACTGGCATCAAGGGAAACCCAACAAGTTATAAAACAAAAAGCAGACTGCTCTACCCTCCAATGAGACGTGCAAACATGGATTTGCTCTCGTTGACAGTCCTGGCAGCAGCTAAATGAATGGACATGAGAGGAGCTGTCTGGTCCTTGCTGGGGTTTTATGTAATAATTCAAAAAATTAGAAAAGTGCAATCCATTAGATAACATTCTGACATTTATTTACAAGAGAAAATAACTCCTTGTGACTGGGATCATGAACAATGTCCTTGACCCTTTCCGGGGTGAGGCTGTGTGGGAAAGGTAACAGAGTAGCTGACCAAACATTTCTAATATTAGGGAGCAAATTTCCTTCCCACACTGGTATTTCTGATAGAATAGAATTCTAGTTCTTAACCAAAGTTTCCTAGTTACATCTGCTGTTTTCAACCTATTTCACTCTTAATTCCTGGAATGGACAAGCAATGAAGTTTTTAAAATCAATACAGTGAATAGGAAATAAAAGTCCCTATACATTCTGAATATTCTCTAAAAATTATAGATGTTCATAAACAACTAATAGTCAGTAGCTACATAAACACAGTCCAAAGAGGCTCCTGAGAACAGAGCTTGCTCCTTGGCCGGCACAAAGCCGTCGGGCGGCTCTGCACCTGGCAGCCAGCACACAGATGGCTTTGAAGTAAAAGCCGCATTTTGTTCTGCTAGGTATTTCCTTATAAATCGCCCCTTACCCAACCCTGAGCCTGGCAGGGCTTCTCTGACCCTGGAAACCAGAGGACAGAGAAACCACCTGCCAGCCAGAGGAACCCCGGTGGGCACAGACCTGGGTGAAGAGGAGAGTCTCTGAGCTCCTGCTGTCCAGGCTGAGCACGAACCGGATGGACTGGAAAAGCTCCTGGACGCTGGAGCGGAACTGCTCTTCCTCCATCCCGCAGGTGGCTCGCGAGTACAGGAGCCTCGACTGCACGATGAACTTGAACAGGTACTCCAAGGCCTGGGGACGCGGGAGAGAACGGCGGGGAGGTGGGAAAGACGGCTGAGGCCTGACACGGCAGGCGAGGGGGGGGTGCGAGGTGACGGCAAGTTCTGCATCAAAGACAGAGGGACAATTCCAACTGTCCAGATAAGCACTTTTTCTTTTTTTAACCTTTTCTTGAAAGTCCAAATGGTCACTGAGTAGCAGCTGTCTTCTTACTGGGAGAATCTTCACATTATTTTATGAGTGTTTTTTGAGATTTTGGAATTAAAGGATCTTGGACCATTAGACAAGCAGTTCAATTCAAGAATATACAGGATCAAAAGAAAATCCAGCTTTTCTGCATTTGTTTTTTAGGTCTGGAAATGAGAGTCTCTGAAGGCGATGATACAAGAACCTGTCTTGAATGTACTCCAAGGAAGAGTCTGTCTCCGAGACACAGCAGGGGTGTGACCTGCGCCGGCCTTCCCACCGGGAGTCAAGTCTGGAGGAAACTGCCCCAGAGCGCTCAGAGACTGGAGAACCTGACACCACCCACCCTCCATCCTCTCCAGACTAGGACACCCGCTGTGGACGGTTCATGAACAATCCAGAAGAAGCTCCCATGTTCTGGGGGCAGAATCTGACCCTGAGGAGCCCCTGCCTGGTCCCATGCTTATAAGCAGAGTAATGAATTCTCTTCTAAGAGAAAAGATTTAAGATCCAAGACTATACTTTCTAACCAGAGAATCATGCCATAGATTTCCCAGACACTGGGAGGGCAGAGATAATGGGGAGAAACTTATCTAAGCATGAAACAAGTGGAGCTCAGCTACTCAGAATGTGTACCAGGAAACAAGTCCCCAGCTGCCTTTCTGATGTTCCCCTGTCAGAGGCCTGGCAAAGCCGCAGGAGGACGGCCAGCTCAGAACGAAGCGTCTCCCACGGCTTGTACCAGAACACTATGAGAAGTGACAGTTCGTGGCCTTGTCGCCACAAATGCTACAGCCTCCATTCCAGAAGCCTTTTAATGCCCGGTCTGTAAAGAACCTGGAAAGTCTGAATGACACACTCCAACTTGAAAAAGGAAAATGTTTTCCTCATCAGGTTTTTTTTCCAGGTTGAAACATCCACCACAAGAGAGGGACTGAGTGGCTTGAAACATCCACTAGCTTCAGAATCGGGCGACACCAGACAGCAAGTTTGCGAGCGCATCCTGGCCGTGAGGGCTTAGTTCCTTCACTAGACTCTAATATACGGACTGCTTTGTGGGGGAGCACAAGACCAGCGTGGGAGACGCCAGCGAGGCACGGACGACAGGCCACTTCCCACCATCCACCTCCACCCGACGCCCCACTCCCACTCCTGTCGGTGGTCATGATCAGCAGCAGCCTGGCCAGGGCTGTGTGATGCCAGCTGCCCCTGATAGACGTGAGTGGAGAAAGAGGATGGAGAGCTGGGTAGAAGGGTGCTCCCAAGCCTGTGGAGACAACGGAACACTCAACAGTGAGTGGCTGGAGCAGCTGCTCTGTTCCCTTCACTTAAGCTAATAAACCTGAAAGGAAAGGAGATCCTGGAAGTCATCATGACCTTTACATTGGCGAGGACAGCCGCGTGCCCGCAGGCCCCTGGCAGGGCTCTGATGCAGCTCAGCAGTGGGAGTGTGCTGTCTGCAGAGCACCTCGGCGGGCGCCACAGTCGGGACCCCCAAGGATGCCCGCCACAGGCCGCTCACAGGACACAGAGAGCACAACCAAGCAGGGAGCAAAGGATGCCAGGCCCACCTTCTTGGGTGGTACAACTTTCTGGGCAAGGGCATGGCTCTGAAAGTGAGGGAAGAGCTGGGATATGCGTGGCAAGATGTACTGAATCCAGGGTAAGAGAGGAGAGGAGGCTTCCTGGTCCCCGCCTGACGATACCAGGGTGACTGGGGCCAGGTCAGGAGGGTGTGCAGACTGCGGAGGGGACGGAAGTAGCTAGACGGAGACAGACTGGCCAGAACCTGACGAAGCAGGGGAATGGCCGACCAAAGCTCGTACTGGAGGCATCGGCGCGCGGCGCCTTTCAGCTGGGTGTGAGACGGGAAGGACAAGAGCCGAGGCCCTCGGGAGAGCGGCCCCCACACAGGGCGCCTCCCCCTCCGCTCCGAGGCGGACCTTCTCCCGGGCCGCGTGCCTCCCTCGTGACCCTGCCCTGAGCCCGTGGACCCAGCGCAGCCCCTGCAGCCGGCCTCAGCTCCTCCTTCCTGTCACGTCCCATCCCGCTGCACAGCTGACAGCCTCTGCTGTGTCACATCAGCCCCTCGTGGGCGTGTGGAAACGCAAGCTGTCTCCACTCCGGGCGTTTGAACATGCCGTCTCCTCTGTCTAGAATGCTCCGGAACGCTCCACCCCTAGTGTGTGACACTAGTGTCAGCTCAGACGTCACCCCCTCAGAGCTGCTTTCCCTGAAGCCTAGACCTCTCCGGCCAGTCTACCCCAGGATCCCGATGATCTCCGTCGTCGTGCTCCTCGAGTTTGTTTTCACTGACTGCGTGTGTCTGCCGTTCCCACGTCTGTGTCTTTCCGCACTTGAGCGGATGTGCTGCGCAGGCCCAGCCCGGAGCTGACAGAATCTGGTCCGCGGCAGGCATCCAGCAGCACTGACTGAGTGAATGGTTTTTGGAGAGGACCGCCTCTCCTGCGATGCCTTCTCCATCTCTTTAAACAGTCCATCTGTGGACTGGCATAGAACCTCTTGCCTCTAAGTCAAGTTTTATCCTCTCAGATACCGAGTGAGGAGCTGGACAGGGGCTACGGTTCAGAGAACAGACCCGGGCCTGGCCTCCCATCCCGTCCAGGACCCTGCTCCACACCCGTGTGCATGCTCCCCCTTAGGGCACTGGGGTGTGTTCTTCAGGGGGACCTGGCTTACTCCTGCTGGCGCCTCAGCTACCAAGGACACCGCCTGCTCCACAGGCATGTGTTGTATGAAGGAGGACAGACTGACTGCAGCCTTAGACCGTCTCAGAATGCGCAGAGAAGTGGCAGGGCAAACCCGGATCTGTGGTTTGTCTCGTCTCTTCAGATCTGTTGCTCGGGGTGACAACTGGTTACCACGTGGATAAGAGCAACAAAATCCCAGGCTCAGCAGGACCGAGAGCAGGTGATGGGATATTAAGTGAGGACAGAAAAAAAGCAGAACAAACTTTACTGACATTCTTCCTTTATTGCTAACTAGCTAGGTAGGAACGACATGGTTAAAAAGCAACAATAACCAAGTAACCCCAAAGCAAGAAAAGACAGGCACAGGGAGAGTGGGCACTGCCTCGACTTCAGGTGTGTCCCGGAGGGCACGACAGCTTCCTACCCAGGACACAGGTCTCCCCAGCAAGCTGCTGTCTGACGGGCTGGCGAGCAAGAGGGACTGACATTCTCAGAGGTGGTTCTCTACAGGGAAGCAGCAGCCCTGAAAGGAAGCCGCCAGGAAGTGGGGTTAGCTCAGCGAGGGTGATCCCCCCCCAAGCTGGAGCTGCCCAGCCGTGCATAGGCCTGCCTCGTCACGGAACCTGCCCAAGCAGGGCTGTGGCTGTGGGGTCCCTGGCAAGGGTTCCTGCAAAGGCCAAGGTTTCAAAATAATCTTCTCAGCATATCCACATTCAGTGCATACACTCAGCTCTTTTTACTTAACATAGCTCTAAAACACAGTATTTAGTAAACCACGGAGGAAGAGAAGAGTACTAGAAGATCTGCATTCTAATCCATGCTGCTACAACGTGGCCTGGAAAGAGATGTGACACTAGAGCCAGCGGAAGCCAGGACTGGTGCTGGAGGCAAGACCCAGGCAGGCAGGATGGCCAGGGGCCATGTGCACACCCTCCCTCCCGCTTTAGAGCAGGAATGAAGGTTGTCTGGGGCAAATCGAGGTGAGCAAAGAGGAATCATGGGGTCCGAGGCATTCCTGAAAGCGAGCAGTGTCCTGAGATGTCTGTGCTGCCAGCCACACCGTGGAGACCCCTCACTAACAGTGACAGGGAAGGGCGTGTCATGGACAGCAAGCTCAGTACGTTACCCGCATGGCTTCCTGAATGTGGTCCTGCCGAATGAGTTCCGCGGAGCAGTCCATGTACCACTTCAGACAGCGGATGAGCTCCCTGGGAAAGAGAACAGTTCCAGGGCGCGCACGTCAGTCCAAGCGGGGTGTGGCCTGAGACGCCTGCGGCCCTGCTCTAGCCACGCAGGAAGCAGTACCCTGCTGCCGAGCTAGCAGGCAGTCCTGGATTTTTGGATCATCTGAGATCAGACAAAACTCCTTGTCCATAAAAAGTTGCCACATTTTAATTCGCAATTACAAGCACACTTTTCCACTCTCCCTGATATACATTTCTTCTTTGATCACAAGCAAGTTTTCCCCAAATCCTGGACTCTATGTATATTTAGTTTCGTCTGAAGTCGCTAGGTCTTCAGAATGCACAGCAAGCACTACGAACGGCAGACGGAGTACAAGTGCGCATCCCACCTGCCCCTCCCTGCTCCAGCTTCAGCCCATCTGCTTTGCTTCCTTAGGATCGGTGCCCTGAGTGAGGCAGGGTAACAGGGTCAGAAGGCCTGCACGTTTGCTCGGCAGAAGAGCACGGGGGTCAAGAGTACAGGCCCCGGCCAGACAGCAGGATTCACATCTGGGGCCTTTCAGTTTCTAGCTCTATGTCCTCGGCAAGTTACCGGATCTCTCTGTGCCTCATTCTTTTCACTTGAAGTACTGAGGAAATAATAGTACATCTCAAAGATATTGTCAATACAAATGAGATGACACAAAGAAAGCACACAACACACTGCCTGTTCTCCAAAGTCACATCAAAGTGTCAGAGTTCCAGTGTCTCCTTGCCACCCTTTATGTTATCAAAAATTCTGCTAACTCTGCAGGAGAAAACGGTGGCTTCTTTTATTGTTCTAATGGTTTTAGAGAACCTGTGAGTGTTTCTCAAATTTGCTATTCATATTATCTCTTTTACTGACCATCTTCTTATTTCTTTGACATTTACTGGGGGGTGGTGGCTAGATTGACTGTGCACATGTTTCTTGTGGCAACGAGCAGGGTTTATTTGTAGCAGCTTTGCCATCACTTCTCAGAGGGAAAAGTATGAAACTGTGTAACATTCTATGGTGTGTTACTGTCACTGAAAGCTCACAGGGAGCCTCAGACTCAACGGTAAAAGATGGAAAGCTGCTCCTCCAACCTCAGGAACAAGGCTCGGATGCCTGCTTGCCACTTCTGCTCAACATAGTAGTGGGGAGAAAAAGCAATGAAAGCCTTCCAAATTGGAAATGAAGACATAAAATTATCTTTGTAGCTAATACAACCTTGTACGTAGAGTCCACAAAAAACTTTAAGAACGAGTGAGTTCAGCAAAGTTACAGGATATAAAATCAACACACAAAATTGGTTGCATTTCTATGCATTAACCTGAACAATCCAAAAAGGAAATTAAGAAAACAATCCATTTCCAGTAGCATCAAAAAAGAATAAAATACTTAGGAATAAACTTAACCAAAGAGGTGAAAGACTTGTACTTGGAAAACTATAAAATGTTGCTGAAAGAAATTAAAGAAAATACTAATAAATGGAAAGAACTGTGTTCATGGATTGGAAGACTTAATTCCATTAAATGTCAATACTACCTAGAATGACCTACATATTCAATGCAATTTTCATCAGAATCCCAGCAACATTTTTTGCAGAAATAGAAAAGTCCAACCTAAAGTTCATATGGAATCTCAGGGACCCCAAATAGCCCAAGCAAAGGAAGGACGATGTTAGGGGCTCACACTTTCTGATTTTAAAACTTAACCACAAAGCCACAATAATCAAAACAGTGTGGTAGCGGCATAAAGACAGTCATATACATCAACAGAACGAAACAGCGCAGAAATAAACCCCCGTATATATGGCTGGATGATTTCCAACAAGGGTGCCAAAGCGAATCTTCTCAGTGACTTACGCCGGGAAACCTGAGCACCCACGTGCGAAAGGATGAAGGCGGACTCCTACGTTACACGACAAATAAAGGTCAATTCAAAATACATAAAGATGGAATCAAAGACCTGAATGTAAGAGCTAAAAATATAAAACTCAGATAAAACCATGGGGAAAGCTTCATGATACTGGATTTAGCAGTGATTTTTTTGGACATAACATTGAAAGCACAGGAAGCAAAAGAAATAATAAATTTATCAAAACTGAAAACAGTTCCATCAAAGGACACAATCGACAGAATGGAAGGCAATGGGAGAAACTATCTGCAAATCATATACCTGAAAAGGGGTTAATATCTTTAATAGCCAAGATATATAAAGAAGTCCTACAATTCAACAACAAAAAAAAACTGATTCAAAAATGGACAAAGAACTTGAATATCTATTCAAAGAAGATACACAAATAGTTAATAAGCACATGGAGAGACACTCAAACTCAACATCACTAATCATTAGGGAAATGCAAGTCAAAACCATAACAAGATACCATTTCACATCCATTAGAAAGGCTAAAAAAACCCCAAATACAAAAAAAACAGAAAGTAATGAGTTTTGATGAGGATGTGGAAAAAAGGGAACACTTGTGCAAAGTTGCCATGAATGAATATTGGTACAACCACTATGGAAAACAGTATGGGGATTTCTGAAAAAATTAAAAATATTATTATTATATGATATTATATTATTATTATATGATACGGCCATTCCACTTTGGGGCATATACACAAAATAACTGAAAGCAGGGTTTTGAAGAGATATTTGTACACCCATGTTCACACTATTATTCACAATAGCTACAATGTGGAAGCAAGCCTACTATTCACTGATGGATGGACGGACAAACAAAACGTGCACATACATACAATGGAACACCACGCAGCCTTTAAAAGGAAGGAAATTCTGACACATGCTGTGTGGAAGGACACTAAGGACATTACACAGTAAGAGAAGGAAACCAGTCACAAAAAGACAAATACTGTATGATTCAATTTATACCAGGGACCTAGAATAGGCAAATTCAAAGAGACAGAAAGTATAGGGTGGTTGCTCAGGGGCCGGGGGAAGAGGGAAATGGAGTCGGTGTTTAATGGCACAGAGTTTTACAGGAGTAAAGGGGCTCTGGAGATAGGTGGTGGTGATCGTCATACAACAGTGTGAGTGTACTTAGCACCACTGCGCTGTACACTTAAAAATGGTTAAAATGATAAGCTTATGTTATGTGTATTTTACCACAGTGATGGTTGCCCCTTTTCAGCCTTTTTACTGAAATGAAGAAACTTTTTTTTGGCCTTCCTATTCAAACACAAGTCCTGACCATGATGTCAGATGGAACTTACTTATATGCCAGGGCTCCAGCAAAGTGCTTCTGGATGTATGTGTCCATTACAGGCCGGAAGTGGAAATACTTGATGTCTCTGAGCAGGTTGATGATGAACACCTGGGAGAGACAGAGGGAACTGGGGTTTGCTGGGGGCCTCAGACCTGTTCCCAGCAGAAAACAGGGCTCTTGTTTCTTCAAGGAAGTGCAAACTGCCAGTGTTTTCTCTAGTGCTCCCCCTGGGCAATAAGATTTCCCTTCTGTCTGCATGTCTGTCCTGTCTGTTCTATTCCTTCCACCCCCGCCCCCCAACCCAGACTGGGGGCTTACCTGCTTGTGCCAGTGTCACTCTGAGCCTCTCTGCACAGTAATGTTGGGCGGTTCACTGTGAACCAGGGGAAGGCAAAACAATACCTGTGTAGGTTGCAGAGATGCCAACGCATCTCAAAAAACTTGGAAAAGAGAGAAAAAAGACTATCTTCTGAGCCACATCAGCCTAGGAAAGGCTGTGCCCTTCAGAAATGGGCCTGGCTGGTGAGGGAAGCGAGGAAGATGAAAGCCAGAGGGGCAAACTATGCAAGTGCCACCGTAACTCTCGCCCCCGCCCCTCATCTTCAACAGGCTCTTGAAAACACAGCACCCCTGTGGGACTCAGTGCATTAAGCAAAGTGCACTGAACATTCAAACCAGTGTCCAGTCTCTCTAAGCAACCTTCTGAGTTCTGGTTCTCAAACAACCGCGTAGAGAGAGTGAGTGTGTGATGCTCAGACCAGCTTTTTCTGGAGGTTATCCCGTGTTTGCAGGCTAAGCACAGGCCAGCCCGTCTGACTGCCTGTGAGTCCCCGGGTGCTTGCTGGTGTAGGTCAGTGTCCAGGGCTAGACAGCTCTGCAGGAGCAAGGAGGTCGAGGCCTGGCCGGAGCAGGCATGACGCCCCAGACTGGGTTTTGTGGGGATCCGCTCGGAGGCTGGTCGGTGGCCCTCCTCTGGTGATGCTCCTCAGTCCCTTTTCTACGGGACTGCACCCTGTGCTGACTCACTCTAATAAATCACTTCCCTTGGATTTAAAAATACGTGACAGGAATAATCAATAAAGATGCAAAGTCAGGAGGGGCGAGACTCACCAAGGACTGGAACACCAGCAGGCCATATTTCTCCGTGTTGTCATCCAGAATCACGAAGAGTGTATCTAAGATGTCCTGCAGAAACTGTGAGAGCAGGGCGGTCGGGGGCTCAGGATTTAGGGGCCCGTACACACGGGCAAACTTCCACACACCAGAGGACTTCCCTCCCAAGAAGCCTGACCACCCCTAGGAAGCAACCTCGTGTCTCCCCTCCACCTAGCTAAGGGGTGGGCAAGGTGGGCCGGGATTTGCTTATGGCCTACGGGCTCCTCTCCTGGGTAAGTGCCAAACTCCTAAGGCAAGAGCAATTACCCCGAAACCCAGGACATCCATGTACAAGAGCAATTTTGAAACAAAGACAATCTAAGTGATTCTGACACCAAACTCATTTTGAGAAAAAAGGGCTCACCTTCCCAGGACCCCAAAGACTTGGGTTGCCCCTTAGTCTGCTGTGGCCTGACTCTACAGAGGGCTGTGGATGACAGGATGCCAAGCTAGGCCTCACCTGCAGAAACTATTTTCTGGTCAAGAAATTAGTATCCCAGACTGGAGAATCAGCTGAGGGGACTGTCAGTGAGGGTAAAAGATCTGGAAACACTGAGTTTTTCACTTGAGCATGTTCCTTTCTCTTTCTAAGATGCAAAAACTGAGGAAGCGAATAATTAACACTCTTGGATGCGGGCAGTCTTTAAAGATAAATCTAACATTCTGTTGGTCAGAAGCAGTTTAAAACAATGTTCAATTTATTTCAAACAATATAAAGCAGAAGGTGTGGCTGGGGTACTGATGGGCAGGACTGACCACGTGTGGATGGTCACTGGACTGGGTACACACAGGGCTCTTTATACTATGCAGTCCACTGCCACGTATGTTTGAAATCCTCCGACAGAAAGTAAGGAAGTATTTAAAACACTAATAGATTCTCCTCACACTCTCTCCTGGCTAGCTTGAGACAAGTTACCGACACTAAAAGCAGATACAGGCACATCTTCTTTTACTGTGTTCTGCAGATACTGGTTTTTTTTCACAAATTAAAGGTTGGTGGTAGCCCTGTGTGGGCAAGTCTATCAACAGCACTTTTCCAACAGCATTTGCTCACTTTGTGTCTCTGTCACGTACATTTCAAACCTTTTCATCATTATATTTGTCTGGTGATCTGTGGCTAGTGATCTTTGTCACCATTTCAATTGTTCTGGGCACCTTGAACTGTGCCTACATGAGACACTGAACTTAATAAATGCTGTGTGTTCTGACGGCACCACGACGGCCATCCCCCGTCTCTGCCCCTCCCCAGGCCTCCCTACCGCCCGAGACACGATGCTGAAACCGGGCCAGTTAATAGCCCTCGAAGGGTCCGAGTGAAAGGAAGGGTCACATGTCCCTCACTGTAAATCAAAAGCTAGAAATGATTAAGCGTAGCGGGGATGGCATGTTGAAAGCCGAGAGGGGCCAAAAGCTGGGCCTCCCGCAGCAGGCAGCCAAGTTGTGGATGCAAAGGAAAGGCTGGTTCTTGAAGGAAATTCAAAGTGCTGCTCAGTGAACACATAAAAGATAAGAAAGTGAATCGGCCTAGTTGTTGCTAAGGGGAAAGCTCTAGTGGTCTGGACAGAAGATCAAACCAGCCACAACATTCCTGTAAGCCAAAGCCTCCTGCAGAGCAAGGCCCTCACTTCTCATTTCTGGGAAGGCTGAGGGAGGTGGGGAAGCTGCAGCAAGGTACCCAGAAACTAGCTAAGATCATTCGTGAGCGTGGCTGCACTAAACAATGGATTCACAATGTAGACAAACAGCCTTCCACTGGAAGAAGATGCCATCTGGGTCCTTTCTGTCTACAGAGAAGTCAATGCCCAGATGCAAAGCCTCAAAGGATGGACGGACCCTCTTGTGTGGGGCAAGTGCAGCTGATGACTTTAAGCTGAAGCCCCTGCTCACTGACCCTTCCGGGAATCCCAGCGCCCTTAAGAATTATGCTAAGGGCCTTATTATCTGCCTGCGCCCTACATATGGAACAACAAAGCCTGGATGGCAGCACATCTGTTCACACCACGGTGCGCTGAGTATGTTAAGCCCACCATTGAGACCTACATGCAGAAAAAGGTTTCCTTTCAGAACACAGCTGCTCACCGACAACACACCTGGTCACCCAGGAGCTGAGACGCAGATGGGCAAGATCAATGCCTTCCTGCCCTCTGACACAACGCCCGTCCTGTAGTCCACAGATCAAGGAGTCATTTCAACTTTCAAGTCTTACTCTTTCAGAACTATGTTTTGTAAGCCTATTGGTACCATAAACAGTGATTCCTCTGATGGATCTGGGCAAAGTAAATTGGAAACCTTCTTGAAAGGATTCACCATTCTGAATGCCATTGAGAACATAATTCATGGAGAGAGGTCAAAATATCAACATTAACAGGAGTTTGCAAGAAGCAGATTCCAGCCCTCAGGGATGACTCTGAGGGGTTCAGGACTTCGGTGCAGGAAGTCACTGCAGATGTGGTGGAAACAGCAAGAGACCTAGAAGTGGAGCCTGAGACTGGGGCTGAATGGCTGCATCTCATGAGAAAACCTGAATGGATTGAGGGGCTGATGCCTGTGGGTGAGCAAGGAAAGTGGCTTCTTGAGATGGAACCTACTCCTGGTGACAGTCCTGTCAAGACTGATGAAATGACAACAAAGGATTTAGAATATTCCATAAACTTAGCTGAGAAAGCAGCGGCAGGCCCTGAGAGGACGGATTCCAATTTTGAAAGAAGCTCTACTGTGGGTAAAATGCTATCAAACAGCATCTCATGCTCCGGAGAAATCGCTCATGAAAGGAGCCCATCGATGCCGCAAACTTCATGTTGTCTTATTTTAAGAAACTGTCCCAGCCACCCGGCCACCAGCGACCACCACCCTGAGCAGTTGGCAGCCGTCAGCAGGAGGCAGGACCCTCCACAGGCCAAAAGATTACAACTCACTGAAAGCTCAGATGATGGTTAGCATTTTTTAGCAAAAAATAATTTTTTAATTAAGGTATGTACATCGTTTTTTAGACATAATGCTAGAAGTGTGAACATAACTTTTATATGCACAAGGAAACCAAAAGACTCATTGACTCATCTGACTCACTTTAGTGAAGTATTTGCTTTACTGCAATGGTCTGGATCTAAACCCACAATATCTCCTAGGTAGGCCTGTATGCTGGTAGAATGTTCTCTTGTCAAGAATGTGACAACAGCCTTATAATGATCATAGACTTTTTTCAATACCTTGTCCATTGACTGGTTGATATTTTTTAATATGTTTAGAAGGAAAAAATGCACTGAGTATAAATCTGTTTCAAAAACTAGTATTAGCTTGTTTGTCAAGAATTCCTTTTAAAATTTATGATACCCTGATCAAATGATTAAAACAGAATTCATACAGGAGTTCATAACAGTACACAGAGGTACCCAGACTTGAGAAATGCTCCTTGCTGGGTGTGCGTTACTGCTCATGGAAGTGAGGTGAGCACACAGGTGGTGCGTTGGCCTCGACACCTGCAGCAACAGAGCTAAGACTGCTCACTGACGGACAGGCTGCCCTCCTGACGCTCAGTCTCTGGCCCTCATTCCTTTGCACCTGCTGATCACTGAAAGCGCCCCCACTGTCTCAGCCGCGTGCGGTCCATTGTGTGAATCCATCTGCTGGGCTTTCACCACCAGAAGTGCCTGGATGAGCTCCTGAGCTAAAGGCAAACTCTCTGCAGAAGCCAGAGAATCCCCACAGAAGACTACTGGGCATGAGGGACAGCGCTGCCAGCTGCTCAGCCCACGAGAGGGGATGTCACGAAGGTACTGGAGGAAGCATGGGAAGTGGGGTCAGGAAGGGTTCTCAGTATGGCCTCTAGGTGAGACACAGGGCCGATCAGCAGCTATAATTCATGGAGTGTGTGTAGAGCTCTTCTCGATAAGCAAGGGAGCAGAGTAAGGCAGACGTCAGGCCACATTTGTGGTGACAGGGTTACAAGGAAGCAAAGTGAGACAGCCCCAGGATGGTGGGGATCAGCGGGGCGCAGGCAGCACAAGGTGCTGGGGCTGCTGAGCGGGCGCTTGTACCCCACCCTCTAATCCCATGCTTTCTGGAGGAAAAGCAAGTCAGAAAGTAGGATTTATAACTTACTATAGTTTGTAAAAGGTAATAAACCCAATGTGATACCTACTGTTAGAAAACTAACCAAAACAAAAAGGAAACCAAAAACTCCATTCTTACTCATCTGATTACATATCTCACGAAGTGGTCACTGGAAGGGGTGGAGGGGAAGTCAGGCCCAGAGCCCCACCTCCTGCCCGGCGGCACGTGAGAATTGCGGGAAGCCGTACCTTCACGATCTCCTCTCCGCTGACATGCCGCAGCCGCCCCAGGACATCCATGATGCGGTCGGGAAAGGCCTTCCACTTCAGCAGCGCGAGGAGGTCCACTAGGAAGCAAGCCCAGAGACGTGAGCCGAGGACAAGCCGAGCCAGACTTTCCCGGCCAAGGGGGCAGCCTTGGAGACAGGAAGAGCTGCCAGCCTGCCTGGCACTGAGGTCAAGGCCAAAACTCTCCTGTAGGCCCCGGGCGTGCACTCTGCAGCTGCTCACTCCCAGAGCCTCCCAGACCTCCACAGGGAAGGAGAATCCCTTGCCAGGCGGATGCCAAAGCGGAACCTCTGCCCCATGAACAAGCACCAGCAGCATGAAGCCGGCAGGACACGGGGTGGCACCTACCATTCTGGGTGAGCTTGGTGGAGGACAGCTGTGTGGAGATGAAGAAAGACTCCTTGGCACTGCGCTGGAAGATGAGGCTGGAGGGGATGTTTGGGCAGCCACTGTAGTCCTCCTTGCAGCAGGGCAGGCCCAGGTACAGGGCGTGGTTGTTGAACGTGCTGTTCTCATCGCACTGCGGGCGAGAGCAGAGAGCACAGGCTGCCTCCTGGCCCCACCACGCATGGGAGGCAGGTCTTGGGGGATTCACGGGCTAACACGTGCTATCATCTTCCTGGGGCTGGGCCTCAGGCCTCAGGTCTTCTTAGAAGAGTGCACCTCCCCAGGATGGCTCACATGCTTTTTCAAGAGAATACGGTGGGGCAAGTGGCCTCCCGCTGCTGTGCCATGACAGCTGACAGAACTGTGGCCTCAAAGAGCAGGTCTGTATGGGGCCCAGCCAAGGCCACAGCGGCACAGAGGGGTTGGCGATAGATTTCCATCACCGGTGGGGTGGAGGTGGGTAACAAAGGGCCTGCTGGCATCCCTTTGGGGAGGAAGGCAACTGTATTTAGAAGACTAAAGCCCGCCCTTAGCTGACCTGCCATCACCCACAAGCACACTGCCCCGGGGAAAACCACTGACCTGAGAACATGGGAGCTGGCCCGGGGAGTGAGAGCCACAGGGGGGAGGGCCAGCCGGCCGTACCTTGTACACGTAGAGCTCGTGGGTGTCATCGGAGAGAGTGGTGCCGTCGTCCCGCATCAGAGGAGAGAATGCGAAGCCGAAGAGCTTCTTCTCCCCTTTGTCCTTTGCTGCAATCAGAGCCAAGTGTGGGCTGCTTTTGCCCCCTTAGCTTTTTAACAGAAATTCCCCATGTCACAATCACCTATGCTCTTGATTTCTTTTGTCTTATCTTCATTAACTTGGCAGCAGCCTGACTGGTAGGATGGCATGAAATGTACTGGACTGAGTTCCATTTATACGCGACAGCGTTCAGGCCACTGGGACCCAAGCAGAAGCTAAACTCCTGGTCTAGATAACCAGGTGCTCTTTAAGAAGCAGTTTCATACTTATAAAGGAAACACGTAAAGGGGAATGACCCTGGCAATTATCCGGGACCAGCCCAGACATGAGGAAGGGCTGACACTGGACCTCACGTCCAGAGAAAAGTGCCTGATGACTTCCCGTTAACTCTCAACTGCTCATTTCCCGGCCCCAACGAGAGCCCTCTTCATTCTGCTCCGCAGGGAGGAGCTGCACCCCCCAGAACACGGAGAGCAGCCCCACTCACTGGAGCAGTGTCTGAACTCGAAGCGCAGGTGAGAGCCCCGGAACCGGTCAATGGGGACGGGCAGCTTGACCATCTCCCCCCAGCGAGGGCTGTTGCTGTGGTAGAGGACGAAGGAGTGGTAGGAACTGCGATTCGGCTCCCCCGAACCCAAGCTGATGCAATCCTGCAGAAGGAAAGCGAAAGAAGGTGTCGTCTTCCTGCAGGGGGTCCCTGGCTTTTTCCGCGCCACCAGGACACCCCACTTTCTCCTTTGCACAGGTCTCACCTTCCCGCCAGGCCAGATCAAGAAGATGGGAAAACTCACTCGACTCAAATTCACTCCTTTTGGGAACAGCCGTGAGATGGCGCCAGGACTCAGAAGTCCCGGTGCTCCCTGCTCTCCCTGGGGCGGGAGTGACCACACACACTGCTCAGCAGGCGGGGGGCGGGGGGGCGGGAGGGACGGCGCACAGAGCGGTGCGTCCTCACCGATAAAGGGAACGACGAATCCCATGGGGAAGTGACCTGTCCATGGCATTTTACCAGAGCAGAAAGGTAATTAAATTATAATGTAGGCAGTTTGTTTTCTAATCTTCCTCAGCCCAAAGTTACATTTTAGATCACCCTTGGCTGACTTCCCTGGACATAAACAAGGTCCTTTTTTTCTGTCATCTAAAGTTGGCCATTATAATAGGAACAATCTTTCTGGTATTATTCTTCTAAAACACTGTGCTATTTCTCTTGCTGGAACTGTTGAAAGAAAAGTATAGAGAGTGGATTTAACCAGACCTCAGTTCCCAATATTGCCATGGAGATGCAATGCCATCTTCCTAGAGGACAGGAAGCTTCGGGCAATACAATCGGGAGCAGTTCTCTCTCTGAACAGGGCTGGTGTGAGCTAGTGTGAGCTGGTGTGAGCAGAGGACAGTTCTGCTGAGCTCAGCATTAACCGTGCAAACAATGGACATGCCTTACTTAGTCCTTGAGGTGGGTTTTTTTAAAAAAAGGACACACAGATCATGTCTCTAGTACCATTCACCATTTCTTTCCAGCTTTGGGGAATCATTCTGATTTTACCTTGTCCTCCTGTGCAATGTGGTGACCACTCCCGCTCTGCCTACCTCACCGGGCTGCTGCCAGCACACAGAAGGGAGGTCTGCAAAGGTGGGATCTGCCTCTGCCACGTGCTGTGTGACTGCCGCCTTGTGACTTGCCAGGGGCATCCGCACATGACAGAGGGAGGGCACTCACTGAGGAGGGGCGGGGGTCCCTGCTGCACTGGCTGGGAGCCGTCCCGCAGGGCCTGAGCCCCGCTCTTCCTTGTCACATAACCTGGTACAAGTGAGCGAGTGGCTGAGTCCCTCCCTCGACCAAAGAACAATCAGGATGTTCTGCGTTAGTTCAAGGAACAAAGAGAGAGGGGTCTGATAACAACAAAAGTAGGCCAGCTTGGTGGTATGGCAGGAGAAGTGACCGGAGGACAGACCCGGAGGGACTAAGGTGGAGCCGGAAGGATTCGGGTCGGATACCAGGAAGACTCTCTGGCAAGGCTGTGTGACGCTGGAAGTCATTATCAGAGCACATTACAGGGTCGCCCTGAAGAAGGGAGAAGGTAGAGGAGAATGCCCAGGGGGCGACTGAACTCAGCCCTGCCTGCGAGAATGGGTCTCTGGACAAAGTCCGCGGAAGCACTAGAATTATTCCAGGATTTGACTCCGCTCCAAACTGACCCGCAAGCCTTACCTTCAAGACTTCTCCGTCTGCATAAAGCACATACATGGTCACCTCGATATTCTTTTGCACACTCTTCCCCCCTCTCTCGAAATCCCCCTTCTCCAGGGTTAGGTACAGGTCGTTGCGGATATCGCCTGCAGGAAAGAAATGCCACTTGGTGACCATGGAAGCCGCGGCGCCCATCTGCGTGCGGGGCCAGGCTGGTGTCTGGCTGCTCGGGGCTCAGTGGGCACTCAGGGCATTCCAGGCATGTTAAAAACAATGGGCATCCAGCCATCCCAGGGCAGCAGTGCGCAGGCAGGCCAGTCACGTGCTCTCCGGGTCTGAAATCCGAAGGCATTCGCTGCAGCTCGTCCAGGACGGGAGAGCAGGGCAGAGATTCCCCTCAGGTTACAGGTGGCTGCTCCATCCTTCTCCCCTCCGGGGCAGCTGCATGCTGAGCCTCCCAAGGAGGACAGAGTTCACCATCAATAGGAACAATGTCTAGGCCTTAAGTGCTAACGCCGCCTCCACTCCCTCATATAGAAAGGCTAGTCTCCTTTTTCCTGATACAGGCTTCCTTTTACAACCCTCAGCCCTGCTGAGTCTAGCTAGGGGATACCCTTCTTCCTTCCTTCTGGGGGTCCACTCCAAATCCGTTCCCTGGAGTGCCGGGCGGGGGTCCCTGGACTTTGGTCAGTTTTCCTCCTGCTGCGTGTGGAGCACAGGCGCCGGGTGGTGAGGGGTGGCCAGCCCGCTCCTGCTGCTTCCCTGGCATCCTACTCCCACCCACTTCGCCCCTGCCTGCTGCTGCGATGGGCAGAAGCTCAAGCGGCAAGCCCCACGCCGCCTCTGCAGGGGCCGGAGACTGCCTGTTTGCGTGTCACGCGCTTACTCAGGCTGCTCTTGGCTCCTAAATCTGCATCACGGCCACTTCTATTCACACAATCTAAAGGACTTCTGACTTTCCAAACAACACAGTAAAGGTTACAGGACAAGGGCATCTTTAAAGGAAAAAAAACCCCAGGTAAGGCCAAGGTGAAGATCTGTCTGCAGCCTGAGGAAACCGACTGAGGTAATGGAACAACTGCAGACATTCTTTCTCCAACCATTCTTCGAAAACCTGGCAGAGCTCACTCAATTCATTACCTGGAGCCACAGTGAACAACAGCTTTGTTTTAGCTTAGCATCTGAGCTTTCCGCTTTGGTCAGATACACGGCGACGTCCTTTCCTCTGTACTTACTTCCTCTCTCACCGCCGAAGTCTCTGGGTGGAACAGTGATAGGCTGGGCCTGGCACAGGCTGTGGGCTTCTACGGTCTCATGGCCACGCCTGTATTCCTCAGGGTGCCCTCTGATCCCAGGAGTGCAATCATGGCTATCTGGTCACATAATGGGGCTCTCAAAATACTTTGGCTCAAGAAACTCAGCCTATGAGAAGCAATTAATTATTCTCTGACAGACCAGAGATTTCCTCTGCTGTGTGAGAGCCATCCCCAAACAAAGAGCCCCATGGGATGGGAAGAGGAAAACGTCTTCTGAAAATCACACACAGATGCAGCTGCCAGGGAGGCGGGGCGGCCTGGGCAGTGTCCATCCTTGCAGACTACAGACTCCCCTCCTGGGTTGAGCAGAGCCTCTCTACTCTGAAGTCTGATGAGTCTGGAACTTTGATCTGTCTCCTTTGAAGGTCCCTGCCTGGGCCCCCCTAGCTTGCCATCAAAAGGGCACTCAGGTGGGGGCGGGGAGGGAGGCAGGGGGAGAAGAGAGACTCACATTCCTCGGTTTGCTACTGCAGGACGGACCCTGAATAACATCAGTCCTGAAAGTGAAACTCATAATTAACTGGGAACTTTACTATGGGTTATTGATATTCTCATGGGATAAACCAGAGCTGGTTACACCTTAAACTTTTAACAAGTCAAACAGACATCTCAGGACCCTCTTCTGATAAGAGCCTTTTGGTTATACATTTGCTTTTAAATGCCCTTAAGTATTTAATTTTAATGTCTACTCTAAAGGATAGGTACTTTGTTTAAGCATTACCCTGGCTTAACCCAGTGTTCTCTGGGAGTTATCCTCAAGGTAATCCATTCTTCAAGGCAGGTGTTGGTTCTCAGCAGTAGTATTCCAGTTTGTATAAACATTTTTTATTTCTGTGGCTCTATACAAAAATTAACCATGGTACAACAAACATGTCCTTCAAATGAAGCATTTCATACTTTTCCTAGCAATATACGATACAGAATCACAGTACAGACTGGGCATGGTCTTGGAGGCTGATACAGACAGAATTTGGTTGTGTTGGGTTTATAGAGTGAGCTCATAGTTTCTGGGCAGCTCCCCCAAGGCATTTTAAACCAAAATGCTAACTTCAAATGGAAGGATTGAGCTAGAAATCCCTAGTTTGCAACAGAATGCCTCTGGTGACCACCTCGCAGAGCAAATCCATCCATAGTAGTAACAGTACTCTCTGTGCTACAGACCCTCTGCACCTCAGACTGACACTGGCCGATTTCATCTGTTCTTCAGCCGCCCTTGCTAGACAGACCTGCACAGACTGCGCATGCCAGAGTGGGTCTGGGCTGCCTCACGGACTACATTTTTGCAAGTTACAGCCTCAATTGTGAGACGGCACTTTGTAAGAGCGAACATCACTGGGCGTTCTCAGAAATTCTTGAGGGGTCATTTATACTGAGCTCTCCCCTAACTCTTCTGGAACTGGGAGAAAAACCTAAGGGGAAGCATAGGTGCAGGGCTCCAGGGATCTAACGGCTCAGGCCTGCCCTGCAGGGAGCCTCCCAAGGTGCCCTGCCCTCGCTGTCCCTGTCATGTGCTGTGTGTTCACAAAGCTTACCAGGAGAATTTCGCCTTTGAGTTACGGCACTGTTTCCAGGAGGCTCCTATAAACTTGAGTACCAACTGCCAAGAAATATGACCAGGAGAGGGACAAGGACAGACACAGTGCAGTGAGGATAAAAGAGAGGCCTGAGCAGGGGTTTCTGGGGTAGTTTGCTGGCCACTGCCAGGCTGGCTGTATGTGAATCACCTAGGGGGCTTCTTGGAACTGGGTTTCTTGCCTCCATCCTTTGAGATGGCAGGGGGTCTTGTGTACATACATTTTAAAAATAACACCAGGTTATTCTGATGGTGTTCAGGGTTTGACATGTGGGGGTGTGCTGGGAAACCCTGGTGAAGTCCGGCTGGGTGGGGGGGGGCTTTTCCAAGGGGTGTGGGAGCAGGTGTAGTTGAGGGTAGCTCTGCCTCCCTTTGATAGGTGTCCTCTGCTTTCTGAGGCCAGAAGACCATCTAGAAGCATCTGAGTACCCAGTGCTTGGTTGACATGCAACAGTTTCCTGAATGGAAAGATGGATGCATGATGTTGTCCTGGGAAGAGGACCTCCAAATAAATCATCTTTGTCCCCCTCACAGTTTCCTGATAGCCAATGTCAACTGTGGGAACAGATGCATGTTGGGAAACTAGGGACTTAAAGAATGTACAGAGGTTGGCAAACTTCTGCAAGAGGTCAGACAGCAAACTTCTAGGCTTTGTGGGTCACGTCTCACATAAGTAACATGTTCTGTGTTTTCACAAGCCCTTTAAAATGTAAAAAAAGCATTCTTAGCTGGTAGTCCAAAAACAGGCTGCTTGCTGGGTTTGGCCTGTGGCTTGGAGTGTGTATGTCAAGAACAGTGTCACTGCAACTACACATCAAAAACCCAGGTTCCTATAAGGCTACAAAAACAGCTGCTGGGAAGAAGCAAGTAATGAACGTGACACCCTCAGTCATCAGAGACTGGCCAGAGCCTCCCGGAGTGGAGGTCTAGGGAAACAGTGCTGTTCAGCTACCAGAGGTCTTCGGGAGCCGGGGGCACTGTAAGAGAACTGCACCTGGAAGTGACAGGGACATCCCCGCCCCAGGGGCCAGTCTGACCATCTGAGGCCTGCCTCCCACTATGTCTCTGGAGGGACAGGGTCCCTGAGTTCGGTTTCTTCTGAGAGCAGACTTGCAGAGGGCTCAGACTCTCTGAGGTTCAGCTCAGGCACCAGAGTATCTCTTAGCATGAGAATCTCTTGCCAGATGCTTCATCTTTCCTTGGAGGTCAGGGGCCACGAGGCCCCAGCCGGTGTGACTCCATCCCAGGAGAAACGGTCCGGGACAGCCAGCATGGGCTCGGGCACTCAGTCGTGTTTGGGCCCTTTATCACACCTGCTCCTTCTGTATAAATCGTTCCCACCATATATTAGGAGGCTTTGGGTTTAAGGACAGTATGTTCAATACTATATCATTACACCTTGTCTACTTCTAGATAGGATTAGGAGGGGCTTCTGCGGCTAACGCCTTCTTTCCCTGAAGGCCATGTAAGACCAGAACTACCTCTCCCAGCAGACGCCGCTGCCTGCTTGGGATGGCACGAGTTCTCTCTCTCGGCAGAAGAGGCGTGAAGTCTCCTGACAGCACCGCGGAAACGTGGCGACATTAACAACCATTCAACTTGGACAGTTTTAGGCACATGACCAATATGTTCTATTTAGTAGTATCTGTGGCTGAGACCACCGACAAAACCAAAACCGGATGACGGCAACTCTGGGAGGACGTCTTAGGGTAACTGGGAAGATGGCTTATTTTTCCAACCATGTCTCCAGTACCACACTTGTACCGGTTCCTACTGTTACAAGGTCGGGGATGTTCTCTGCCCAGGATGACAGGACTGGGCACAGTGTGGCACACTGTGCATGGTCATCCCTCTCGGGTTAGGGATGTGATGATCTTGCAGCCTGTTGTGGGACCAGGTGTAACCCTTCCTAGACCACCCCTGAGAGATGTGCCAAAGCGTCATCTGACGCTCAGATCGACCACAGGCCTACGACCTCCCTGTGGTGAGCACTCCCACCGCGCCCCTCAGGACACTTTCCAAATCATGCCTCTGTGTGCCTGCCCTTTGTATGAGATGTGTCTGGCAGAGCTGAAAAGAGAAGCTTTCTGCCTTTCTGATTCTTTGTGGCTTGGGGTGAGCACCAGTCATTTCCCCTTCAATGGGAGTAGCCGATCTCTCAAGAAACTCCCTGCCTGTAGCTTACACCTAGAGCTTGCTAAGGTTTTCTAAACATTCCAAAAATGTCCTTAGCTTCCTCAGATCTTAATGAATACCCAAGACACAGTCTTCTAGGCTGTGTCTTCTAAGCTGTGTCGTCAGTCACTCCAGAAGGTGAGGCTGATGGATCGACCAATGTACATGACACCCCACCCCAGCATTGCAGCATTCCATGAAACAAATGAAGATGGAAACAAAGCAGGCGGAAGGCAGACAGGACGCACAAAAGCAGGAACTTACACCCAACTGTCTTCATCTCTGCACCAGAAAGAAAGGGGCGAGAATGAGGGGGCAGCACAGAGAGAAACAAGAACAGTTAAGACAAACAGGACGAGAGAACAACATCATCGCAGGTAGGTGATGGAACATGCACTTTTTATCAGGGACCAAAGCACAGGACAGAGTGTATTTCTGAGCACGAGGGCAAGAGTCAGAGGGTCCCCTGGGGGATGCCAGGCCTGCGTAGCTGCCTTCTGCCAGGCATGTTCAGGGCAGCCCAGAGAGGCGCAGGGCTCAGCCAGGTCTGACGCACAGGGATGAAGCACCCTACGGCACAGTGCGCTCTAGGACACGGTTCCCAGAGGTGGTCCCAAACCAGCAGCACCACCATGCCTGAAGGACCCTGAGGAACGTAAGGCGCCAGGGTCAGGCCCCATCCTACGGTCTGTGGTATCAGTCTCGGGATGGGCCCAGCGCCCGTGCTTTTCCAAGTCCTGCAGATAATTCTGACACATACTATAATTAGACAACTACTGACTTAGGGAAACGGAATCCTCAGCTGGAACAGCCTAAATCTGGGCAGATTCATTCTGATAGGACAGAGGGCCATGTAACTAACTAATAGGAAACCTGGCCCAGGTCACCCACGGAAAATGATGACCTTGAGAATTCCAGGCTTACAAAACAAGTTAAAATTTATACTTCCCACGGAGCCATGCCAGAGCTTTGTATTTCTACTGTCTCCAGGGAACAGGCCTTCCAGGAAAGCTAAGAGTCAGAGAGGGACATGGTGGCCTATCTCTGCTGGCTTAGAAGTGGTCTGGACAAGGGTACAGCCCCCCTCCTGGGCAAGAGGCTTTAAACAGTTCCTTCTTGTCTGGAGATTTTGCCAGGCAGTTTCCTTAAAGGCTCACTCTGGCTAGTCCCAGCGAGCAGTCCTTGGCAACAAAGCTCCCCTCCCCTCGCTCACCTGCATACTGTCCTGCTCCAGCCCCTCCTGCCACCTTCCTGAGCAGCCTGGGACAGGAGTGGGGTGTGCTGTACGCTTATCAGCTTTCCACCAAGCAGAAATGAGTTTGGAGGCGAGGAGCACAGCCCCCAGCAACATGGTGACCAACCAACAAGTGGCTATATGTGCCAGGTTTTCACAGTCAGGCTGACACCCCCCATCTGTTGTTCTCACACAGTCCGGAAGGGCGTTCCCTGGTTGGCGTGCCTCCTCGGGGACTGCAGCTCCAGCAGTGGCATTTTCCCTGGCTCACCACTGCAGGATGCAGGTGGCAGGCAGAGCTGGGCGGCTGTGTAGCCGGGGCCTCAGCTGTGGCACCGAGCAGCCCTGTGCTGTGTGTGCTCCCACCCACGAAAGCAAGCGGACACCATCAGAGGGGCCTTTTCCAAAAAGGTGTGCTGGACACTGGTGCGGCAAGAGCCTGGTTAAACTCCATAACCCAGAGCTGTGAGCTCTGTCAACAGGCTCCAACAAGGACCTACTGGGCCACCCTGACAAAAAGACGTCTCCAGACGGTGCCTGGTAGTTTCCGCCAAAGGCTGGGTAGTTTTAAAATAAGGATCATGGTTTATGAATAATTTCAATTTTTCATTTTCTCTGATGTATCAGACTTAAGTGTTGATATGCTCACAGTTACTGACATAATTTATTTCCTTGGTCACTTCACATAGGCCCTCGTGTCAGGAAGAAGCTGCAACTTCTTTACCTGGTGACACCAGCACTGTGAGGGCGGAGACCGCTGCAGCCTGGGGACCACGTGCCACGGGTGAGGGCTGGGCCAGCCACAGGTGGACAGGCACTCCGGCCACACGTCACGGCCTCCCCAGGCAGGCTGACAGTCATGTGCAGCCCTCCTGTGCACCCTTCCTGCTGCTCCAGCGGGCTTGCGGGCCAGCCCTGTGACGGGGCCCAGGAACAACAACCCCCTGCGATGGTACCGTGGGGTGCATTCGGGGGACTTTCAGTTGTCAGTCCCAACCCTGGAGTGTCTGTCTATGCAAGCAGCTCTTCCTCAGGGGGAGGAAAGGCAGACGCAGAGACAGACTGCGGGCAGACTGAGGACGGCTCCTGCCCAGGGGCCAGCCCTACTTGCGGCCCCAGCACTCAGCCCTCAGGGACAGGCGACCCAGGAAGAGCGCGTGGGGCCCCAGCCAGGACCTCCCAGGACTGCCAACATCTTGGCACCTGGGGAAAGTCATACGATGATCCCTCTGCTGCAGCCCCTCACCTCAGCCTGCCTCACAGTGCCCGAGGCCGCTGGCCTCCACGTCCGCACACCCAGAGGCCTTTATGAGCCCGTGTGCCATGACACACAGAGACGTGGAGTGCTCCACAGAAAGATCGCTCCCCAAAGATAAAGTCTGGATGATGTAACTCTTGAAATCAAAGTTTCCTTAAAAACACTCTAAGGGAAGCTTATTCCTTTCTAGCCTCTGCTGACTTGGTTTTACCTCTGTGACTGTGTGAAGGCTAAGAGGAAGGAAATGTCTGTATCTTAGACAAACAAGTTCTTAAAAGAAAGGAAGGACTTTTAAGTCCACCTCTTAGAATACATGACTCCAGCTCATGAGCCCAGATACCTGTACTAAAGGAAGGTCACCACAGCAATTCTGGCAGCTAACTATTCGTTCTTTGATGACACTTGGCCAAGAAGCCAGGGATAGTGCCTGGGCTCCTTTTTTCCTTATAAGCAGGGTCACAGAGGGCTGGGGACAGGATGGGAGAGATGCTACCTCCACAGCAGTCAGAGGAGGCCTTCCAGAAGAGTGATGCCTCCTTGGCTTTTAAAAATAAACATGGAATTGGCTGAGTGGCCCCTCCTGTGTGCGTGAGCAGACGCTAAGGGTGTTCACAGCAGCTTGCCCTGCACCCACAGCCTCTACCATGGGAAAGAAGTGGCAGGAGACAAGACTGGGAACAGTGTGGGAGGCCGGAAGGCAGTGGAGTCCACCATGTGGGCCTTCTCTGGGCTCAGCCACGTTCCCTTTGGGAACATGCTGGCCAGTATTTCAACAGGAGGATTCACAGCAGCGTAAAGAACTCTGAGCAGGTGACATGTGCAGTGGTCACCATCAGTCCCATCTAGTCCAGCCTGGCCCTTCTAAACAAAAGCAAACAGGCTTTTGGTGGAACATTAGAACTCCATGGAAAGGGGAGGCCCTCTCCTACCGTTCTCCAAGCAGACCACCAGCTGTTGGCCTGCTCCGTTTCCCTGTCCTTGTTCATATCTTCTCCAGTTAGCAGACCAGCTGCTGCTGCCCTTCCCTCAGTCCCCGTGCTCCCCTTGGCCCTGACGGCCTGTTTCTATCTGCCTCTCCAGCTTTGCCTGCAGCAGCCTGGCTGGGAAGTGTGAGCTTGGGGTGATCTGCTGGGGTGGCACTTGTCCCAGCTCCTCCTGCCAGCTCTCCAGCAGCCTTAAGTTGAGGACAGTGAGACAAGTCCTGAGACCTGGCCAGGTGGTGCTATTCCCAGTGCCCATCCTATGCCATCTGCCTAAGCCATTAAAACGTACCTGCCATGCCTACATGAAGTGAGATTCATTGGTATTGCAGGCATATACTTTGGTATATTCCTCCCCTTAAAGAGGAAGATCTTGTGAGCCAGTTCTTCTAAGAAATGTAATGGAAGAAAAGAGTGCAAAAGGCATCTCCACGAGGGCTCCACATTGGTTCCTGCCATCCAGCCACGGGGGAGACAACAGCCTGCCTCCTGGGCCGTCACATGCCCTGGGGAATGGGACGTGGGCGCTTCTGGACAAGCACAAAAGCCAAGAAGGAACAAAGAGACCCTGGGCTGCCACCTGAAGTCAGCACCCATACTGGGGCCTGAGGCTCCCTGGGGCGGCAGGCCTCCCCCGCGTCACGCTCGCACCTGCTCGGCAGATGAGCCTTGCGCTTCTCCTGCTCACCCTTCTCCCAGCCCGGACCCCCGAGTTCTGCCTACCTGGCATGATGACATCAGGAAATCCCAATTTTCTCGTAGTCGCCAATCCCCTATTAAATATCATGGGGTTTTCTCTCCTAATCTGCTCCATGTCTCCACGAAGAAGCTGCAGAGAAATGATAAGCCCTGCAAAGACAAAAGTATTTTCTTACTCAGAACCACACTTCCACCCTGGACTGCAGCCTAAGAAAAGACAGCCACATTTCTTCAGAGAATGGGCCAAGGCCAAGGTCAGCAATTTTCTTGAGAAAAATTTTGATGCAGAAAGTGTGTGTTTTTCTGAAGAAACATTCTAGGAAGCTAAAGGAATTCAAGTCAAGATGACCTCCATAACCCCCAGAGCACTGGTAGAGGCTGACTGAGCTGCCTTCCTCTCTGTTCTGCAACATCAAGCCTGAAGTCTGGCTGGGCCCTGACATACTGAACAGGGGGCTCACTGCACAGGCTCCGCATAGAGGGGCCCAGAGAGGGCTACAGAAACAGCGGGGACTAGAATAACTGTGCGCAAAGACGGCACTGGAGCAGGGTGTCCCACCAGCTGGAAACGAGAGAGCCAGGCAGCGTGTTTTGTGCTGGGGCATGCCACAGCATGGGGAGCCCATTCTGGTTCAGCCCTGCAGGAGCTTGTGATGAGGGCAGTGGAACAGACAGCATGTTCTCCCTGCAGGCAACCACTGAACCCCAGGGAAGCGAAGGGGTGCTCGTGGGCCTAACCAACCTTGCCTCCAACTCTGACAGTTTCAGACCCTCTCCATGATCCCAGGGGTTCCATTCAGGACTAGCGGCAGTCCATCAGGTCCCCTCAGGTGCGCTGGCTTCTGGCTTGTACCCTAGGGTTTTGCACAAAGTAGGAGCCTCCTGGACACCACCCCCTCCACCATCCTGCAGCCACTGGCTAAAAGGCCATGAGAAGTCAGGAGGGGCTGTGGATGAATCAGCTGGTAACAGAGTGGTGGATAAAGGTGCTGCTCTAGGGTCTAGCAGGAGGCAACCTTGTCATCTAGAAACCTGGGCCCTGAGCAGAAGATGGATGTGCAGAAATGAGGGGCGACATTATGGTGAGTAGGTCAATCAGAAGAGCAGTGCTGGCATGGAGACACTGACAAGTGGAGCTGGAGAACAAGAATGGCTTGGGAATGGAAAGGGGCCAGGGGATGAAGATGTGGCAAAACACACAGGTTGGGGGAGTCAAAGACACGGCATCTAGAAGGTCCAAGTGTCCCAGTAGCCAGGATGTGTGCTGGTGCAGCTCAGCTGGGCGAGGAAACAGTATCTACCGCAGCCGGAACAGCACCTCAGGATGATCTCATTGCCTCGGCTCACGTCATGCTCCCCAAGAAGCCCTGGGGTTACACATATGATGTCCCAGGTGCCCTCAACACCAGGTCCCAATGGCTTGAAAAGCAGACATACGGTATTCTAGTCAGCATTCTGCTTAGACAGTCAGTGTTTGGAGTTTTGATCAACCTAAAGCAATTTAGTTACAGCCTAATCACTTAGTGGACTCAGTTATAATCAGTCCATGACCCTGGAAGGGTGGGGGGCAGAACTCAGACGGCAGTGGCCTCTGCAGAGGGCAGTGTGGGAGCCCCTCGCCCCTCCCCTACTATGAACTCAGCTCACTGATCTGTGGCATTTTTCAATCTCATCCTCTGGGTATCAAATCTCACTCTCTGGGTGAACAGGAATCCACTGACCTAAGAGATGGCCTAGCTTGGGGCAGACAGCTGAGGAGGGAAAGTTCCCAGAATTTGAGCTGGTGGCTAGAGGGCAAAGGGAAAAAAACAAAGGGTGTGCTCTTATTCTGCTCTCTGAAGTCTGTGGTGCCCCCAGCCCAGAGGGCATACTTCAAGCACCGATGAACGGCCAACATCTGTGACCCTGGGCTGCAGGCGGCCCAGCCACTTCCCCCAGGCTGAGACACAGTCCCGCACGTCACCCTGGGGAGGGTTGGGTGGGGAACTGCTCCTTCAGTGGTTTCTTTCAATGCACTGTCTCCACCAGCTCTCTTTTAAAACATTCTCCATATTTTAATCAAATCATGTCCCCAAAACATGTAGCCAAGGGCTGCTCTTTATAAATCAAGTAGGTAAATAAAGCAAAGAACACTGTAAATATTGATTTGAATGGTGCTTTTCCAAACTGTGAGCAACTCTTCTCTATTTTAAAAACAAGACTATCTGTCTCTTGTTACAGCCTAATTTTTCATGAGAAATATAGACTCTCTCCCCACTCAAGCATGCTGCATGGAGCTCCTTGGCACCCTGGTACACACAGAAGGGAAAACAGCCACTCAAAACCAATGAGAGAGGCCCTGAGGGCCCCAGGCTGAGGGTCTCAAGCTTTGTGGCCCTAGTGTGCAGCTGCCCTGAGGACCCAGCAGCTGGGTACCTGCTGACCCTAATGGAGGGAAAAAAAGTTCTCAACAACTTGGGGAACTGCCAGGCCTTGCAGTAGCTTTATACTGTCATTCAAGGCCAACTTATGAAAGTCAAAAAACAATGGTTATATAAAAGAGTGATGAAATAATTTACAAGTAAAACTGTCCAGAGAAGCATGGTTGCATGTAAATTTGATAGCCGTCTTCAAGGGTATGCAAAAGGTCAGAGGCTTTTAAATAGTGCCTCTAATTTAGTCAAGCAATTCATGTTCAATTAGAAAACACGATCTTTCTAATGTATAGAATTTTACCGAGATACAGATAGAAATTAAAGAGAATTTTAAAAGAAAAGGAGGGAAAAGGAAAAGGAGTTGAGGTAAGATGAAAGCTGCTTTGAAAAAAAAGAACTTTCCATTCTAGCTCCCGAAAGGCTGCTGTTGGCAGAAAATCATTGGCGCTCATTAGTGTCAGGCTTTCTTGGTAATGCTAAGGCTGAATGGGAGCAGACAACGCAAGTGACATTAACATTTGGCCGGGGGGTATTGGGGTCCGTGTAATCTGTTCAGGAAAACTCAGGCTCCAGAACGGGACAACCTGCAACGTTGCTGCTCACTCTGGATGTGAACTGGGACCCGGGTGACTGATCAAAGCACGTGGAGTCATCACAGAAAGAAGACAACGTGTTTTGGTCAGAAGCAAACGGGGAAGGTCTCGAATTATCACAGAAAGAAAGAGCAAGAAGTGCCCTGGCAGGAGAACCAGTATCTGTGGGGAACTGAACTTGACATACGGCAACGGATCAGCACGCATTGGCTGGGGTGTGCGTGATCGGCAACCGCAAACGCATAAACGTAGCCCACGGCTTTCTGGCCGGAGGCGCCTGTTACCGTGACTGGCACTGGGGGCAGAGTACTTGGCGCTGGACTTTCGGATGATGTTCTCGTGGATCTGGGCCCACTCGCTCTCGCTGTTGCACCTGCAACAGAAGGACAGGTGTGAGGCTCTCCTGCGCTGTAGTGTCTGGGCTGATGCTCTGATGTGCCACGCTGAGTTTGAAGGGAAGCCTCAAAAAAAGAGTAAGTTTTACTCAATTAGACAAGGCTCATTTTCTGTTAAGGCCCACTGAAGATTCACACCTGAGGGGAGTAGAAACTCTAAAATGCATCTCTACAAATGCTGTTTAAGTAGCAAAGTATCTTATTCTCTGAAGCAGCCCTCTCCCACGTGACGAGTTTTTTCTTTTCGAGTCTCTTACACACTAGAGAAAACAGTCCCTCTGTACTCTGTTTAGGAACTGCCATGCCTGCCTGGCTTTACCCTCTCATTCAGCTGTCACAGTGGGCCCAGGGGAAATCCTGCTAAACTCAGGTATGGGCATATGTGCCTGCCGTTCCATTTCAGGCAGACCAAGCTAGGGAGAAAAGCTGGGGAGAATAGTGGGTTGGTTCACTGAGAAATCCTGTGGTCAAGGGGAAGAAGGGCCAGCAGAGAAGGCTTGGTGCCTAATAAGAACAGAGCCCCTTCCAGGAACTTGAGGACTGGGACAAGAGAGAAAGGAGGAGCACAGAGCACCTGCTGACCTCTGACATTTGGGAGACCTCCCCTCCAAAGGACGACTTGGAGAGAGCCCCGGGAGCAGTCTAGGGACAGAGACCAAGGGTTCTGCATCCTGGTGCAGACACCTCTATGAAACAACTGGCATGGGATTAGGGCCACCTCCTGAAGGCTCCATGTGACACCAGCATCCCATGGCCTGGCCCCACCCCTTCCTGCTGGGTAAGGTGGTATGCACCCCATCACACCAACAGGACCCAGGCACAAGGGGAACCCACAAGGTCTGTCCACAGGCACTCAGGGTGTGCAGCGTAGCACAGCCACCTCCACAAGGAGACCCCAGGAAGAATGCGAGCCACTCAGCTGTGAAACACAACAAGTTCCTAAATAAAAGGGTTTGTGTAGAGGCCATTCAGAGATAAAGGAGGTTGGTCACTAGCTTAATTTTGTTATTCAGTCAGTGCCTCTTTGGAATTCTTAGTGGGGATAAATAAACCTCTCTTATTTGGCGATGCTGCAAAGAATTTGACGTCAAAGACGAGGGTCTCACAGCCCAGAGCTGTGTGGAAAACTTCCTGCTTGCAGAATCCCTTCCCAACAAAGGAAGGGGCAGAGTGTTCTTTAAGACAACCACTGGTGATGCACCAAGTCATCTGAAAGTGGGGTGAGAGGTGCAGCAGCCACACGCCAGCCACCTGCCTGCCAGGTGGCCTGTCTGGATACATCAGACACGTGCCGGCTGGTGAGGCTTGTCTTGCTGTCAGTTGTCACTCTCTAGGTTTACAAAATCAGTAGTTACTTTTTCAGCAGAAATTGGACTATAATTTGTCTTAAAAATCATATTTTCCCTCTTACTCCAAAACAAGAGTCCTGAAAATTAAGTCCGACCTCAGACACATGCGCCACGTCAGTATATCTGCAGTGAAGCGCTCAGCCCCGGGGTGGCGGGCTGCTGGCACTTGCCAATCACATCAGCAGGGACCTGCACCACCTCACCTTCCTGGCACACACGGTTCAGAGGCAGACACCTGCCCGTGAGTCCCTGCCGCCCTATGTCCACACGGCCCTTGCTTACTGCTGGCCTCCAGCCCCCTTCCTTCTCACCCTACAGGCTTTCCCGGGTGATCTCCCCAACACTCAAGATGGAGCCCACTTACCCCTAAAGCCTGCCCCGGGAGGCCACGGGACAGCTTTCATCCCTCCTGGACGTGTCTCTCCCGGAGCGGAGCCCGCTAGCTCACTAAACCAGAACCCTCCAGGCTGCTCCCAGGCCCCACAGAGGCTGGTATCTTGAAATCTATCCCTTCTGACCTCTCCTCCTCACGGCCTTGGTTCAGCCATTACCATCTCTCTTCTGGACCAGTGATATTGGAATCACCTTTCCAATATCTCCCTTTCCAGAATGCCAAGAAGAGCTGCTCAAATCATCCACAATCAACTGTGGTGTCTCAGCATATTTTAAGCGATCATTAGGATATTTTGAGAGGAAGATTTACATATGGAAGCATTTATTAAACAATCAAATGAGTCGTGATTAAAACGAAGCATGATTAGGTCACGTGAATCAAATGAATATTCAGAGCATGATTCAGAACTGTGGGCAGCTCATCCTGCCCGCAAGGCCAGCAAGGTCTGCGTGCAGGTGGACACGCGCACTTCAGCCATGCCGCCCAGCTCTGCTCTGGCAGGCAGCAGAGGGCCGCCAGGCTTTGGTCTCTACGAGGGACCCCCGAGCGTGCAGAAACAGCAGGGCGGGTGTGCCGGCTCTGCTCAGCAGAGAGCATGAAGGACTCCGTCTCTCGCGTGCGGGGGCCCACGTCAGCGCCCGCGTCTTCCCCAGCCTTCCCCATCACCTCCTGTCCGTGTCTGTGTGATCCACCCACCTTCCTTCTCATTTCCCCAAGCTGGACAAGCATCAAGGGTTATCTGAAAGACCTTTAAGTTTCATCTTTAGCAGGAAGGGTGCCTTCCACAGGCAGGTAATGGCTGGGGGGGTCTTTTCCCATATTTTACTTCACTTAATTCTCATAATCCTGTAAGGTTAGTATTACCATGCTCATTTTATCAAGGAGAGTGAGATGGAGCTGGACTAAATACAGGCCTGCCTGGTCCCCAGAGCAGGGTGGGCAGGGGTGGGGGAGGAGAGGCTACAGCCCTGTGCCGGGAGAGCTTGCCCTGCACAGGTGTCAGGATGCCCGTCCGACACCGGGCAGCACTCCCTTTGTCTACCCTGACCGAACTGCAGCTGTTCAGCCCTGATGTGAACCTTAATTTAGTGCCAGTACTCCATATTAAAATTCTTTCTCTTAGGGTATGCTTTATTCTGCTCTTTATTTTGGTTCAAAGTCCTAATAATCTAGAAAAGAGGCAACGACCCACAGGTTTAGGACACTATTGATGCTGACCACTGGTTCACGCAGCCCTTCCCTACAGGGCAAGAGAGACGCATTGAGAAGGATGAAGAAAAATACCACACACTTCTAAAAAATGGCCCGTATGAGCAGTCTCTAAGACCAAGCAGACACAAATCAACCAACCTGATTCATTCGGGATGGCCATGAGATTGCCTTTTCATTTATGATAAATTTAAGACATTTCTTATTTTACAGCAAATACATCTTTTTCTCAACAGACTAATTCACAAAGACAAACAGCGTATACGTTAAAGTCACAGCGCTTTGCAGGGACACTTGTGCTCGCGCCTGTACTTTCCAGGTGGTGGGAGGGCTTCTGTGAGGACTGCTGCTGTCCCTTTGCTCACTTTCATGGGACCAGGAGTGACTTCTCTGGCCAGAGCACCTAGGAGGACTTGGGCATGAGCGCCTCGGTAATGTCTCTTTCCTCTTTTGGGACCACCCTGTTTGCACAGGGCATATGATGCTTGCAGAGTCAGGTTTTAAAAGTCTTTCTAAGTCAGGGTTCATGTTAATTACAAGCTGTAGTGGGCTGACCATAAAAAGATCTGTCCACATTCGAATCCCTGGAACATGTGAATGTTGTCTTATTTGGAGAAATGTCTTTGCAGATGTAGTTAAATAAGGATCTTGAGATGAGGAGATAATCATGCATTATTTGGGTGAACCTCATCTCAATGGTGAACATGCTTAGAGAAGGACAAAGAGAGATTTAAGACTGGAGATACAGAAGGGGAGGCGCAATGTAGCCACAGGAAAATAGACTGGAGTGACACAACCCCAAATCAAGGCATGCAGACGGCCACCAGAAGCTGGAAGAGGCAAAGAACAGATTTTCCCCTAGTCTCCAGAAGGAGCGTGGTCCTGCTAGAATCTTGATTTCAGACTTCTGGCCTCCAGATTGTGAGAATAAATTTCTGTTGTTATAAACCATCAAATTCATGGTTGTTTGTTACAACAGCCACAGGAAATGAATACAGAAGTCCACGTGGCTCCCAGATCTAAGCCATGATCTCACATTTAAGTTCTGTTCCTAATAACATGTCTCTGTACTACTTACATACATAAACAGAGTGCAAATTTACATCTAGGCTGCTCTACACTGTATACCCATTTTTATCTACAGCCACTTAACTCTGCTCTCAGGACGAATGATGATACCCATTCGGCCCTCCACATGCAACGAACGGCATGCTATTCTCATTTACCAAGCTGACATTGCTAAGTAACTGGCGTGGACGGGGACCCTGACAAGTGTCTTTTTGGGTAGCAGGGGACTGTGGGGGTTTTCCCTTGGATGACTACTATGATGCATTCTATGCTAATTGCACTGGGATCAGTGAGTGTGGCTTGTGCCTTACAGAATTTATGGAAATTCTATTTATAATTTTTGTAAATGTTCCATGGGCACCGAAAAAGATATATTCTGTTTGTAGGACAAAAAAGCTAATTAGAACTGGGAGGGCCTGGGAGCTGGGACAGTCCATTCACACCTGCTGTCCAGGCATAAACAGCTTCCTTCTGACTGTCAGAATGTCCTCATTTACACTGCGAGTTACGCTCGCCCTCCATGGAGGTAGGAGAGCAAGCGGCTGAGAGCGTGTCCTCTTCGCCAGGCTGCTCAGCACACGCCTCACCACTCTGCCCTGTCTCCACGTCTGTAAGAATGCTGACACCACTCGTGGACAGCGCTCAAAGGTGCTGAGTGAGTCCCTGTCACACTGACCTTACTCAGTTCTCTTCTAAGTCAGATAAGCGTGTATTTATCTCTATCCCGATTTATTTTTATCTGTCAAGAGGTACGTTAAAATCCCTTGCTTTTACTATACTTTTATCTTGTTTGTATTTCTAATAAATTAGCTATAATAATTTTGAGTCAATATTATTACATGCATAAAGGTCCTAACAATTAGAGCCTCACTATAAATCCCACCATGTATTGGTATAAAATGCTCTTCTATCCCTGTGGAGGAAACGAGGGCTCTCTGCAATACTGGCACGCTGCAGACAGAGAGGTTGGCGAGGACGCCTGGGCCCTGGCTTTGCTCTCACTCCCCAGTTAAGGCCATGTGTTAAGGCGGAGTCTCGTCAACTTTCCTTTAAACTGAAGCACATGCACCACTGGGCAAATTTCTCCAGCATGAGGGATGAACCCTGAACTTAACAGGTAGCAGAGCAATAACCCCTGCTTTGCAGAGACCAGGTCATCAGGGGCTGGCTCCCTGGGGACCCTGGGGCTGACAGAGTGAGTGGTACTGTCACACACTGTGTCTGGCCTGCCCTAAGAGGCCCTTAGCTGCCCATGAGATCGTGGGCTCTTGGAGGATCAACAGGAAACCAAATGTGACCCTACAGTGTGTGTTCTTTTCCTGTCAATCCCAGATACTCTTGCCACAGCACATCCACTTCATACCTTTTACCTTATACTTCATTTTCCCCATTAATACTGTGACATTTGTTTGTATTTGATCCTTACTTAGCCTATTGACTTTCCATCACTTTGTGCCTCTTATTATCTTATCTTTGTGGGTCTTTTATTAATAACGAATGGATTTTGTTTTTCGACTCTATTTCGAGAATTTCACCTAGCAAGACTTTCTCTCACCTCAGTTGCACTTCTGCTGTCTGACTGAGACCGGGTGGGCTTTCTTCTGCCCCTTGCTCTAGGCCTTCCACCTGAAACACTCTTTCACAACAGCTTCTGCACTGTACAGTCTATGTTTTTACATGCACCTTTGTGATGGATGATTTTATATCCTGCATTTATTTATTTATTTGTTTGTTTGTTTGTTTATTTTTATCCTGCATTTATTTCTATGAGCATTTCCTTTAGGTTAGAAATGTCCACATTTTTACAAACCGAAATATTAATGCAGTTTTTAACCTAATTTGTGCCTTTATTATTGGTTAATAAGAAGCATAACTGAACGCTGACCATAAAGAAGAATTAACACTTTAAAAATAACATATTCTATAAAGCCTGTGATAGGACTTCTCTACTGAGCACTTTTTGTTGCTGTTTTTGAAGCCTTACAGGTTAAATGAAAGATGAACTTTTAAATCAAAATATGATCATAACCCATTCTCTTGTTCTTCCAAGAAATGCCATCAATTTGCTGCGTCCCTTACTTAACTGTGCTGTTGGCATCTATTCCTCTGTAAGGGGGTGAAGCCCTCTCAGTGCCCAGGGTTGGTACAGGCTTCCATGTGACTGGGCACATCCAGGAGGGCAATGACAGAGCACAGGGCACTAAACAAACATTCACTGGCTTCACTGCTGAAACAGGTCATGTGACCACCACAGAGAAACCGAGGAACACATTATGGATGGAATTATGCAGGATTTGTAGCTTAGATGTGAAAAGTGGGATTTGCCAATAACCAAGAGTCACTAGCATAAAACAGGAGACTCTTTTTAGATGGCATGTACTCTGCCCATTATTTGGGTATGTCTCACTTCATGAACCACCTCTTTCCTGTTTGATTCACTGGTTCATATGGGTTATTTTTTTCTGCCTTATATTACCTTATTCTTTTTCCTTTTTTTCCAGTTTTGTAGAGGAGGAAACTGAAGCTCAGGGAAGTAAGGTGATTTTTCTCAATCTCATAGCTTCTGCCTGCTCACCATGCCATCCAGCTGATCTGTGTGTCCCCCTAACAGATGGAAGCACGTCTACCTAGAAAAAGCGTGCTGGGACCACACACACCGTCGACGCGCTTTCAGGCCAGCTGACAAAGCTGCTGTGCATCTCTGCGCCTCTCTGCTCTTAGAGCTATTGCTCTTTCATGTCACTCTCCTGGAAGAACAGCAACACAGAAAAGGAAAGGGACAGGGACACCTTTCGTGCTACGGGGCATTTTTGAATCCCTCTATTTTGGGTATCGCAGTGCGATCTGGGTGAGTTACATTAGCCTGAAATGACCTCAATCAATGCAGGTTTTAGATGCTTCTAAAGTTTGTCCAACAGAACTGGTTAAGAACAGTTTTTTAAGAGCAAAACTACACAGATTTAGTACTTATCTCTGGGCATGACCTCCAAATTGAAGTGTGGGCTGTTCTGTAAAACTCCCCTTAGAAGCAGCATAGGAGGAACACACGTGGGCCACAAGGCAAATAAAGACACAGACACCAAGTGCCCAGATGCTCAGCAAACCTAACTGGGCCTCAGTTCAGGCGAAATTCCAGGGAAAGTGTCATCAGGACCCCAGAGGGAGGTACCAAAACCAACCAGAGAGGACATAATGTGTGTCAGGTTTCTCAAAAAGTGACTCTGATGGCCACAAAGACTAAATGGCAAGGCTGCATGCAGAGACTTTTAATAAAATTTTTTCCCAACATGTGAGAGTGGGGAATATGCAGTACTGCTCAGCTTTACATAATGTTCGATTGAGGATGTGTGTTTTGAGGTATACACATTTTATATAACATAGTTTAAAATATAACTAAGATGATAAATTTAATATTCTAAGTACTTACTTACCTATTTAATGCATTAGGCTGACTAAGAATGTCTATTTGGACTTTCTCACCGTGAAGGGGCACAGTGGGTGCCACACCTTCAGAAGCCTCTGGTGTTTGGCTGCATGCTGTGTCTGTGGGCCCCCAGCCCCAACCCCCAATGCTACCCCAGGGTTGACTTTAGCTCCTTGTGCTCCTCTCTTTTGTTCCTTAGGTTCCAGGTTCAACAACTGCTGTGCCTGCCTGTCACCCTGGTCCCTCTGGCCAAGAGGAAACTGACATCTATGTTAGACTGAATGCACAGAGTAGTTGTTTATTTGTGATTTTTAAGGCTTTTGGCTGAGTAGGCAGTGACCTAGCGTTCATGCCTCGGCTTCTTGTTGCAGTTTTCTTAGTGCCTTCTGGGCCATACACATGTGACATTGAGCAACGCCTGGAAAGCCAAAGCCGTGGCTGTGGCACATGGAGCTGAATCTGCTCGGCTGAGGCTGACTGGACAATGAGAGAAACGAGGAGAATGTCGGTAACTGATGAGTGACTTGCCAGTCCCCTGATTAAAGCTATAAAGGGGCTTTTGTCCTGTCCCAGCAGAGACTGACACACTGTGAGCAGCAAGGAGTAAACCCTTCAAGCTTCCCATCCAATCTAACAAACATGTCCCCTGAAACTTACTGGAAAATGTTGCTTCTCCTGAGGGCTCAATTCACTGTGCTGGTGTGGATTTAATACTAATCCCAGAGGAATTCCATACTGGACACAAACATGCATTGAAAGTCTGTTTGAAAGTCTGCTAATATTTTCAAGTGGAAAAATTATCCTATGTTTTAACATTATTAGTCCTTCCAAAAAATTTTTTAAAAACCTTACTTTCTCAATAAAAACATCTGTCTTTGGCTTTTTAGAGGCAACATATTAGGTATGGCTCATAGGAGGAGCTAAAAGCTACATGCAGATCCTACTTCTTGCAAAGGGCCACACTGGTACTGAGCTGTTCTTTCAGAAGCAGTCAGGCCAATGAGGGATGACGGCACTTTCAGGAGGGCGCTGTCCACAGCAAGCATGTGCACAGAAGGAAGAGCTGATGCACCAGAGACGCAAGTCTGGAGTGTGCTGTCTATAGACCAGGGGAGGGCCATGAGAGGGTAACGATGGTGGTTTCGGACATCCGGTCAGTCCTTTCCAAGGAAGGAAGGTGTACGAAGAAGTCAGTCACAGCACCCATCAGTGAAGAGGTTTGGTATATGGAGAAAGTCTGTGACCAATGCATGAAAGGAACAGAAACCCACCTTTGTAAGGTGCTTTCCCACAGGAAGACCCCACCCCAAGTGCACAACTCGGACCAGAACAGAGCTTAAGGAGGAAAGGTAATGGAGAGGTATGGACTTCTACTCTGAGATCAATAAAATGTGGCTGATTATATAAAGGCCCATTTTAAGTGTAATTGTGAATTTCATTTCATGCCTGAAACAGAACAGATAGCAGAGAAAAATATCCATATGATATTATGGTGAAGATGTATTAACATGGTGATTGACAGTGTTAGATTTAATTTGAAAAACAATATTGGGTTAGAATCAAGAGGACAGATGCTTCTTTAAAATAAAGCTCATAGTTAGAAATATATTTGCTTTAAAAACTCACCAGACACCACTGGTCATGTTTTCAACATTACTGTTTCATGCCTAAGTCTCTCTAAACAGACAGACACGCTGCCTGGAATCCTGTTTCTTTTGTTTTTTCTATTGCTCAGCAAGAGGCAGGAGAGGTGCACTGCTTCACGGCAGATTACTTGGGTGATGAACTCTAAAAGTACCCCCTTCCCGGCCAGGCATGACTTACAGGTGTGTGGGGGCAGACGTGAGCAGCTTTTCTTCAAAGACAGGGCAGCCTTACTCATGACTGTTCCCTGAAGCAATTTACCTCAGGAGCCAGTTACAATAGCTGGTGGGCAAGTGTGAGACACAGAAGACTCTTTTATATCCAAAACACCTGAAAAGTTGTATTATTCACTTTTCTCTAAAAATATAATAAGGTTGGTTAATCCTGAACAGAAGAGGAAATGCACTCTATCAGACTTTTACTTTGGGATAGAAGGTTCTAAATTGCTTCAGAATCACCTGGGAGGCCTATTAAAGATAGAGTTGCCTGGGGCCAACCCCAAAGCTCAGGTCAAAACCTCTGCATTTTCCAGACTCCCCACCCACATCCTGGTGATCGGGTGATCGTGTGTCCTGCAAACCTGAGGAACAAGGACAGTGCTGGGATGTCTTATGTTGCAAGAAATAGTATCTCTGATATTCACTACTCACGTGTAGACCTTGAGAACAAAATCCTTTTCTTCCTTTAACTCTGTGAGTGACTGCAGTACATCCAGGATGCTTAGGACTGCGCAGCCGTACGGCCGCCGGTAGTGCAGATGTGAAGGGCCCTTCCTGGAGTCATTCAGGAGCATCCGGCCTGGGGCACAGTAGGAAACGCCAGTCAGTGAGAATTCCAAGCTCCTTTCCACCAACAACACCTGATTGTCATCCGAAGATGCCAAAGCTAAAGGTGCCTTAGAGATCATCTAAATCGGAAGACTAATTGAGGACTGAAGGGAGCATCGAAGGATGGAAGGATGTTTATGGGGAGGAATGCCAAGCAGGTCTTTGGCCAGGGCTCTTCCTGCACTTCATTCAGTCAACCACCATCATTGCCTACCTCAACGTCCACCATGTGTTTATTAATCATATGAGCATAATTGATGAATTTCTTAGAAAAACCAAGGTTTAATAGATTCAAAGTCCTTAGGCATATTAAGGATATAAAGTGTGGTGTTTCAGCTGCCAGGTAGAAACTAATGCACAGACAAGGGCAGTGTGCTATTCCAAGCAGAGCTGCTCGGGGACAAAGCAGTGCGGGAGCCAGAAGAGCCTCAGAAGCGGACGGGGCCGTGGCGGCAGTGGGGGTGCACACGCAGGCTGGAGCACGGCTAGCGCTCAGTGCAGCGGATGGTGGTTTGGTGGCAAAGGACTGAGATATGTTCTTTGGCAAATGTACGAGACCTGCCCGAACCCTAACCCATGAAGGAAGAGCTGGTCAGTCACTGCCTCCAGACTGTGCTCTAAACTGGAAAGACAGCTGGGCAAACCAACCGGAAAACAACAGCAAGAACCACTCTCTCCACCTTGTGTGTGCTAAAGTGAGACGTCACTGTCTACTGCAGGGGCAGGGGCTCTATTCTGTGGAAAATGGCATAGACACACACTTCTGGGTACAAAACACAGCAGAGGCCATTCACCGCCTGTTAAGTCAGTGGCCCTGGGCACCTGCGGCTAGGTCCCTGAGTGGGGGGGCTGGCGGAAAGGCGGGTGCTGTGACGGAGAGAATGTGAAAAAGCAACCACTTGAAGAGAGTTTGGGTCCAAAACAGACAGGGAGCAGATCTCAAGTGGAAAAAAAAAATGCCTTCATTTGTATAAACAGCTCCCTCCTCAGTGAGCCTAAGTGGGCTCCAGGGCCAGAGGGCTCTAGTCCTGAGCCCTGCCGGGCAGTAAGAGCGGCAAGGAGACAGAGCTCACACGCAGGGCAGACTTATCCCGAGCCGGGCCGCCTGAGTCATGGGAAGGGTAAGGTGGACAGTACCTATTCGTATCACATGGGCAACTAGATATAAATCTCTCTTCAGATCTTTGCTGCTCAGATCCTAAGAAAAGAGAAAAAAAAAATTAGTGAATTAAGGCAATGAATACACAGACAATAATTAACATTTCACTTTGAACCTCAGAATGGTTTGCTTTCGTCCCTTTTAGTTTATGTTACAGGCAGGAAGGGGCTAATGCACACAGCAGGTCAGTGTTTTTGTAAGATTCCAACAGCGGAAATCTGGGTATCTCATATGCCTTTGAAAATTTACCCAACGAACAGCATTTTTCTCTCTCTTACTGAACACCTGACAAGTGTCCACAGAGTTCTCACTTTACAAATACTTGTGATAGTGTCTTATACATGTTTATTCTAACATCACATAAAAACATTTTGTAAAAAAAGAAATGTTTAATGTAGAGAAAAAAGGGCAAACAGCAAAAAGCTCATTAATAAGTGAAATTCTAAGTTTATTCTAATTCTGTATTTATCCCATGTCCACAATGATTAGTACATATTAGATATGTTCCCTTAAAAGGAGATTAATTTGGTCTTAGTGAAATCTCAACTGTTTGATCTCCATTTCTAAATTTAGATACATATCATTTGTACTAAAGTGTAAAGCTGAAAATGGTTTTATCTGGAAAGTTTTAAGGGCTTCCCTTAGTAAGCAAATATGATCCAGAGTCAGACACATTTTAAACTAGAGTTATGAAATTGATTTCATATATTAAATCATGTAAGTTTAGAACATATTTTGAAATGAACTGTTTATTTATGAGCACATATTTACACTTTAATTAACACAAGGACTTGAAGTAGTAAAACCTCCTTTAATATACTTTCTGTTCCAGGCTTTTCACCAGGTCACCAACTTGCCACTCACTTCCGCCATGGCTGTGGGTTAATGACGGCCCACAGAGTAATCGCTGTCCTTCACGGGACAGGTTCCCACGATTCCCCCTTTGCTTCTAGGAAAAGGTCCCTTAGTTTCATTTCCTTCCCATTTTTCAACTAGTGATTGGTCTAAGGTGTTGTGTCTCTTCAGTAAAGCAGGAAAAAGAGCACGACCCTGAATGAGCTCTGAGAGCCAGCGTGCACAGGCTGCTTTACTGTGTGCCCGGCTGCAGGGTCAGGAGCAGGTGCGGCCACTGGGCATCCCCAGGGCACCCCTCCAGGAGGCACCCCCGCGGGCCCTGAGCTCTGCCCTGGGGGTGGTCCTGAGCATGTGAGAGGAAAACGGACAATACGAAGCAACGTGTAATGGTGGAACTGAAACTATAGATTCAAGATGGCTTTAATTTCTCACCAAATTCTTAATAGAATAATGAAATAGGCTTACAATAAAATAGCTTATAAAATATTTTAACAGAATAAATTGGTATCTCTGGAATCACAAGATACATTTTCCCATGAAAGTTGTCTGATGTTGAAAGGGATGTTCAGGCTCCCTTTTGCTAATTCAAATTTAGAAATGGACTTTAAAATGATATTCTCAACATAGCACTGTATTTTGGCACTTATTAAGAAGGTTATTAAATAACAAATAGAAACTGAGAAACAGATTACTTTTCTTATGCGCTTTCTGGGATAGAAACATGTCTACTAGTGAAGGACACAGAAATGTTTGACACATTCCACAGTGAAATGGCTCCTTCTGCCAGCTTGGACTGTGTTACTCCAAACTGTCAAATGACCATTATAATCATTGAACCCAGTTTACTAGGGAATTCTAGCCAGTCACCAAAGATGACCAAACACTGACCAGATGGGTCACACACACAAGCATGGACCTCCCTTGGCTCGGAGTGAATAAGAAGAAGCCTTAAGTGTCATTTATAGTATTTCCACCTGGCTGGGTAGGGGTCTTTTTGGCCTTGTTGCACATGATACCCAGAATCCTCTCTGTGGTACTTATTTGAGGTAAATAAACATAAGATGATAATCAGTGCAAAAAATTATTTTAAGTAAAGTTATTATTTGTGAGTCTCACTTAATTTCAATGTAAAAGCGATCTTATTAAATGTAAGTGCATGGTTAAACACACAGAGTTATTCAACATACATGCTTCAAGACAAGGTACCAAATGTGGCCATCCACATTTGTTAAAGTATAAGACCTGTAAAACCGAGGTGGGGAGAGGTGCCTCATCCTCCATTCATCTGGTGAGTGGGGTTTGAATTTAGGTTTACTCACTGGACCAGACCCTCCTATCCTACAAACTAGAAGCTGGTTCCCGACTGCACGGTGGGGAGACAGAGCAGTGACTCAGGGCTCAGAATCGTAGACTCAGTTACCAATTCAATGTCCCATTTGAAACATGGAAGAGTGAATTGACTTCCCTGCCTGGACTACCCTTTTTGAGATAATGGGGTTTACAAATATAAAACAAAGCAGATTTTTTCATATTTATGCTGCAGAAAGGAGGCAATATTTTAATACATGTTATACTCATAATCAAACTCATTCTTAATTCCAATAAATTACTGCCTACAGTTCTATTTCAAAATGTTGGAAGAGCATAAATAAATGTAGAAATATGCCAATGAATGCAGGGAAAACAGTACAAGTTCATTCTCTGAGTTGGTCCCTCAAATATAGTAAGAAATAAACGTATATTCATTGATTTATGTAACCAATCCTTGTTGAGGCCTTCGCACTTGCTAGGCACTGTGTGTGAGGCATGGGACGTGTAGCAGTGAGTCAGTACACAGACACACACACACACACACACACACACAGCCAGTGTTTATCATCAAAGGCAGCAAATCCTCACCATACTAGACAGTCACACAAATATCGAACACCTCTATGCTGGATAAAATTCTTCTGCACAGGAAGCTCTGAAATCTAACGAGGTCAGAAAAAACCAGGCTGTCATGACAGAGAACAGGGTCGTGCCACGGACAATGTGGCAGCTGTAGCGTGACTCTGCGGTCTGCCTTAGCGCTCTGTGCCACCGCTCAGTTTGTGTGGCCCCCTTGTCCTGACACTAAGGTAGCCAATAGCTGGCACTGACCAAAGCTGTGGCTGCATTTTCTTGCACTTACTCTAAACTCTGTAGCACACGTATCGATCTGGGAAGCTCCTTTAGCCCACAGGAGGGCTCAAGTCCTAGGTAATGAAATAACAGGTTCCGCAGGAACGGTTACCTCATATAGCTTTGAAGTGTCACATGAAAATCCTGGCTAAGGCAACCTTGGTCAAAAAGACTGTGTGCTCTGTAAAAACTCCTCTATCACTTTTGGGATCTTTTCAAAAAAAATCTGGGGCTGTACTGCAAAGAGAACCATAGAACTGGTATTTTTAGCAGCTTTGTGCCTTCCCACTGTGGCACAATCAGAGCACATCATGAGCATTACGTGCATCTCTGATTCACCGAGCTGGAGCTGCAGCTTAGGCCTCTGGGCCCATATAGACAATTACAATATTGTGAAATGAAAATTGTGATTTACTGTAATTACATTCAAATATCATCATAATTAAGCTCATTTTTCAAGAGACAAGGACTGCACTCTTCATGTTGCAGCGTACCATGCGCGCGGCACCACAGAACCAGAGAGCGACAATTTCTTTTGCTGCTTCAACCCAGTATCATCAGAGCCCAGGTCACAGAAAGCCTCCTGAGGTCATGGAGACATTCTGGACAGATGGCTGCTCGTCTCTTCCCAGTCTCGGCCCAGAAAGGCGGCCCAGAGAAGCGCCTCAGTGCCAGGCACCCTCAGGTCAGGAGCCCCCAAATACTGTAACCCGAATCCCATGTACTGCCCTTTGCACTCGGCCCCTTCATGTCTGCCTCTTGCAGGAAGAGTGCTGGTCTTCCACAGGAAACCATCTCGACTCCCTTGACTGTCTTCAGGGGTTCAGGGGTCTGCTCGTCCTGTAAGGTCTCATAGAAGCTTTGAATGCTGAGCTCAAAGATGGAAAAAACATCATTTTACCTTAGCTAGATTTATAAATTTTTCTGTGTATCTGGAACATTTTCAACAAAAGCTATCCTGTGAAAGTGACTTCTGCTTCTGCAGTAATACTATTTGAGATATAATAGTTGTAGTAAATGAACAAAAAAGGTCAGGTAAACAACCCCAATCTTATCTTTCAGACAAAGTGACATATGAGATGTCTGGATAAAAATCTCTTGTGTTTGAGGGGCGCCTGTAAGCTCTGGGCCCCTGCCTGTCGCCCACCAGTCCTGCCCCCCACACAAGGACAGGGCGCTGTGAGGCCATCACACCTCCCTGCATCAACGGGTCCTAGGTGTCTCTCACTGAAGCAAATCGAAGAATCCCCAGTGGGTGAAACTGATCTAAAACTGTGACACAGTCCTGTTTTCTTCTTCAGCAAATAAACTAACTAAATAAAGCTGGGCAGTGAGTTTTTTCACTAAGTAAAATAAAACAAACGTGGTAGGTCAGAGCCAACTTGAGGGACACACGAGGCAGCAGGCACCTTCCCGGGGCCGGTGGGCCCGTCGTCTGGGGGTCCGGGAGTAACGGTGCGTTTCTTCCGAAGGAACGAGAGCACAGAGCCCGGCAGGAGAAGAACCTCCACTCAGTATTTGAAAGCAGAGGGCTTGTTCAGTTTGTCTGTTTGCACCCACGAAAACATTGCAAACTGTAAATGTCTTTAGAGAAAATATACATCAGACACATTCCCAGTGGCCTTGCATAAGAATAGTAAGAAAGACTTTTCTCAGATTTTAAACATCTGTTATGTTACTGGCTTATAAAATCTACATCAGTAAAAGGTACTCGATTGTATTTCTTTAATAAAAATTTCAACTAAAAACTAGCTAATTTCAGTTCTCTTTGAATATTTAATTAAACCTGATAGAAATGTAAATCAAGTCCTCTTCTTCCCAGAGTATGGGGAGGTGAGAACAAATGCTCATTTCCAGGGTGACCATCTGCACACACCAGACCCCTGGTCAGAGTCAACAGCAGAGAAGGGAAAGAGAATTTGCACATACTGTAAAAAGGGCACACATGCGTTCTATCTTCTCTGGGTTCCTTGGCCCACCATTCTTGTTCAGTCTCACCAGAAACCGCTCACTGAAACGTAGGAGAGAGAGAGAGACAGAGAAATGTAAGGGACCGCATGCTCCAGAACAAACAAAAAGGGCATTTTCAGAGAAACCCTAAACACTTCCAGAGCAGCTTGCGGGGATGGCAGGGCTGGAAGCACTTGTCTGGCAGCAGGACACTAACCTTTTGCCAACCAACGTGCAGCGGACACTACCAGCGGCCCCAGAGGTTGCTGTTTACTGGCTGGCCGGGGCTCCTGTCCCCCCAGAGGCATGTGCTCCCTGAGGGAGCGATGAACACTGGGTCTGACATGTTTCCCCAGCACCCCAAACTCCAGGCACAATGCTGAGCCCACACAGGTATATACATTCTTCGCTGGGGACACTCAGATCACAAAAATAGTCACCGCAGTGGATCCAAAAGAGTCCACATTAGCTGATTGACATCTTCCTATGTGACCCTGGAGAATCATTTCAGGGCTTAAAAAAAAAATGTTACAGGGACTGACAAAAATTGGGTGAAAGCCCAAAGAGAAGTAATGTATGTTACATGAAGCCACATTCAGAATTTAACAGAGTCATTAAAATAGTTTATTCCCCAAACAATACAGGTTAATTCCTGAAGGAAATTATTAGACTAAGAAATCTTAGAAACAGGGCCTGTAACATCTGGAGAAATGTCTCCTTGGTCTCCGCCTCCTCCGGCCTGTGCCCAGGGTCTCATTCTCATCCCCTCATCCCCAGTTGCCTAACAGTTGTAATAGCACGAAGAGCCCTGGCAAACTCAGGATGGGATTCTGAAAGGAATCCACTTCTCCTGAGCCCCCAGGCGTGTACACATCACATACATGTGTATGTGCAGTGTGTGGTATCAGCACAAGGGCCAATATTAAAATACTGTACTAGAATTATAAGATAAGTTATAATGTTCAGGGCACAGGTTGCTTACTTTATTCATGTATTTATTTGTTCATTGAGCCAACTAATAGTTAAGTTCTGTGTGAACACGGGAATGCAAATGTGAACAAGAGATATACAGGAACTTTTCTTCCTAGAGCTCATGGTCCTGGTAGGCAGCTAAGTGTGCAGAAATGAAGCTCAGAAAAGATTTGGGCCAGACAGAAATGTGAGATTCTTAAGCCAAGGGGTGAGATGGGCATAAGTAGGTGCTGTGCACAGAACAAGAGAAGAAAAGGCTGTGGCCTGAACAGAGGGATGCTGATATCTAAGAAACAAGCTGAAGAAGAACTAATGGACACACAGGGACAAAGAGAAAACAGAAGAAAAGTAAGGGAGGGAGGTGGAATGTTGCATTAATCGAGGGAAGAAAGTGTCTGCCAGAGGAAAGAGGGCCCAACGAGGCCCAAGGCCACTGGGAGTCACAAGACAAGGACACAACAGCGTCCGCTGGGTGTCAGAACAGAGGTGACTGGTGGTTCCGGCAAAGGGCCTTTTTAAAGGAATGGTGGGAAGGCCAGGGGAGGAGCAGGAGGTGAGGAGGCCGACCCAGCGAGCCCGCACGGCTCTTCCCAGCACCGCTGTGACGGGGCACCGTGAGGGACTTCCACCTAAATGTGCACGCTGGTTTGAGGGAGGTTTTTGTTAATAGATAAGATCACCTATGTGTATATACTCAAGTAATTTTTCAACATGGTATCAAAATTCAGTAAGGGAGTATAGTAGTTTCAACTGAACAACCTATATGAAGAAAACTGAACCTTGATCCTTGCCTACAAAAAATTAACTTGAATGGATCATAGACCTAAACGTAAGAACTGAAACTATAAAACTGTAAGAAGAAAACACAGGAAAAAAGTGAAGGCAAGCACTTTGGTATATTTTGCTCACATTTGTATTTCCATGTTTTCCACAAAACAGAAAAATCTTTGTGACCTGATTACTTATTAAGCAAATACCATGAATCGTAACAAAGTGATAAACTGGACTTCATCAAAATTAAAACCATTTTCTCTCTGAAAGACAGTGCTAAGAAAATGAAAAGACAAGGTACAGACTGGGAGAAAATATTTACAAACATTCATCTAAGAAGAGCTGCATTAGGAACATTTTGGAAAGAACTCTCAGAACTCAATAATACACAACCAATCAGTTAAAACAGGCACAGATCTGAACAGACCCTTCACCAAAGAATATAGAGGGATGGCAAATAAGCTCCTGAAAACATCATTAGTCATTAGAGAAATGCAAATTAAAAGGTGTTAAAAGCAAACTAAACATGGCTACACACACCAGAACGGCTAAGATTAAGTGTTCCCAGGGGTGGTAAGAACATTAGAGCACCTAGAACTCCCATAAACTGATGGGAGTGCAAAATGGCATCACCACTTTGGAAAGCAGCCTGACAGCTTCATATGAAGTTAAGCACACATTTACCATATGACCCAGCAATTATCTTCCTGGTATTTACTCGGGAGAATGGAAAGCGTATGTGCACACGAAGGCCCATGTTTAGAGTGAATGTTTGGAGCAGCTTTGCTCATAACAGCCAGAAACTGTAAAGAACCCAAATGTCCATCAGGAGATGAATGGGTGGCCCTTGCAAATGGCCTATCACTTTGTGATAAAAAGGGCGAACTACTGAGATGGATGATAATGTGGATGAACCTCAGAATCATTATGCCAAGTGGAGGAAGCCAATCACGAAGACCACGCATTACCTGTCTCCATTTATACTATATCCTAGAGAAGGCAAAACTACTTTTTTGTAGACATCAAGCAGAACTGCCAGGGCTGAGGAAGGACAGTGGAGATTGGCTGCAAAGGGGCGTGGGGGGAACTGTCTGGGGTGATAAAAAGCTCTGCTTCTGATGAAGGTGGCAGCTTCACAGTTACAAATTGGCAAAAATCACCTAACTGTGCATTAAAAAGGGGTAAATTTTACTACATATAAATTACAGTTCAACAAACCTGACTTCACAAAAATATGGGATACACCTAAAAACAGTTACATCTAAAGGGACAGTTCTAGTAGAAGGGACAATACTGAAGACAGAGGAGAGAGAAAATAATTAGTAAAGACACTGAGGTCCCCATTTCTTCAAGGAACTAAGAGGATCAAGGAAAGGGTGAAGGAGGAAACAACAAATGTAGATACAAATGAGTCTGTAGTTTTAGTAATGGAAGGTTGAGACATCAGAAAAACAGGAAAAAAGAACATCAAAGAAAAGTTTAGAGAAACATCAGGAAAAATTCTCAAGACCATCTGAAAGAAAATATAATGAGGCAAAGTAGAAATGATGGTTTTCAGATGCACAAAAGGACATTCAGTTGAGTTAATTCCCTCTCCAAACTATATATAGCCTTGAAACTTTGTAAATCTCTCCATCTCCTTCCCTACTGCCAGAGGAGGCGACCAACAGACTCCAGCTGAAATCCCCACAGCAGCTCCCCAGCTGGTCTGTCCACTTCCCTTTTTGTCTCTCTTAGAGAAGAATCCTTTTCAAATGTCAATCAGGTCATATCACTTCCCAGCTTGAAACTTTTTCATACGGTTAACTGATTTTTATATAAGAGTGTCAAGACAATTCTATGGGGAGAGAGAGTAATATTTTCAAGAAATAGTGTCCGGGGCAACTGAATAGCCACTTGAAAAAGAACGAAGCTTGGACCCCTACTTCACACCATCTATAAAAATTAACTAAGAGTGAATCATAATGACCTCAGATTATGCAAAGGTTTCTTAGGACAATAAAAGCACAAGCAATGAAAGAAAAAATGGATAAAGTCGACTTCAACAAAATTAAAAACTTCTGTGCATCAAAGGACACCATAAAAAAAGGGAAAGACAATGTGCAGAATGGGAGAAAAGATTTGCAAGTAATATATCTGATAAGAGACTTGTATCTAGAGTATATAAAGAATTCTTACAACTCAACAATAAAAAGACTTGAATAGACATTTCTCCATAGAAGAGAAACAAATGGTCAATAAGGAACATGAAAAGATGTTCAACACCATTAGTCATTAGGGAAATGGAAATCAAACCACAATCAGGTATGACTTCACTTCCAGTAGAATGGCTTTAATCCAAAACACGGATAATAACAAGTATTGACAAGGAGATGGAGAAATTGGAATCATCAGATACATTGCTGATGGGAACGTAAAACATGCAGCCACTTTCTAAAACAGTCTGGCAGTTCCTCAAAAGGAAAACATAGTTTAACATATGATCCAGCAAGTCTTCTCCTAAGTATATATCAAAGGGAAAAGAAAATATGTGACCACACAAAAATTTGCACATGAACATTAATATTATTATTATTAATAGCCAAAAGGTGAAAACTAAAACATCCATCAACAAATAGATGGATAAATAAAATGTGGTAGGTATTCCATAACAAGGGAATATCATTCAGCCATAAAAGGAAAGATGTACTTAGACATGCTACAATGTAGATGAAGCACAAAAACGTGCTGAGTGAGAGAAGCCAGTCACAGAACACCACAGGGTGTATAACCCCATTTCTAGCGGCAGCAAAGTAGATTGATGGCTGTCTAGGGCTGGGCATTTGGGAGGAAATGGGGAAACTTCTAAAGTTATGACATTTCTTTTTCAGGTAGTGAAAATGTTCTAACATTGACTGCGGTAATGGTCGCACAACTCCAATTTCTTAAAAGCCAATAAACTCTACCTTTTGAATGGATGAACTCTATGGTATGTGAATTATATCTCATAAAGCTGTTGTAAGAAAACAGAGAAACACCACGAGCAAGCTTTCCATGGCTTACTTTTGCTCTGAGATAAAATAAAAATCAGATCTCCAAGATCTGCAAGGCCTGTGTGGTACATTCGTACCTTTACAGCCTCATCTCACATAAGCCTTTCTAGCCAATTTCCACACACACCCTGGTCTCCTAGGTACACATTTCTTGAACAAGTCAAGCTCATTCTTGCCTTAGGCCCTTTGCACATTCCCTACCTGGAATGCTGCTCTTTCAGCCCCACTGGCTTAGCTCAAATACCAGCTTCCCAGAGGCCGACTCTGATGATGGTAGCAAAGCCAA